CCCTTCTCTCTCTCTGTCTTTTGTATTAGTCTTTTGACTAGCTTTATCCTCACTTAAATAAGACTTAATTGAAATCCTCAGATTAGGCAAAATTGTAATTAAATTTTGTCAATAAAGATGTTAACACTTTCGCGCTCTCGGCGCTCAAAAAAAACAATACCCCAGATGCTTTCGGCACTTCGCGCGCCTACGCGGTAAGACCGAAAAAGTGTACACTCTTTTGACTGTCCTGACAATAATTGAAGGCGCACGTATTTAAATTTGGTATCACTGTGTTCGCAATGAAATTGTCTATAAGAGCATACCTATAAAATGGCGCCCAAGCATAAGGAGTATCAACACCAAATAAAAAACTATGCAGATCACTCGCCGAGAGCGCCAAACAGCAACAAAATGTTTCCACTCTCTTAATGGTTGCGAAGCCTACAGTTGTCCTACATCGCTAATTTTGGTATCATTGGAATCGCAATAAAATTCTCTACACGGACATATGCATATGAATGTTTAATATAGGTAATTGCCCACCCGCAAGAGTGTGTGAAGTGGAGAGTAGTTAGCCGTGAGCGCACTGGCATAAACACAGGGGGGAAATCATGCTTGGAAAGTTTATACGTTTCCTGACCCTACTTTTCTATGTACGTATTTCTTTTTTATACCAATGTGTTCGCAATAAAATTTTCTATAAGATGAACTGTATAACATTTGTACAAAGCATGTGTAAGAGAAGCGCCAAATATAGAACCACGTTGCTCAGTATGCGTTCGCGGCAGAAACGAACGCATTGTTTTCATTCGTTTGATGTTTGTCATGTTTATACTTGTTGAAACATTTTATAATTTGTATGACAGTGATCGCAGTAAAATTCCCTACACAGACATATACATAACACATACAAATATTTCCCACGTGTTGGATATATCAACGGCTAAAGGGAACCCACTGCCACACGCTCGCCACACCTCCAAACATACTTTGTGTATTTTTTTTTTTACTCATAGAAGTTTATGTGATATAATATTCATTCTTGTACCAGAAAATTCGCAAATAAATTCTCTACAAAACAAAAGTATCCCCATCCATTTCGGTTAAAAAATGTAATTTATAGAAATATTTTTTCGATGGACGAGAAAAGTAGCAGTTATGCGGAATCGTAAGAAAAAACAGCGACGAGTTATCTCTAATCTAAAGCGCGAAAGTGTTAATAATAATACGTCTTTTGTAAGGGAGAGTATCAAAAGCTTTCTGGCAATCGATGTAGTCAACTCATCCTCCTCCTTTCTTATTTTGGTGACTCATAGAATTCAATCATAGCTGTCTTTAAGAGGCCATCTCCTGTGTAGGGATTCTTGCCTCTAACAATGCAAGGGTCTTTGACTCTTCTTTGAAGCTTTGAGGATGGGGGGCTAGTTAGGATATTCTTCCTTCGGGGTGCTTGCATATGCTTTTAAAGGCACGCTGCTTATGTAGTTAACAGCCGATTATACCTTCTTCATTTATTGGCATCTGGGATATTCTGCAAAGCAGCCCTTGTGCTCAGTGCTTCCTTCTTAGTCTATTCTTTGGGATCTGGCAAGCCGGCATGGTTTTCAGAGATCCTTCTTGGTCTGGCCTTCCAATTCTGCACTCACTGTAGTGCAGTTTGTGGGATGGGCATTGTTTTTATTACATTCTGAGGGTTATCCATTATTACCTCCACTGTACAGTACTGCCTGTGGGTGGATTATTCCTTTCATCCTGGGACCTGCGGCTTTCGTCATTGTGATGACTATTTGCTTGTGATTGGCTCCCTCCCTGGAAGGTGGGGTGTCCATCCTTGTGAGGGGAGGGGTTCCTAAATTCCTCTTCTCCCATCCTTCAGTTCTCCCCTCACTCCCCTGGTCTTATCAGTCCAGCATTATGTTTTTATGTGGTCACTTTGGCATCCTTGTTTTCTAGAGCAGGCCCTTGTTGGTTCTGTTTTTATGGGGTGGAGGGCCCTGTCAGGTGGCCTGCTGTACGATTGTTTTGTTGCAGATTTATGCCTTTGAGGATGCCTTGGCTCTACCATTTTGTGTTGTGGTTTTCAGGCTAGCAGCTGTGGTGTTCTTCTGGCTTCACATTTTCTTTGAGTTGATACCTGGTTGATACCTGGTTGATGGGGTTCTGGGAGTTATAAATAATAATAAATAAATAAATAAATGTTTATTTAGGTAAGGTACATACATACAAGAGATTTTACAAATATTGATGGATTTATAGATAGAACTAGTACATACAATGCCTAAAGCCACTATTACGCAAAGCGTTTCGGGCAGTTCTTCTACTCCCCAAGCCCGGCCCGAGGCCAGACTTGACTTGTGAGAGTTTGGTCCACCAGGCTGTTGCTTGGAGCGGCCCGCAGGCCCACATACCCACCACAGCCCGGTTGGTCCGGCACTCCTTGAAGGAAACAATCTAGTTTCCTCTTGAAGATGTCCACGGTTGTTCCTGTAATATTTCTGATGCTCGCTTGGAGGACGTTGAACAACCGAGTGTTTTGGGAGTTTGCTCAGTTTTCTAGGGACTGCCTTTTCCACACTTGGTGACAGAAGTAATTGAGTTGATGTTCCCCCAGAGGTTTCACTGCTATCTATTTATCTGGGGAGTGTAGTTTGAAGCTTGATTCCTTTCCCTAGGGGGAGACACTTTTCTGTCTCTAGCATCTGGTGCAGATCACGGCTCTGCTTTGGTGTCGTTGTGTTTTGGGACTTTTGGGTTTAGAGGAGGAGCCCCAGGATAGGGTTCTTGGTTTTCCCTTTCCTCAACTTGGGGGCAATGTCTCCATTTTTTTTTTTCACGATGTCTGTTTTTGTCATTTAATTTCTGAATTTCTTCTCTGACTTGGAAAAGGTACATTAAGTTTTTGTTTCTGAATTTGCCATTTTGTGTGGCCTTTCTTTCAGAACTGATATACAGAGCATCTGAGACCTTCTTTTATACACGTGGGTGCTTTTGGTCCTGTTCGGTTATTTGGGCGGGTTATTCTGTTTGTCCTTCTTGGGTGTGTTTCTGGATGATGGCAGGTTTCCTGCATTCGTCCCATCTGGGGTGCTGGTCCTTGTGGGGTTTTGGGTCCTGTGCCTCATCCTGGCTTGCAGATTCCCACATTTTTTTCTGGGGAGTCTCTTATGGCTTCCTGAAGCTATCATCTCACCGAGATGGCTCCCAACTACTAGGTTGTATCACCCATGGAATTCTTAGGCCTCAAAAAGACTGAATCCTCGCAACCTTCCTAATGAACCCCCCCCCCCCCCCCCACTCAGCTGTGTAAACAAATAATGGAATCTTTCTAAGTTAGTGTGTGCTCGTTCGCCTCACCTCCCCAATTCATTGGGGTGTGGGGGGATGAGGTCCTTCCACAGCTTGAGTCTTCAGTTCTTACGCTGATCCGGGTTATGACCACAATAGGGTTCACAGGTCACCTCTCTGCCATGTAGGCTGAGATTTAGTGTGCTTGGAACTACATGTGCTCAGGGCTGTCTTCCCTGGATGCTTTTAGTGCTGCCCTTGCACTGGCAGAGTTCTCTGGCATGATCAGGGGTTGCTCCTTTAGATGTTCACTTCGCTTGAGATGGCCCTTGCCTATGGTTAGTCAGGGGGTCTTATGGCCCCTGTCTTGGCTTGGGTCAGGAGCGCTTAAGGCTAGTGGGGGTGCACTGGTGGCTCTCGGGTTTATTGTTTATGGTGCACCGAGTTCGGCCTTCACAGCCATGCAAGGGCTCCTCCAGAAAACCAGCACTCGATGTAATAAAACACTTCTTTATGGTTGAGCTCTGGTGGCTCCCAGGCTCCCTCGGTTTGTGGTTTTTCAGCTCTGCTGCACTGGCTCATTGCTGGCTTAGAAGCATAAGCTCTGGGATCCCATCTGTGGAGGCTTTGTGTATAGGGAAGTTTGACCTACATACACTAAGTTAAATTGTTGGATTCGAATGAATCATTTGCAGAGTCTCTTGTTTTTCTGTGCTCTCGTTGTGTGAACTGTGTAGTTGTTTGTATTGCTTCATCTATTTTTTGGATGCTTTCTTGGTTTGGGTGATCATAGCATTACCCAGCTCTCTCTGCCTGTGTAAGGGGAGTGGCCAGGTTCCGGCTCTTGATTCCCAGCTGGCCAACAGGACTCCTATTATGGATGTGACTCAGTGGAGGGAAGCATCTCAGCAAGATTGCTTCAGAGAGCCACCAATGCTCTACCAAAAAAAGGCATTTCATTACATTCAATGCTGTTGTTTTTGTAGTGTTACAGTTGCCACCTGTGGCCGTTCATCAGTAATGATGGTCGTGTCCTAATGGGTCATACAGTAGTTAGCTAGGGTACTGCTTAGAAGTCCCTGATGCAAAGTTTACACCTTTAAAGGTTTGAGTCTTATGTAATCATTTTTGTCTTCACTCTGAGCTGCATTAAGTGTCATCCTGGCATCAGTGTGTCCCCCCTAGCAGGAACCTTTAGAAAAGTTCCCACCAGCACCAGTGCCAAATGTTGACTACCCTGACTGTGCCGGATCATAACCAAGGGGTCACATAGGATCTTGCCTTGGGGAGAAACAGTGTGTACTGCTCAGACAAGTGCTTTTCTTATATACTTTTAAGTCTTATTTATGGTATATGTTAATATTACACATTTCCATTCCTGAAATTCTTTCAACTCATGTTGTTTACTTTGAAATTATACCGTACTTTACTTTATTATTAATACCATGTTTCCCACTTTGATGGGGTGGGGGAGAAAGCAGCCAGAAGATAAAAAGCATATAATGATAAAGAGGAAGATGTTTATAGATATTTACATTTTTAAAATAATGCTCATCCGTTGGTTACATCATTCTCACTATACAGCATCACTTATCATTTCACAAAGCTTGGCATTAGGTTTTTCACCCTGTATTATGATAACTATAATAAATTTCCACAGTCCTCATCTCTCTCATCCAGTTTGCTTTAAAATGTGATACTCAAATGTAACCTATTTTAAATCATCATTGCAGCAGCAGGCTCGGCCACCACCTACCAGCATCAACAGCATCACCATCAACCAGTGCAGCAGCAGCAGCAGCAGCAGCAGCGAGCATCCACTATCAAACTCTTAGATCCATATCAAAAGTGCTCCACAAAGGTAAAAAAAGTTTTTATAGTAAATTAATATTAATGATACTGTATGTGGTTGTATGCATATTTGTGTGTAAATAAGGCTTTTCTATGAATACTGTACGTCAGGTGTCAGTTATGATTCAGATGGATGCCAAACTTAAATCGACTACGTAATAGAACAACTGACTGCTTCAGCAGTGCGTCTGGAATGTGTTCCTTTGTGGAAAGCCAGAAAGAGGACCAGCTTAGAAAGATAATGCAGATGGCACTACAGAAGAAGGAACAGATAAAGGAAATGCTTAAGCAGACACTACTACCCCTACAAAGAAAGAATAATTTAAACAGTGAGATTGAAGAAATAGAACAGAGACTGAAGCAATCATATCAGATTGAAGAAATGCAATCAGAACAGAAAGCCATACAAGATTTTAAGAATATTTCTTTACATAAAAGAAATAAATAAAGTAATACAGTACCTACCTTGAGGCTACCTTGAGGTGCTTCCGGGGCTTAGTGTCCCCGCGGCCCGGTCGTCGACCAGGCCTCCTGGTTGCTAGACTGATCAACCAGGCTGTTACAACCAGTACAGTGAAGCAGGTCAATGAGTCCAAGCACAGTGAAAGCTCTGTACCTCAGGGCACAGTCCTTGCACCACTGTTTTTCCCTATTCTCATATCAGATTGAGACAAAAATACAAGTCACAGCTTCATGTCATCTTTTGCAGACAATACAAAAATAAGCATGAAAGTTACTTCAGTAGAAGAATAACATTTTCGATTGGGTAGGAGAAATAACAGTGGTAAATTCCAGATACTTAGGTATGGTAAAAATAAAGACCTTAACCAAAATGCAGGGTACAAAACAATTAAATCTGCCCATAGTAGGAAAGCAACGTATAAAGGATCTGGAATAGTGATATCTGACGACTTAACGTTTAGGGAGCATAATCAAGCACATATAGCGTCTGCTAGAAAAATGATAAGATGGATTACGAGAGCTTTCAAATCCAGGGATCCCATCACATTACTCGTACTGTTCATATCACTGGTGCTGTCCCGCCTTGAGTATTGCTTCATACTCACTTCTTCCTTCAGAGCAGGAGAGATTGCCGAAATAGAGGGACTACAGAAGAACATGTATGGCACTCATAGACACAGTATAGCACCTAAATTATTGGGATCATCTCGAAGCTCTCAAAATGCACTCTCCAGAAAGGAGACAAAGAAGGGCTCAAATAACATGTACAGTGTATATGGAAAATACTAGAGGGCCTGGTTTCAAATTTACACAGTAAAATAACAATGTTAAGATACAGGATATGTGTGTACATGAAAATGGCAAGTGTGGGCGTGAGAAACAACATGATCATATCATGTGTGTCAGACAAGTGAGAGGTGAGTTGAGTGTGTTTTAAACATTAGAGATTTATATAATGTATGTCTTAATTTGAGTAAATATAGGGACATTGTTAGTATAGCTCGTGACTGCTAGTATCCTGGCTTATAATCTAAGCAATTGTTTTGTTTTCTTAAATATTTTCCTGGATATTCAACAGCATCCAATGGAACATTGGGGTCCTGTATGACAATATGTACAGTATGTGTTTTGTTAAGTAAGAGTAGTAAAATGGGGCTTTTAGAGGTATTTGGAACCTATCCTTTTTTTTTTGTTTACTATATCAAATTTGATTTGATCAGCTTTGAAAGAAAAATTATCTTCACACAAATTGAGGGTCACATGTACTGTATATTGTATAGATTATATGTATATATACAGTATATACTACATACAAATATTGTAGTATTTAAAGAATAACAATTATAGAAGATTAACAAATAAGTGTAAAACACCTGCCTTCTAACTTAGATCACTGTGGCTCATCACTTGCAGGTCTGGTGGATTTTGTAACTTTTTTTTTATTGATAGAAATATTTTTTTTGATCTTCAGCGCAAGTGCTTTGACCACAATGGTCACAGTGGAAACACCGCAGGCGTAGAGAACGGGAAGGTGGGGGCCCCGGGCGGTGCCCCGGCCACAACAGCCAAGACGGTGGCCCACGGCAAGGTGGCCCTGGGTGGCGGCCAAAACAATGCCACCAAGGGCGGAAACTCATCAGCGGCAGATGGAGACTATCAGGTTAGTATTCTCTTAGAATATGGTACTGGTATGGTACACTGCAGTTTCATCCGACACTTCCTGATATTTTTCTTAAATTTTTCTCACCAAACCAACAGTTATTATTTGGAACTGGAACTCATCAAGATTATTGTTGATGTAATTTACCTGAATATGCTAAAACTTCTTAATGTAGTTATTATGACTTGGGGCTTGTTTATGAACAGGAGAAAAATCTTAACTGGAAATACCACTTAGAGTTTGGCTAAGCCCCCCCCCCCCCTGGAAATTAGTCCCCAAGCTCAACTTCAATGTACTGTTATCTAGAAAGAATGATTGCCTAACTCTAGACAAGGAAGGTGGTATACTTAGTCCGCCCACCCAACTGGGCGGCAGCTTTATAGTCGTGTGCATGCTGCACCTACAGTAAATTTTGGATACTGTACTTCACTAGATTCCTGCCAGTACATCATTATGAATGAAGTACTTAGACATTATTCCAACAGTGCCTCAATTTTTGGTGTCTCTTTTATAACAAATAATAAGACAGTGAAGCATTTACTAGATTAACAATGTTCCTTTTATTTTCAGTTGGTGCAGCATGAGGTTCTGTACTCGCTCACAGCACAGTACGAGGTACTGGAGTTCTTGGGGCGTGGCACGTTTGGCCAGGTGGTCAAGTGCTGGAAGAAGGGTACCAATGACATCGTGGCAATCAAAATCCTCAAGAACCACCCCTCCTACGCCAGGCAGGGCCAGATTGAGGTACAGTATAATGTTCTTAATGTTTAGTCATGTTACTGTTAATGAGGATTGCTAGATGCATCTAGATGGGGCGGCTGAAGACCTGCTTAACACACAAGAAGCAGAAAGTCAACCCACCATTTAGTTTTGGGATAATAGTGAAATACTGCATAACTCCAGAACTATGTTATCTGATACTGTGCAACAGGAGTAGGACTTGTACAGTGCTTTAAGTTGCAAGTGCTTGATTTGAAAGACCACTGTAATAATAATAATCTTATTAGTAAGACTACAGTGGTATGAATTGAAGGGAAAAGTTGTGAAAACTTTTGTATTACTGTATTTATTGTCAAGTCCGCAGAATTTTGGATTTGTCTGAAGCTGATATTTAGTCTTTTTTTCAAATCTTTTCAACACAATGCATGTATATATTCAACTTGATAAAATTTTGATATTAATTAACTAGTATAAAATAATTTATATCCTCAAAATAAGCAATTTAGCACACATAACATGTATTTAATTTTTTTCTTGTATACGTTGTTTAATGATTATCAACTTAACTGTCGTGTGTTTTTGCACGATTCGACATAAACTGCTAACAAAAGGTTTATTCTTGTTTACAGGTTGGGATCCTGACAAGGCTAAGCCAGGAGAGTGCGGACGACTACAACTTTGTGCGAGCATTTGAGTGTTTCCAGCACAAGAACCACACGTGTTTGGTGTTTGAAATGCTCGAGCAGAACCTCTATGACTTTCTCAAACAGAACAAATTTTCTCCATTGCCTTTGAAATTTATTAGACCCATTCTTCAGCAAGTTTTGACAGCTCTTCTTAAACTTAAGGTAAATCTGTTTTAGTGTGCATTGTAGATTGAAGTGTTTTAGGTAGATGGAGATTTACCTTTTATTTCAATTTGTTTGATTATTAAAAGCATAGGGGAGCCGGTCGGCCGAGCGGACAGCATGCTGGACTTGTGATCCTGTGGTCCTGGGTTCGATCCCGGGCGCCGGTGAGAAACAATGGGCAGAGTTTCTTTCACCCTATGCCCATTACCTAGCAGTAAAATAGGTACCTGGGTGTTAGTCAGCTGTCACGGGCTGCTTCCTGGGGGTGGAGGCCTGGTCAAGGACCGGGCCGCGGGGACACTAAAGCCCCGAAATCATCTCAAGATAACCTCAAGATAACCTGTGCTAGTCATCTATATGTATAGTGCGGATATTTGTGTGTGATGTATACAGGATTATGTTTGGTGTTACAGTGTAACCCCATATTGCTAGGAGTGACAGTTATTCATATTAGTTAAGTGAAATTGAAGCTGTTTAAGAAAATAGATGACATGGCTGGTTACTGAGTAGACGTGACTTTTTAGTTGAAGTTTTATCATACATCTTATTAATTAGAGCCTGTCCAATAATCTAACTTTTTTTTTCCATTCAGCAACTTGGCCTCATCCATGCTGACTTAAAACCAGAAAACATCATGCTGGTTGACCCAGTTAGACAGCCATATCGTGTCAAAGTCATTGACTTTGGCAGTGCATCACATGTCAGCAAAGCTGTTTGCAACACCTATCTACAGTCTCGCTACTATCGGGCTCCGGAGATCGTTTTAGGGCTTCCGTTTTCTGAAGCCATCGACATGTGGTCGTTAGGCTGTGTCATCGCCGAGCTTTTCTTAGGATGGCCACTATATCCTGGGTCATCCGAGTACGACCAGGTATGTTTTAATTAAATGTTGAACTATTGTGTAGTAGTAAATTTTTGCATATATCTATAGCTCTGTTGCCTTACTTCCTCCTGGGAGCCACCCATGAGAAAGTAATGCGTCTCAAAATGTGTTTACTTTCAAGAGGGGCTGAATAGTGAGAGGGGCTGCACTGAGATCCCTCCACACCTATATGTTACATCAGCCTGTACTGCTCCTTAACAACCTACCAGAGACCAGAAGCCAAAACCTTTCTCCCTCACAGAGGTGCAGGGAGCAGGGAATTCGTGATAACCCTCGTGACGATTTGGCAATTTTTACTTTTCGAGCTGCATGTGCTCAGGGTGACCTTCCGTGGGTGCTCACCTCACATTGCCCCTGCACCGAGTTACTTTTTTGCTGTGTTCGGGAGTTTGCCCATCATATGACTGACCACCAGGGTAGAGAGGCTCGCCTTGTGCAATGCAGGAGTCGTCAACTCCTCTGCATAGCCCTTAGGCTATGGCCAGTGGTCCACCTCAGAGCGACTGAATGTCTTACAGACAAATGGAAAGACTTGTTGTTAACAGTCCACTCCATAGAACTGCGACGGAAGAGAGATAACCCATTCATGAGAATGTTGGGCACACCTTGCACATGAACCGTGTGGAGAATCAAACCCCAAGAAACTAGAAGCCAAATTACTCAAAATGTCCAGCTCCACAGGGCAATGGGCCAAAGAGACCCCTCTCCTTGGTTCAGGCAGTGAACTACCAAGGAGCAGTTGGAGTGGAGTCAAAGCACAACACCTGGAGGGAGCCAAGTCTTCCTCGGCATGACACACATCAGCTGTACACCATTCTGTGCACCTGAAGGAATGGGCCCAACCACTGATCCAGTGTGGTCTGGCGAGCACTGATCATAAAAGCCCCAACTCAGTCACAGAACCAAACTCAAAAACGAGGAAGCTGATAAGATAAGAGCCAATGGAGGAGGAGGCCGTACCCGTGTTTTTTTTTTTATCTTCGTATACTTGTCGAACCTACAGTACTAAATCAAAACATTCTGACAAGCCATGTCACTTTGATATGCTGTAATTACTTTTGTTTCAGAAATTATTTACTTTTATACAGTAGTATTAGAAACTTCTTTTGATTGCAATTCTGTTACATTCTTTAATTATTTGTGTTTCAGATATTATTTACTGTTAGACAGTAGTTTTGACGATTTCTTTGGTCTGTAGATCCGTTACATCAGCCAAACACAAGGGATCCCAGCAGAACACATGCTGAACAATGCCACCAAAACCACAAAGTTTTTCTACAGAGACAACGAGTCAACCTATCCATTTTGGCGGCTAAAGGTGAGTTTTGCCTCTCAGCCTGACATATTACTAATCTGCATTGTTGTTACGGCTTTAGTATTGTCATTGAAAATGAGAATACCAAAGCATTAGATCATTTTATGTTTTAGTCGTTGCCATGCTTTTGCTGACAAAACTCATCAGCTTGACCATTTAAGCAACTGTGCATGATGGTACAGTATAAGTGATGTTCCTTTTGTAATTGGGCCTTATAAAAGATTTGAGCATTTTAACCTGTCTTGTGCACTGCACCCATTTAAATATGAAACCAACATCCTCCACGTGAACCCAACACCCTCCACGTGAACCCAACACCCTCCACATGAACCCAACACACACCACATGAACCCAACACCCTCCACGTGAACCCAACACCCTCCATGTGAACCCAACACACACCAAATGAACCCAACACCCTTTACATGAACCCAATTAATATGACCAAACCATACATCAGAAAATGGAGAAACGACGACATTTCGGTCTGCCCTGAAACGTTGTCAACCAACGACCGAAACGTTGTCATTTCTCCATTTTCTGATGGAAAATCAGTAGGGAGTATCGGTTGCATAGGTTCAAATCCTCCTCATTGCTCCTACTGATCTTCTCATTATACATCTTACTACAGACTACAGCTTAATCTAATTCCAGACTTGTATAAAGAACAGACTCTTGCAGCTAATTATAAATCTTTGCTAGAGGGAACTCAGCACATTAAATTTTAATAAGAAATATATTAACTGTTAACTGTAAATCATAACCTCGGTCAAATAAGCTGAGAACAAATCTGAATAACATGAATGTAGACTGTTGACTCACAAGTTAGGAATAATGACACTAAAAATATGCTCAGAATACACCGAGAAAAAATAGTTACTAATAGATATTAGCTTCAAAGAGAACAGTTTAACCTTAGCAGGTGTAGAAAGCTTTTATATCTATATTATGATCATTGGTGTAAAACCCGGAAGAAAAAATAATAGTTTAAATTAATCTATGATGATAACTACATTACCCCATGAATCAGTGTTTGACGATAACAGCTCTTTGAGGGTTAATCAGGGTAATAATTAATGGGAGGTTAGAGGGTATAACTATTAGAATGTTAATGTGTGAAGGATGAAATGTTGCTAATAGTGTTTAGAAAATATAATAAGAGTATTATGAGATATCCCTTGCAATGACCACCATAAATGCAATTGTGCTCTTTAGTAGTGAGTGAGTGTTTTCATCTTGCTTTTACAGACCCCAGAAGAGCATGAGGGGGAAACTGGTATTAAAAGTAAAGAGGCCCGTAAGTACATCTTCAACTGCCTAGACGACATGGGTCAGGTCAACGTGCCTACTGAGCTGGAGGGTGGAGAGTTGTTAGCGGAGAAGGCAGACCGACGAGAGTTTATAGATCTTCTCAAGCGAATGCTGACCATGGATCAAGAGCGACGCATCAGTCCTGGCGAAGCTCTCCAACATAGCTTTGTCACACTCCAACACCTTCTAGATTATCCCCATTGCTCTAACGTCAAGGCCTCCATGCAGGTGGGTGCTATTAAGTAATGAATATAGGTAACAAATTTGTTTTCTGTCGTAGGTATTATGTACGTTAGTGGGGTACATATTTGTTGTTGGATTTTTCATGTGTGAAGACTGTGTTCAAGTATAGGATTTTATGCAAAATGTAACACATTCTTTTGAGCAGGCTAAGTTAGAAGGTGGTAGAGATCAAAACTGTCAGTAGTTTCAAAGCATTATATGACAAAGAGTGCTGGGAAGATGGAACACCACTAGCATAGCTCTCATCCTGTAACTACACTTTGGTAATTACATACTACTAGGATAGTTTAGGACGAGTTATTTGATTAAAAATTACAGTAATTTTATTCAAATTTATAGGATATGTAAGTTAAATACCATATATTTTGAACATTTATACAGTACATTTCTTTAAGAAATGGCATTGATTAATCTTCATTGATTGATCTTCAAATGCAAGAAATTGCATTTGAAGTCATGCCCATGATATTTTGCTTAATGCAAGTTAGGAGGGGGAAAAGTAGTAAATATAAGAGGTATTGAAATACCTAAGTAGAAAAACTGTGGGAGATTAAGGCATGAATATATTTAGAGAACAGATCTCCTAGCATTTACCTATATATCCTACTGGTTATTCATAATCCTTGAATATATGTTATATAATAGCTCACTCTCTCTAAGACACATTACTACATAAACACACTCTACACAAAATAGTAGGTAAGGTTCGTAACAGTTTGCTCATTGGAAATGTATAATAAGCTACCTTATTTTGTATATCAGCAGATGATGGAGGTTTGTCGAAGGCCAGCTCCGCCTTATGCCACAGCTGCTGCAGTTTCTCAGGCACAAGCTCTTCCGCCCTCACTCATGCCCAACTACGTCCATTCCACCAATGGTTCTGTTACGCTCACGTTCAACAATCAAATCACGAATCAGGTCTGCTTCCATGAGATATAAATTATCTAAAGATGATTAATATCGTCTTAAACCCATACTTGAATTATTATTCCATGCACTAATTTGTATTTCTGTGTTCTCTCACGTCTCAGAACTTGGAATTAATCCTTGGTCAGTTAATGCAATTAATTCCCATTAATGGTTAATGGGTTAATGGTCTTTGCAGTTAATGCAAAGACCCCTACTTATTAACACTTTCGCGCCCCCTTTGATGGTAAAAAAAAAAAAAAGCGGTATGTGCGCGGAGCATTTTTGCTGAGTAAGCGTAAAAACAAAAATGTGTATACTCTTTTTACTCTCCTTACCTTAGTTCTTGAGCTACGTATTTCATTTTGGTACCAACGTGTTCGCAATAAAATTCTCTAGAAGAACATCAGTAAAAAAAGTCACGAAACGTATAGGGAAACCAGCACCAAATAAATAACTACGAAGATGACTCGCCGTGAGCGCCCAACAGCAACAAAATGTTTTTACTCTTGGGATTGTTATCACCTCCACACTTGTCCTACAGCGTTAATTTTGGTATCAATGGACTCGCAATGAAATTCCCAACACGGCGATATGAATATAAGCGTAGAATAATGATTGCGGCCCACCCGCAAGAGTGTGGGAAGTGGTGAAATTGTTACCCGGTATCGGTGACGGGACGACGCACAGCGCTTTGAAAGTTTATACTTATTTCACTCCCATGACATTAATTTTCTATGTACGTCATTCATTTTTGTGTCAATGTGTTCGCAATAGAATGTTCTATGAGCCCGTAGGTAAAAAAGATCAACAAAGCGTAAGATAGAATAGCGCCAAATATAAAACAACGCTGGAACATATTAGTGAGCGTCAAACACACACGAAATGTTTTTACTTTTGTAATGTTTGTCAAGTTTATACTTGTTGCACACAGTTATTTTTGGTTGTACATTGATCGGAATAAAATTCCCTAAACAGACATATGCATATAATACATGATATGGGGGAAGCATTACCAGTATAAATGGCTAAAGTCACCCACCTGCAACCCGTTTGGGACATAATACCATTTGATCGAAGTGGTCCACACCTTTCATGAACTTATTGTACCATGCAGCCTAGTGGTGAGAAAGAGAGCCTCGTGGCGCGCAGTTTGAAACAAACCCAAAGTAAATCGGATAAAAATTGAATTTTATACAAATATTTTAAAAGAGGACATAACTTTATGTCCACTATGCGGGAGCGGTTAGCGAAACAGGACTAATCGGGACAGGTGAGTCCCGATAGCGCGAAAGTGTTAATTAATTCAATTTTTTTATCTGACCACATTTATATAATCCAGTGTGTTTAGCTGGTTCAGATCCAGTTTTTTGTTTCCTAAGATCTTCCATTTATTTGATTATAATCTAGAGATCTTATCCAACCTGAATACCAGTCAGCTACTCAGAGGTTTAAATAATCAAGAGATCATTGTTATAAAAGAAAATAATCATCAGTAATAAGAAAAAATAAATATAACAAGAGATCATTGTTATAAAATCATTTTGATGATATTTATTTGATGAAAGTGATTATATATTTATTTATATGATGACAGTATTTTAATTACATGTCATTGGTCAGTCTTATCTTGTCAATCAATGGCAACATAGTTGGCTTATAGTAACATGGATGTCCTTCTAGTGCTGTATCCAGTTACAATTTATGTAAATTTTACTTGTTCATCAATGAGAAAATCTGTAGGAGCAGTGATAAGTAATCACATTAGTGTGATTACTCTCTGCGTATTGAAAGAGGAGCGTCAGAGGTAGAACAAGTCCTAGATGACTGAGCCAGATTGCATGGGGGGATTGTGTGAAAATCCTGTTCTGGCTTCAGTAGAAGCCTCAGGAAATCCTTGTGTGTTCAGTAGAACTCCAGGGTGTAATCCTTATACCATGTCGTGGTCTTGTTGCTAGAAGCGTGTGTGTGGGAACACCCATCGGATAGGTTCGAACCCTCATCACTGAGGGTTCTCTATGGATTCTCTCATTTATGCTGTCACATCCGTGTGATTACTCTCTGTGTATATTAAATATAGTTTAATAATTATCTTGTTTGAGAATTAATAGTTATTTAAATATGTCTTCGTCAGTATGGATTATATCAAGGAAGTCGCAGTGGGCGTGGATACAGTGGCAGCAGTCGTGGGGAGGCAGCTGCGGCGGCAGCAGCTGCTGCAAGTTTCCAGCCACAACTGGTGTCATCCATCTTATGTCCTCCCCCTTACCAAGGTCTAGCCTCGCCTGGCAAGCATGTAACTGTGGTAACTCAGCAGCCACAGTTGCAGCTCCAACCTTCTTTACTTCCTCAGCAGGTTAGTTGCCAGGGTATTTATATCAGGCACCTTTACATTCTCAAGTATTAGATTTGCTTTTGGACACTCAAGATTAATCAATTGATATTTCTATTAGAGTATTATTAGTTCATTATAATGTTAAGGTTATATATGAAGTTTATTATGCTGCAGTACTGTGAATGTTTGTGCTTATGAATCACTTTTAGTATAACTATGTTGACTGGTCGGTCGGGATCCGGGCGGACGGCACGCTGGACTTGTGATCCTGTGGTCCCCGGGTTCGATCCCGGGCACTGGCGAGAAACAATGGGCAGAGTTTCTTTCACCCCATGCCCCTGTTACCTAGCAGTAAAATAGGTACCTGGGTGTTAGTCAGCTGTCACGGGCTGCTTCCTAGGGGTGGAGGCCTGGTCAAGGACCGGGCCGCGGGGACACTTAAAGCCCCGAAATCATCTCAAGATAACTGCATGTCTCTTAATGAATTTGTAAAGGTGTAGCCCATCAGTGATTCACTTTGGGTTTCTCATATAGCCTTTGGTGTCCACTGTTGTTGCACACAAGTAAACGGCCTCTAATGTAGCTAAATATCCATCTGTCTTTCAAGGTGTACGACTCATAAATTTGAGTCTTTACAAATCAATAAATAAAGAAATCAAAATAAAACTTGCATAATGTCAGGGATAGAAGTTGGTGTCAGGTGAGGCAGGTGGTGTCAGTGGTGCCAGGAAAGACAGATAGTGTTAGTGGTGTCAGTGGCAAAAGTTATTGTCAATGAAGGCAAGTGGTGTCAGTGGGGGAAGTTGTCAGGAGAGGCAGGTGGTGTCAGTGGGGGAAGTTGTCAGGAGAGGCAGGTGGTGTCAGTGGGGGAAGTTGTCAGGAGAGGCAGGTGGTGTCAGTGGGGGAAGTTGTCAGGAGAGGCAGGTGGTGTCAGTGGGGGAAGTTGTCAGGAGAGGCAGGTGGTGTCAGTGGGGGAAGTTGTCAGGAGAGGCAGGTGGTGTCAGTGGGGGAAGTTGTCAGGAGAGGCAGGTGGTGTCAGTGGGGGAAGTTGTCAGGAGAGGCAGGTGGTGTCAGTGGGGGAAGTTGTCAGGAGAGGCAGGTGGTGTCAGTGGGGGAAGTTGTCAGGAGAGGCAGGTGGTGTCAGTGGGGGAAGTTGTCAGGAGAGGCAGGTGGTGTCAGTGGGGGAAGTTGTCAGGAGAGGCAGGTGGTGTCAGTGGGGGAAGTTGTCAGGAGAGGCAGGTGGTGTCAGTGGGGGAAGTTGTCAGGAGAGGCAGGTGGTGTCAGTGGGGGAAGTTGTCAGGAGAGGCAGGTGGTGTCAGTGGGGGAAGTTGTCAGGAGAGGCAGGTGGTGTCAGTGGGGGAAGTTGTCAGGAGAGGCAGGTGGTGTCAGTGGGGGAAGTTGTCAGGAGAGGCAGGTGGTGTCAGTGGGGGAAGTTGTCAGGAGAGGCAGGTGGTGTCAGTGGGGGAAGTTGTCAGGAGAGGCAGGTGGTGTCAGTGGGGGAAGTTGTCAGGAGAGGCAGGTGGTGTCAGTGGGGGAAGTTGTCAGGAGAGGCAGGTGGTGTCAGTGGGGGAAGTTGTCAGGAGAGGCAGGTGGTGTCAGTGGGGGAAGTTGTTGTTAGGGGAGAGAGGTTATGGCACTGATCAGTAAGAAAGCTTCAGGGAACCTCCGTGACTCGCCCAGAAATTGGTGTTTCATTACATTCAATGCTGGATATTTTGGAATGAATATTTATTAAATTATATAAATAATTGGATAATTTTTAAGTATATATTAAAGGAAATAATTTGAACAGGGAAAGATATTTCTGGGGGGCTTTGGTCGTGTGTTCAAGGGATATGAAAGTGATGTCATTCCATTTGGATAGCAAGAATTTATGTTAAAAATAAATTTTATTTTGAATAATGTTTTTTGTTGTGTAATTTCCTAGGTTGGTGGAGGTGGTCAGTATGTGCCAGTATCCATGGTTGAACAACCAGGACGTGGTATGCTGCTGACTACTGGTGCAGCAGTGGGTGGTGGCTGGGGCCGTGGTGGACAAATGGCACTCGTTCCCGGTGGATGGCAGCAACTGCCTCAACCACCAACTTCACTACAGCAGCCAACTAGCCTACTTCCCGATGCCACCGATGCATGGAGACGAACTTTCTTAGTAGACTCGTCGGTGGTTCAGGGAGATGCGCCACCTGCCATGTTTCCCGTTGACCTTCACCCTGAACTTTACGAATATCCGTCGAGCACCTGGGCAGGAAGCAAACGTTCAAGTAAGGTATCTTTAATGGGTCACTCGAGTGCACACGCAGCACACACCCTTCATGTGGGAGGTCGACCTACACAGCCTCCTGCACATGATAAGAAGGATCTTAGTCAGCAACTCTCCCCTGTCAAGAAGAGGGTGAAGGAGGGCACACCACCAGGAGCATCAGCAGCACACTGGGGCAGCAGCAGTGCTGTACCACAGATCACCCACAACAACTATCATACTAATCACACGTGAGTGACATGTTTTCTTTCTCTCTCTTTTCTTCTTTGTCGAAAGTTATTATGTTTGATCTAAATAACTGGCTTATATGGACCAATTGGTCTTCTGCAGATCCTTTATTCTTAAGTTATATTTCATTACAACTATTAGAGTTGTGAAAACCTTATGAACGTACTCTAATTGATACACACATTATATACTTATAATGGAATTTTATACCATGACAATTGCTCAACCCATCCACCGAATTGACAGTACGTTTTAATACTTAGCGTAATAAGTACATTTCCTGACTGTCATACATAGTACATAATTGCACTTATGGGGCTGTTACATTTATCTCTCCATTTTTGGAGGACGGGCTGCAATTGCTCTATTAGCAAAATATGATAACTTTGATTGGGATGATAACTGCATTTGCATAGCAAGCAATCATGAAGATTTTCATGTCTAGGTAAGCTCTAGTTCATCCATAAAAAGCTATTATATCCATATTAGTATCATGGGTATGAAAAACAAATAATATCTGTAGTGAATATGTAATGACCACATTACCCAGTGAATCATTGTATGGCATTGTATGACCTCACTTTAAAACTTAGTCATACTTTTGGCAAAATTGGCTTCTTGAAATTCTGATAAGGTTATATTGACATTAAACCTAATGTTTGCTTAATGCTAGTTCAGTTAGTAGTTTGTAACATTCATGTGTCTAATTCAGAATGGTTCATGTCAATTTCCTTTTTTTTTTTTCCCCCCTAATAGTCATCATTCAGCGCACCACACCGGTCACCACCCGGGACATCCTCACCATCAAAGCCATCACTCCACCCATCACACCACTCACTCCTCCAGTCATCATGCCGTCGCACATGGCGGTCACACTAACCACCCGAGCCACGGCAGTGGTAGCGGCGGTAGTCACAGCTCTCACACAGGTGGGTCCTTGTCATACGTGTCATAAATTATGTTGACCCAGTGTACATATATATTGACATAATGGACAATTAGATAGTAGAATTTGGTCTACTATCCACTTTGGTCCAAGAATCCACCACCTCACTTGTCCCAACCATCACTCTGTTTGTAAAAGAGAAATTAATAATAGATTTTTGTTTTATGTTTGTATTATCAGGTGGGCATGCAGGTCAGCAAACACAGCAGACACACACTAGCCAACAGCACTCCAACAGCAGCTATAGCAGCAATATGACAAGTAATGGACGTCAACAAACAATCACCATTCGCGACACTCCATCACCTGCTGTATCAGTCATCACCATTAGTGACAGTGATGATGAAGCAGGAGGTGTGTATTCTAAAATTGCTTGAGTGTTTCGATTACTAAAATTACTAAGTAATTTAGTAACTTGGTTACTAAAATTACTAAGTTTTACAATTACTAAAACTTATTATCTGGAAATACTTACCAATATGTAATTTGAACATACGTTTTCACAGTGTTATAACTGTTAATATCATGTTTGCTAGTTTTAGTTTAGAATATAATGAATTGTGCTGAAAATAACATTACTGGTTGTTGTAGGTAAATGCTGCAAAGACCGTCACTGCTCTACGTGTGTCAACAACAACCACAATAAGATCACTTCCAGTTCACATCAGCAGCCTCAGACTTCGCACGATGACAAATATGCCAGGTAAAGGCACCTAATAACTGCTACATTTGTTGCAGTAATCTTCTTGCTCATATTTGTAATTGCTATATGTAGCACTGATTGTACCAAATATATTTATATTAATAAATATGTAAATACAATTCTACCATTGTTGCTCTTAATAGGAATAGAAACAACATTAATTTTGTGCAATATGTAATGTTTTATATTAATTTTATCTTGGTTCATATTTGTACAAGTTCTGCTGCTTTGTAACTATTTCTGTAATTTTCTTATAGGAATTATTACTCTGCAGAATTCTATGAATATTTTATGGACATAGATATCTTTTGTTGGTTAATGAGAGAATCACATTAAGTATAGATTTTATTGTATTTTCAATTATATGAAAACAGCAGGAAATTAATAGGTAAATAGATAGTTAAATAGATAGTTCAGTACCCCCCCTAAGCAACATAGTCTAATGCATTTTTTAATTTACAGTTTGTCCCATAACTACTCGTCGGTGGGTGCTTCTCAAAGTCAAAAGAAACGTCTGTTGGCCAAAGCTCAGAGCGAGTGTATGCTTCATGTTGCCAAGCCCGAGGCACGTGATTACACAACACAACAGACCAGAGAGAACATTTATGCCACCAGGTACGTTCATTGCATACGGAATAATAGACTTTTATTAGGGGCATCTTGTAAATTCCAAGCAAATTATGAACTACTATGTTAGCTATTCTGCTGCTTTTAGCGAAGTTGTGGTCCGGCTGCACTGTCATAGAAACGTCAAGCAGTTCTGTTTAAGCACCAATGCCACATGGTGTTGATCTAAAAGATCTACCCTTGTCGATCATTTTAAGGTGTTCAGGAGTCACCTGAGGCAATATCAGTCCATTCATGGTAAGCTCTTAACTAATTTAATAACCAGTCAAAACACACCTACTTTGCAGTCGGGGTGTTCAAAGAAGTGTAGTGCACTAAAAGAAGTAGAGGTTGTGGAAACCATCGCTATCCACAGCTTCAAAGTGTAAATATGACAAAGAAGTAAAAACAAACCACTGCTGGCTTCAAGAGAGAGACTGAAATCTTGAAACCTGCTTAAAGAACTACCCCAACTATGTAAACAAACAGTTGAATTCTCTGGAAACTTGCACAAGCTTGTTAAAACCCACCTCCCCCACTCATTTGGGGAGGACATAAGAAAGTCTTGTGCTCTACAAAGGAAATCTGTACACTGAACTTTGTTGCATCAATTATAATTAAAATCAATTATAATAATTTCTTATTATTTTCCTATTTTTTATAGCTTGAATATTCTCTGGTAAATAATTATAAGATATATTTTGAAGCTTAACATAAAAAGTATTCTTTTTACTTAGTTACTTAATTTTCTATTTAATTACTTAAGTGTAATTACCTAAGTGTAGTTACAGGATGAGAGCTACGCTTGTGTTGTCCCATCTTCCTAGTACTCTTTGTTGTATAACGCTCTGAAACTACTGATGGTTTTGGCCTCCACCACCACCTCACCTAACTTGTTCCAACTGTCTACCACCCTGTTTGCAAAAAAAACTTTCTAATATATTTTTGGCAGCTTTCCACCACGACCTGTGGTGTAGGCACTATAAGGAGGGTGATAAATGTAATGCACTCTGCCCTCCCTCCTCCACAGAGAGCACCTGGCTCCTCCAGTGGCTCACGTCAGGGATTCATTGCTGCAGCCGCCACCTGCGCACCACGACAATCTTCCGCCACCTGCAGCTCACACCCGAGACCCTGCTCGCACTCACTCTCACACCCACTCCCACTCCTACACACAGCCTCCACAGGCCCACAAAGATTACTCCATACCGTCAGGAGTGCACCCGCCTGGTAAGATTAAATAATTTGCCTTCATCTTGATGAGTACCTTTAGAGTATTTTCTGTCATGTACTGGTTGTACGCATACTATACTTTTATGTTTTGTGTATTGTTAATTTTGTATGATATTTCATTGGTAGAAATTTATTGCATTGTGCATAATATACTATACTGTATACCTAAACTCAAGATTTAAGTAGGGAGGCATTCCTCGAGACCCTATGTTGTATTTTACTAGGATATTATGGGGAAAATATGTTCCATACCATTACTTAAGTATTATATAAAAAATAAAATAATGTTTAATGGACAGTCAAATGTTGAAGTTCGTTTATTTAGTAAAACACACAATTACATTATACTGTATATTTTTTCTGTTTATTGGTAATTATAAAAAATTATTAATACTGTACAGAAGAGTATAAAATATAGTTATTGTGGTGTTAATCCTGAAGTTGTTACTTAAGGCCTTGTGTTGTCAGTTCTTTTGGTGGAGGCTCATCATAAGGTGCAGGAGAGGGTCAAGTTATGCTTTAGTTTAATAGAAACACAGTGTTGGGGGGGGGGGGGAGACTGTAGTGTTCAAGGAAAATTTGATAAATACCTGTGAGCAGGCGATTGTATGAGCCAGGCTGACTAAACCATCTACCAAGAGGCCAGGTCTGAGACCAGGCCGTTGGGATGTTGATCCCCAGAACCAACAACAGGTAGAAGGTGATCTATGTCTCTTGTTAATGTATCTCTGATTACATATTTTGAGATTGAGGTAGAAAGTTGCAGCATTTGAAAGTGGAGTGGGGGGTCTATGAGAAAGCTGGTGTGCATAATTAAAACAAAAATAAATAGTTTGTTTGAATTATTTGAAACGGTTTTGTTGTTTCCCTGTGGCAAGTCATAGAGAGGCACTTAAATAAGCTTATTAATGACTGGGTCATAGGAAAACTGGAAATGACATAGGCGATTCTAGTTAGTCGGGGTTTCCTTGCGAATATTATTACAAATACTGTAAGATGAATAGTCACCAATATATTACCTAGAGATTATTAGGAAATATGCTGAAGAATTGTTCTATAATTATTACAGCATAGAATCCCAATTGTTAGGGCCCTATGCAGTGGTAACTATCTTGCTTGTTTTTCATTTCTGATTGGAGATGATTATTCTTTAAAGCCCCGAAATCATCTCAAGATAACCTCAAGATAACCTCAAGATTCTCAAAGGAGCAAGCTGCACTTGGTCTTCAGATCCAGAGTCATTGAGATGTACGTCTTGTAAACTGCCTTGATTACTTGATAAGTGTTACTGGGGCCCTGGGCCAGGTTACTGGGGACCACAAGCCAGGTTCTGGCTTGTGGTCCCCGGTAGGCATACAAGAACTCTGCGACTGATGACTCCAAGAAGTGTGGCACTTAATCAGTATAGATTGCTTTGGGAGCTTCCGGGGCTCGCCTAGAAACTGGCGTTTCATTTCATTCAACACTGGTTTTTTGCTGTTATTACACTATAAACACATGTTATATACATCTATGGTTTTATAAATCACAACAAACCACAAAATAATTCTGGTGTGTGGGGGGGAGAAAATCATCATAGTGTAGAAGTATACACTATGACCAGCTGACTCAAGCAGCCGACATCATCTGAGGCAACTTTATCATTGTCCATGATAAACCTAGTCAAAGTGTAAATTATTGTACAGTGCTTAAAAACTTTTCATCAAACTTAAATATGACAATATATTTTACAAATTATATTATAAAAATACTAATATTTAAAAAATATACACAACAGCCAAAAGTGAATTTTATGCTGCCATGTGCTATTAATGTTCATTACCCAAATGAGTTTTAGTTTAAGTTCAAATATTGTATTAATAAAATATTTACAAACTTTAAAATAATTGCTAAAATATGTCAAACTATTATACAGATAAAATTTTTAATAACTCAGAACTATGCACAAAATTAAAAATAAAAGGATATAAAAATGCTTCGAAGCCACAAGTCAATACGTGTAATTACCTAAGTTTAGTTACAAGATGAGAGCTATGCTCGTGGTGTCCCGTTCTTCTCGGTACTCTTTATCATCTGACGCTTTGAAACTACTGTCGTTTTTTTGGCATCCACTGGAGTGAGTGAGAGAGAGAGAGAGAGAGAGAGAGAGAGAGAGAGCGCGAGAGAGAGAGAGAGCGCGCGAGAGAGAGAGAGAGAGCGAGAGAGAGAGAGAGAGCGCGCGAGAGAGAGAGAGAGAGAGCGCGCGAGAGAGAGAGAGAGAGAGAGCGCGCGCGAGAGAGAGAGAGAGAGAGCGCGCGCGAGAGAGAGAGAGAGAGAGAGCGCGAGAGAGAGAGAGAGAGAGAGAGAGAGAGAGCGCGCGCGAGAGAGAGAGAGAGAGCGCGCGCGAGAGAGAGAGAGAGAGTGCGCGCGAGAGAGAGAGAGAGAGAGTGCGCGCGCGAGAGAGAGAGAGAGAGCGCGCGCGCGCGAGAGAGAGAGAGAGCGCGCGCGAGAGAGAGAGAGAGAGAGAGAGCGCGCGCGAGAGAGAGAGAGCGAGAGAGAGAGAGAGAGCGCGCGCGAGAGAGAGAGAGAGCGCGCGCGCGCGAGAGAGAGAGAGAGAGAGAGCGCGCGCGCGAGAGAGAGAGAGAGAGCGCGCGAGAGAGAGAGAGAGAGAGAGCGCGCGAGAGAGAGAGAGAGAGAGAGAAAAGACGCGAGAGAGAGAGCGAGAGAGAGAGAGAGAGAGAGAGAGAGAGAGAGAGAGAGAGAGAGAGAGAGAGAGAGCGCGAGAGAGAGAGAGAGAGAGAGAGAGAGAGAGCGCGCGAGAGAGAGAGAGAGAGCGCGCGAGAGAGAGAGAGAGAGAGAGAGCGCGCGCGAGAGAGAGAGAGCGAGAGAGAGAGAGAGAGCGCGAGAGAGAGAGAGAGCGCGCGCGCGAGAGAGAGAGAGAGAGCGCGCGAGAGGGAGAGAGAGAGCGAGCGCGAGAGAGAGAGAGAGAGCGAGCGCGCGAGAGAGAGAGAGAGCGAGCGCGCGAGAGAGAGAGAGAGAGAGAGAGAGAGAGAGAGAGAGCGAGCGCGCCGCGAGAGAGAGAGAGAGAGCGCGCGCGCGAGAGAGAGAGAGAGAGAGAGAGAGAGAGAGCGCGCGCGAGAGAGAGAGAGAGAGAGAGAGAGCGCGCGCGAGAGAGAGAGAGAGAGAGAGAGAGAGAGAGAGAGAGAGAGTGAAATAGATAGAAGTACTGTACATTTCTTCCTTTACACATGCAGTATGTTACCAGACGTGCACACACATACCTGTATGACTAGGTACACACACACCATTTGCAAAAGACATTTGGACAATTCAACAAGGTTACGATCTTGGTGCAAATTTCTTATCTCGCCAGAATATGATCCATCTTTCCTTTGTGACACATCCAGGCTATTTGTTCAGGAACAGTTCTTATCTCTGTGTTTTGGTATACATTAATCAATTAATTCTATATAGATTAAAATTGACTAATTGGGTATGTTAAATAGTTGCATTGAGTCATCTCTTAACCATTTTTCTGTTAATATTACAAATGATCATTTTTTAGTCGAGTGCTTGTAGTAAGGCACTAATATCATAGTGTTTGTTTAGATGTCTTAAATATAAGTTACTTACAGATATAGTATGGTGATTGGCTAATATATTGTTGGCATTGTTTGCTGTATAATATTTGCAGTTTGCAGTTTTGACCATTAAAGTGATGATTGTCAATACATCCTCTTGCTTTGTGGGGATTAGGAATTAGGCTGTGATACCCATTGACTCAAACATTCCTCCTCATTCAGAGGGAAAACAATTTGTCACCTAATATGCCTCATGCAATTCAGTTGCCATAATTTTGTAACTGTCCTTCATTCTATATTCATAATTTTGTTGTTTATTCATTCAGTTTTATTCATTTATACGCACTTCTCCACATCCCTAGTAAAATATTTACCTTAATAATCCTTCTTTGAGATCCGTTAATTTTTTTTGTTAAGTTCTCTCTCTACATTTTCTTCTTTTTCTTGGTTTGCATTAACTAGTCTTAGGCTCAATTAACATCTCTTTACAAAGAAACATTCAGTTGTTAATATTATTGCATAATTTATCATTACAGGGCACAAGGACTACTCCCAACCGCCAGTAGCCCATAGTAATCGTGACCAGCGCGTGGTGGTGGGCAGCATGAAGGGTTGGGGTAGCAGCAGTGGCAGGGGCAGCACTGTAGTTGTTGCTGGGCAGGGCAGCAGTGGGAGCAGCAGTAACAGTAGCCTCAGCTATGCTCACACACTAGGTCGGGCACATGTTTCTGGCAGTCACCATTCTCCTACTTCCCAAGCTCATGGGTTGTCTCCAGTCTCACAACTGGCTGTGAGTGGCTCACTGGCAGGCATCGTGCCTACACAGGCAGATGTTTACAGGGAATATCGCCGTGCTGCGCCTCCACAAGCTGCCGCAGCTGCAGCTGCTGCTGCCCAAGTATACGTGGCTACTACCCAACCCACTTACTTACCCTCCTCCTTGCCAGCCACACATACTGTTAACCCTTTCACACCAGGGTAAGTGTTTGTCATATCACTTGAGTTTGTAGCCATGAAAACTTTTGATTTGAAGTTAAAGCCTGAATACACATTAAGTACAATATTAGGTATCCAAAGTAGAAATATTTTACTGTTTGGAGATATTGTTTTGACTACCTCCTCAATAGCTTCCTGAAGTTAATCACTGGCCATCACTAATCAGACTAACCAATGTCAGGTACCTGTAAGATTGCAATTGCAAAGGTCTCGCCAAGTTTCTCTTGTCCTCTGTTGGAAGTGGGGAGCTCATGAGTATTAAAGATTAACTCAATACTGAAGCAAACTGCCCTTAATGTAATGAAAGTTGAATAGGCAAAGTCCCTTCAAGAACTTTGGGAAAAGTGTCAAATTACTAAAATCAAACTTTACTGCTACTATACAAGTTTACCCAAGGATTCCTCCCATCCATCACAATCCAGGTGATGAGTTTCTGCTCTCAGCTTGATGCAAATGGCCAGCCGATGCTGTCTGTACTCGAGAAAACTGTTGGCTGCCAAAAATAAGTGTTTGGCATTTACTTGGCCCTTCAGTCTTATTTAGGGGTTATATGCCATTAACATTTTGCTAGTCTGTGCAGCATTTACAGTTTGTCTTGTTACAAAAGCCTACTTGCTTTCTGAACCATTCAAGACCAAAGTTGGCCGAAACATCACGTTTGTCTAGATATGTACCCTCCCTCATTAAAAATATGAATTTTATGTCTGTAAATTCATTAAATTCTGAACAAGCTCATTAAGTGCTGTATAGGAAAGGGCTGTCAATATAAGAGGTAAAAATAACTACATCACAGTAGTACTTACCAAGGATCCAGGTGTTTCTCAACATAAGGTCGTGGAAAGTTATCTAGGTTTGATAAGCTTAGGTTTTGGCTTTCACAGTTTCCTCAGATTTGGACAGTTACTCCTCTGTATTTTCTACATAAGCTGACTCGTCCATCACTATACACACACAACTTAATAATGTTAATTTCCTTATAAAAATACCTTCTGGACCTTCTTTGCTTCATTTAACATTTGCTTTTTCTCTATCAAAATCATCATCACTTTTTAACTGTAGCCTGACCAACTGCTTTCTCTTCTGCAGTGATGTATCACTCTCACTTTAAGCATGACAAAGCTCTATTTTTAGCCTTTAAAAAAGGTTGCTTTTTTATCTTTATATATTTACTCGTAATGATCCATGGGGATTCCAGATTCCACTTTTTTTACAAGCTTTATATTTTGCTCAAAACTTGTCGTAACAGGTTTTCTCTTGAGTTTGTTGTTGATTGAAGACTTGCTTGACTCATTACCTGCCTTTTTGGATGCCATGGTGGCAGGATGTTTTTTTATTTTCTGAAAAAACAAATGATTTCTCCATGTTTTTGTGATGCATCATAAAAGGTCCATCATGGTGATGCACCTTAAAAGCAAAGCTTGGCTGTAGTGACACTCTTGGCTTGGTGGCACCACAATTGGCTGCCTGACAAACTAGGTGTAGCTTCTCTGCTGGCAAAGATCATTCTCCACTGGATGGTTTATCTCTCTCTATTTGCAGAGGGATTCTTCTGTTCCCTGTTCCCTTGTTTTGTACAGTGCAACCTTCATGCAGGGCTAAAATTCACAGAACTGGAAAAGTTGATTAAACTGGGCCATTTACATCATTTTGGGGTCATGGCCCTATTTGTTCCCTTCTTCCCTTTGTAACTTCCGGGGGTGATCTGTTTTTATATAGCATCAGGGCACCCGTTTTCCCCAACCACTGGGCATGGGGAGCGATGGGTGTGCCTTAAGTACACATATTTCCATGACAACCCAAATTATAATATATAATAAATGGTTAATACAATGGATTTTTTTTATTAGTTTTTTCTTATATTAGACATAGCACACAAAGGCAGGGGTTATCTTGAGAAGATTTCAAGGCTTAGCGTTCCCGCAGCCCGGTCCTCGACCAGGCCTCCTTTTTGTTACACAACCCCAGGAAGCAGCCCATAGCAGCTATCTAACTCTCAGGTACCTATTTACTGCTAGGTAACAGGGGCATCAGGGGAAAGAAACTCTGCCCATTTGTTTCTGCCTCCACCGGGAATCGAACCTGAAACCTTAGGACTTCGAATCCGAAGCGCTGTCCACTCAGCTGTCATGCCCCTATCATTAAATAGGGGCTGTCAGGTGCACAATATATCATTGAAAAAGAACTAAGTCTGAAGGCAAAACAACAAACTATCTAAGCGGCAGGTATTTTGACTTTGACGACAGCATACATGGAAAAATATTTCAAAGCGAAAGAACCTTGCAAGGCCCCGGAGTGGGAGGGTTGTCATGTATGCGCATGGGGGTCCCTCCGGCCCCCGCCATACCCACTCATGGGCTCTGGCCAGGTCATCCACCCTCTTGTGAGAAACCATTCGGGGAAGTGGTACCCCTCAATGACGACCCTGCACAGGTAGTTAACTACCAGCTATCCTGACCACGGGTCAGAATATTTCACGGCTATATATATCACCTTGTGCACAAATTGCACTGTGATCTAGGACTAAGGTAGTCTGCCCTTTGAAGTGCACTTGGACCATATTCTGTAGAGGGACTATGTCCAGGTTAGGGCTTTCACAGAGCAGATCTTAAGGTCGCTCATGGTGAGGCCCATATCACGAAGCCCACATGCACTCTACCTGCACCATCCCCCTCTTCAGTTTAGGATGGTGGAAGAGGTGGATGCTGTGTGCTTACCAGTACCTGACCCATTGAAGAATCTTTGGGGTGCCGTACTTATTATGCTTGCTCTGATGTGGAATGTTATCAGCAGAGACCTGGGTGTCTAATATAAAGGCCTTGTCACTTTTGCAAGCAATGATGTTAGGCTTGCAGAAAGTCCTTCCATCTGGTATATGAACCTCACGTTCCAGCACAAAGCCTCTGCCACAAGCGGCCAGCTATGAAGCGGGTGATGTCGTCACGACCTTTCACACGAGCCCCCATGCATCTTGTAGGAGGCTTGGGATATGTGGCCCAGAGTCCCTGGTCTCCGGCAAGCGTCGCAGAGACCAGAAACCCCAGGTCTACCCCTAGCATCTCTAGACAGTGGCTACAGCATTTACTCTAATCTGGATGGCGTGGGCAAAATCTCCTCCACTTAGCAAATGGGTAAAAGACAAAGCCCACTTGTGGCAAGATGGAACCTCTCAAGCAGATTCAAAGCCGGCACTGTCAACCATGCTATACAGTTTTTGCTTTCCGAACCCTAGAGCGCTCAGACTTACCGTTAGAAGGGGTTCCAGCGGCTATAATCGGGTATGCCCATCGACACATTTGAGTTTGGAATGCGGCTAGGAGAGCCACTGTCACTACCACTGGATCCTCCAACTCAACCATCACCCAGAGCTGCTTGTTCTTTGGTAGGTGGATTGATGCTGCAAAGTCATGAATTCTTAGTCCACCATCCTTTACGTCGACATGGAAGTCCTTATCGTGGGGCAGTCATAGCCAGCCACGAACAGGCCTTCTGTAACCGCCTATCCAGCCGTTCCAATTCCGTCTTAAACACGTGTCCGAGAACAAGCCGGTGGTTAATTTTGGAAATTAGGTTGTTTAAGTAGGTATAGTCTGTTGGGGTTTGAGGGTGGGGGGGGGGGGCCTTGGTGATGTTGGTTAGACCCTCCTCAAACAGGGAACCATAGGACAAGCGTCTGCCTCTGACCCTGATAAGTATGCCTAAGTACAGGTACGTGTACACGTCTGCCACACTCATAGTATCAATGACATTGGTTCCGACAAAATATTATTACATTGATCCCCAGGGTAATGCAGTTCTCATATGTTGATTTTAGTTATTATCACCCAGTTTTATACAAATGATGTAAATATGTTTATACAGTTTGAATTCACTTTAACAAACTATTTGGGGTAAAGCCGATTTGTTGCATAATGGATTTTGTTTGATCCGTCTGACCCCTAGCAACCTCCCTTGCCTCCCAAGGTAAAAAAAAAAAACCGACAGCTAACATTTACTGTACTGCATCTTGCAAACGAGTTGCATTGCAAAATGCTGTTTATAAGTCAATTGTTTGAAACTGAACCAGGCTTCTCATAAGAATAATAGTATTAATGGGGGATATGTTCCTTGACCACCAAAGATCATTACACGAAACCAATATTTTTGGGACAGATATTAAAACAAAAACAAAATAACACTGCCTATCATTTATCTGAATGGAAGTTATCTTGCTTGTAAAAGTTTTTGAAGAGTGAAAAGTTTTAATTAAATAAATAAGTGCAAATATTGGATATAGTCACTTGTAAATCATTGTACGAGTAAGCACTTCCCACCCTCCTTCCATCACTAGCCCTCTGCCCCACCCCACCATTGTGGACTTGGGAGAGCCACCAGTCTTAACTCTTGTCACTCTTAACACTCCCCAAGCCCCAGGCCAGGCTGGGGAGTAGAACAATTCCCACAACCCCGTCCAGGTACTGTCATCTTTCCACCAACACCACTACCTAAAGACTGTACACACCCAAAATCACTCCTGGCACCATGTAATGGTCTTTTTTTATTTTTGTTGATTCTTTATTGTAAATATTTATTTTGTTATGAAAATTATAATTTTATAGTACAGTGGTACCTCGACTTACGAATTTTTCGAGTTACGACCCCAATTTCGTCTGAAAATTTGATTCGACTTGTGACTTTTGCCACGACTTGCAACTTTGTTGATACACGTATGGGTCGATGGAACGCGTGGTTCCTGGTGGCACGGGCGACCCCGCTTCAGTTTATCAGACCGCCTGCTTAGTGACGATCGTGCTTGAATTCTTTGTAAAAAATTGAATTGTTTTTGTGCCTTTTTGAATTTTGAACATAAAAGTAATTATTATATATCATGCCATGAGTCCCAAGAAAGTCAGTGGTAAGGTTCAACCTAAGAAAATACTTGTGAATAGAGGATGTTCCTTCCTTGTTAGGAAAGTGTGTGAAGTATGGGAAAGTTTTGTTGAAAAAACTCACCCAGATAAAGCTGTAACAGGTCATTGCATTGACCTTTTAAATGACAATGTGATGTCTCACTAGAGACAAGTGTTAAAATGTAGGGAAAAACAAGTCTCCATGGAAAGGTTCTTAGTGAGAAAAAACAAGCAGTGAGCCACAACCAGGTCCTAGTGGTATGCAGGCAAAACATAGGAGAAAGAGTACCCTAGAGAGGTCATTACTGTCTGATGTTATAATGGAATGGAACTCTCCTTCCATATGCTAACAAGAGTCGTCAGTAAAGGTAAGCTATAACTTGTACATATTATAGTACTAAATATTTGTGTATATTAGGTATGAAATGTATTTTGAAGTTAATATTTTTGGGAGTGGGGAACGGATTAATTCAATTTACATTATTTCTTATGGGAAAATTCATTATGGGTTGCAAATTTTTGGGTGACGACCCATCTCTGGTAACGGATTGAATATGTAAACGGAGGGGCCACTGTAGTAAAGAAATTAAAAGAAATATCTTCATAATAACCCTGACATTCATTTTGGTAAGTACCTTTCTCTAACACCAAATGTTTGCATTTTCCTTACTTTAACAAAATAAGTTTTAAGAGGCTGGATCCTGAGAAATGCCTAACACTTAGGGCCAAATTTCTTTAGTCAGGTTTTGTTGGTAGTTGTCCATCACATGACCAGTTGAAATATAAATTTTGCTTAGTCAATTTTGCCCATAGAGCATGGGAAATAGTTAGGTAAAGAATGGTGACTTTTAATATTGCTACAATCACATTATTAATTATTTTCAAAGATGGATGTATCACAATGAGAAAGTGATGGAGCTTTGGTTAAACTATCAAGCATATTTTAAAGAAAATTCTATGGTTCATTTTCATTTTGAGTTTAGGGATTTGTTTACCCTGCTACCTCTAAGAATGAGGCTTCCAGGCTGGGGGTTGTGGGAAATCAGCTAAATGTGGTGAAATCTCTTCAGACAACTCTGTAGTTCATCATGTGATAGGTGCATAGAGAAAAAATTAGGGTTTGAAGGGTAACTTCTTTAATAGGCTTTGCTTACATTATTAATAACTTTTGTATATGAATAAAATATTACGAGAAACAGGCATAGCAGTATATTTTTCGTGTTATCTTAAATACACGATTTAAAGATACGAGTGGCTTTTGCAATAATTATTTCGGGCAGTTTTCCCCATAATAGACAATCGGGTAATTGTGCAATAATTTAATGCTGGTGATCTATTCCCCTTAAACATTTGAGCCACATTCACAACTTTTCATGGCTCCTATGATTTGCTCGACTAGTGTGTTACAAGGGCGCACTGTGCTTGTCGTTACATTTTTAAAGAACTCTGCAAATGACATAATTGGCTAAACTTGCATTTTTGAAAAGAGATATCGAAGAGCATTTTCAAAGGATACCTGATCAACCAGGCTGCGAGTAGCCACATCGTACAGCCTGGTTGATCAGACCAGCAACCAGGAGCGTTGATCCTTGGAATCATCAACAGATAGGCAGGTGTTCTGGAAACTTGCTAAGCGTTTATTTTTGTATTTGTTGAATAAATTCCTCCCGGGTAATCAGAGTTTATCCACCGTTATTCTTCCTTATCCTCATAGAAGACATTGACAGAGACTACGACGGCTCCTCCTGAGCCGTCGTAGTCTCTTGACCTGATTTTAGTCTTTCTCCCCCTCACCTCGGTATATGGTTTCCCATTTGGCTTGTGAAATCTTTCTCAAATCTGTGATTAGGTAGCTCTTTCCTCCAGCTTTAAGGTTGAAAAGCTTCAGGCTCTTCTCAGAGGGCAGGGACTCTTTATTTCTTTGGCCCTGGAGGGCAGTTTGTTCATTTGCAGCCTTCTTCTTTTCTGGCGAAGAATGAGTCAGTGAATTCTGGAGGTGGTCCTTTGGTGATTTGATGCTTGGTTAGTCCGGGGTGCATCATTTCTTGTATGTAGTGTGGGCCACCGGATCTAACTCTATGCACACTTTGTTGATCGACCCTGCTCCCTTGGTACACTGTTCCAGGGCACACATTTCTCAGGTCATCCACAGCGTCATTAAGTCTGTGGTCAACCCTTGAGCCCATAATGTTTGCAAGTACTCTGCATTGGTTGCAGTCTTTTCCAACATTTTCTGGGCTGATATTTGGGCTCAGAGGCTTTTTGCAATCTAACAGTCGTGGCAGCCCAGTATTTGGTTAATGTTCCTATTCCAGTCAGTCATGTGTTGAATTTTGGGTCTTGTCCCTTGCTTAGATTTTCTTATTTGTCATAGTGCATGCTGCCTTTCCTACCTGGTAAGTCCCATTTTTGTTCTATGTGGTTAGTTATCTTCAGGGTACCATTGGGGTACCCCACAAACCCAGCATTAAACATAACGAAATGCCTCTTTCTGGATGAGCCCTGGTGGCTCCCTGACTCACTTCTCCTCTACCAGGCTAGTCATTTCATCAGTGTGCTGTTCATCAGCTCCAGAACTGGCAAGGAAGAGGGCTACATTTGGAAACCTTGCCACCTGGTGGTGGCATTTGGTACTATAAGTTTCAAACCAAGTTTGAATGTTTCTCTTGATCTGTGTGAATCGTTTACAGGGTTGTTTGGCATTTTCATGGCATTGGTCTTTGTTAACCCTCCAGTTGTCTATAAAGTGTTGCTGATTTTCTGAATGCTTTGCTGATGTTGTGGCAAATTGTCACCTACTGTCTGCACCTGCACCTGTTTAAGTGAGCATACCAGGTTTTGGCTCTGGTCCCCGGTAGGCCAAACAGAACTCCTGCTTCTTATGTGACCCATTTCCGTGGAGCAATCTCGGCGCAATTCCTTGTGGGAGCCACCGGGGCACATCCAGAAAGAGGCTTTTCATTTAATTCAATGCTGGGTTTTTAATTTTGTGTATAATTTCGAGTTATTATTGACTTCCAGTAATATTTGTATAATAGTTTCTCGTATTTTAGTATTTTTGTTAAAATTGTTACTGATTTTATTAATATGTAAACTTAAACTAAAATTCCTTTGGGTAATGATGATCATTAATAAGACATGGTGGCATAATAATAGATTCACTTTTGGCTATTCTGTGTGTATTTTTTTAAATAATAGCATTTTGTGATATAAGTTGTCAAATATTATGTCGTATTTAGGTTTGATTAAAAGTTTTTAAAGCACTGTACAATAGTTTCAACTTCGATTAGGTGGATCATGGATGAAAACACAGCCGCCTCCCGACCCTCAGCCTCGGCGACAGCTTGGATGAACAATCCACACATCAAACATTTGTATGTTCCACTGAACAATTTGTACCAAACAATTTGTTTGGACCATCCAGGGATTCTTTAGAGTGAGGATGCACTATATTTTATCCATATTACCATCAGGGATATAAAACCAGACAATAATATCTAAATTCAATTTCTAATGATAGCCTCATTACCCAGAGAATCATCATATGATAAATGTACTTTAACCCCGGCACTGCCCTGCTTTATTTATGACAAAGCCGTGGTGTGCCAAAAATAGTGTGTTCCCCCACCCCCCTCACAATTTTTTTGTTTTTTGAATATTGTTCAAAATCCCTTTCCTGAGCATGTAAATGTAAAAAGTATTTTGAAAACTACTTACTTTGGCTGTAGCGAGGTGGAGAAACTGACGGATGATGTCACCAGAACATGTTCGCCCATGCGGGAGGCTCCTGGAGGCGGTCGCGCGGGCGATTCAAGACTTGCGAGTTGCCACAAATATACCCATATTTTCGTCCATTTTTTCAATGCATTTTCACTCGCTTTTTAATTACTATTTTATCGTATCTGATGCACGTGTGTGTCCTTTACAATAGGTACACAGTAGAACGTTCATACTGTTCCAAGGATTGTGGTACAAGTGTCACTAATGTGTTCACTAAAAATGTTTGTCACAATATTAGTGGTTCATTATTCAATTTATTTACACTATTCACTCACACACACTACACAGTCACACACTGTATTGCGCACACAGTACATGGGGAGTGAGTGATAAAGAAGCAGTCCATGTTACACAGCGTGACTTTGCACTCAACACACCAGGTAAACACAGATTTTTGCTTCTGAGGTCTTCGTTCTCTGTGCTTGCAAACAAAGCACTCGTGTGTACCTTTGGCTTTAGTTCCTGTAAGTGGCATGTAGCCAATCTTGTGGAGTACGTTGTAGTCTTTACAACCCAGTCTGTTGGGAGTTACATGTGACATTATTGGCGCATGAACAACCGTCCTTACACTGTCTTCCTGGCCATACTTGATGAGTAATTGTGACAAGAGACCATGACTAAAAATACGAATTGGTGGTTTCTTGCCTGATTTAACCAAAAACATGTTGTAACAGTTCAACATTTACATCCACAAGGTGAAAGAATAATTTCTTTGTCCACTTTACACTTTTTTGAACACAATAGCACTAACATGTCACATTTACCTACCAATCTCATACCTGTATTAATATTTTAGTCAGTAACACAATCTGTCTTATTCAATTTCCCGTATCTTCCAAACCTCACTTTGCCACTGTCAAGCATTTCACCAGTGTGAATAGTTGTCAACATATTACGTCTATCTTTCCAATGCCCTGATAAATTCTTGTTACATTTTCTTAGTTGACAATTGCCCACTTCAATACCAGTATCAAAAACTGGCATTTCTTTCCTATGTGTCTTCACAGTGCCACACACTTCCGTGTTATGTTCAAGCAGGAACTTTGTTAGCAAGAGGCTCGTATAATAATTGTCCATGTACAGAATGTGCCCCTTGTTCAGCAGTGGTTCCATGGGCATCTTCACCACACTGCCAGAAAACCTGTGAGGATCTTGAGAGGGTATGTCTATGTCTGTACCAGAATATACTATAATATACTGTATATCTATAACCTTTCCTATTTCCCAGTCACACAGTACAAAGAATTTGAGGACAAAATAGTGCCATTTTGATGGGATATACTGCTTGAAAGCAAAACGTCCCTTGAAAAGAACTAGCGATTTATCAATCACAACATTCTGGCCTGGTACAAAGAAATCACAAAATTTGCGTCTGATGTCGCTGAACACTTTTTGTACTTTCCGAAGGCAATCATTTCAATAAACATTTGCATTGTTTTCAAAGTGTAGGCACCTTAGAAGTATCAGGAACTTGTCACGTTACATGTACTTGTTGAACACTGGAGTTGGAACAGCGCTGTCTTTGTTCAAATAATCCTGTATGACGTGCTTTTACAAAATATTTCATAGCATACACAGAGCAAAGAACAGATACAATTCAACCACAGTCGTGTACTTCCAATATATCATAAGTGAAGCTGGTAATAAGCCACTTGCAACAAGTTGCACTGCATACTAGTTGGTTTCATCAACAAGATGTTGATGAAACATCTTGTCTTGTCAAAATAAGCCATAAAATATTCACTTTCACTCATATCTTCACCAGTATCCGGGAAAGTGAGTGCAACACCAAAATCACTATTATCAAATCTTGGTGGCTCTGATCTGGTGGCTCTGTTTTCTTACACTAAATCTCTGTTGGCCAGGAACATAGTGACCAGTGAATGTAGATGTAGAGGGCACATTATCCTTAGTGTTATCATGGGTAGAGATACACCGGCACTTGGCAGGATTTGCTGAGACAGCAAATCTGCGTCTAGTAACACCACCATGGTAGCATCACTGAACCCAGAAAAAGTTATCATATAATATCACTTTCTTCAATACAGCAGATGACACAGGTGGTAATAATACTGGCAGGGGTGATGACCTGCAAGGCCAAAGTACACCTGGCACTTTCCCCTGTACTGGACACGCTTGCTGTATCCTCCTCATCTGTGTCTATATCTCTCATATCCAATACTTGTGTCAGGTCTTTATCGGGCCTTGGTTCCTCAACATCACTAACCTTATCTTCTTGAAACAATAAGTTCTGAATTTCAATATCAGACGGAGATTTTTCAACACTGTGTCCGACAGGGGACTGGGAGCTTGAGGCACATGCGTCAGCCATGGTTACTCACTCAAAACTGAGCCTACCCACAGTTCTGGGACATGCTGGGAATTTTTTTCAAAATGGCCACCACTCACTGGAGGCCTCAAGCCTCTATCTAGTACCCAACCTGCACTGATTTGAATCTTAGGATATTCACATATAGGATATCTTAGTGATCTTAGTTTTAGGATATTCGCCTGACAGCTGGGTGGACCGCGCTTTGGATACGTAGTCCTGAGGTTCCGGGTTCGATCCCCGGTGGAGGTGGAGACAAATGGGCAAAATCTTTCTTTCACCCTGATGCTCCATGTTACCTAGCAGTAAATAGGTACCTGAGAATTAGACAGCTGCTACGGGCTGCATCCTAGGGGGGAGGGGGGTGTAACAAAAAGGAGGCCTGGTCGAGGACCGGGCCGTGGGGACGCTAAAAGCCTTGAAATCATCTCAAGATAACCTCAAGAAGAATCCTAACATTGGACAAATGTCAGGTGGTGCAGTGCTGTGGTTAAGGGCAAAAGATTTAGGTCATGTCATCCCTTGCCCTTCACCTCTGGGGATTTGAAGGCAAGCTTCCTTAACCTTCTCATTTGTGAAGTCCCAAGCCTCAGGGATCAGACATGTCATCTTATACTGGATTTTCTTGTGGAAATGGATGTCCATTCTGTAATGCAACAACCTGAATTAGGCAAATGTACCCTAAGTGGGTCTTACCAGGTCCAAATATATCTGTAGGATATTTGTGCATTTATTTATCAATTCTGGCTATAAACCTAAGTATTCTATTTGCTTTTATGGTCTCAGGTCACTGCAAATCATGATCCCGCACTCCCAATTTTAACACCCAAATATGCATCATTTAGGTGAACAGTCTCCTTTTACTGGATGTACAAGATGTTCAGGCTCCTGGAGATAGACGTTTCTGCTTCGGCTTAGATTTTGGCAGTAACGTACACCAACGTTACTGGTGTACGTTGTGTCGTGCAGTTTCTCGATTAAGTGGTGGTTGCTGTGAACATTTCTACCTAGACTGGAACCATTGGAGTTGTATCTATTTTTTCCATCCAGTTTGGGGTCTACTTTCCATGCTTATCAAGCTGGAAAGCTTTGGGAGTGTATCATTCTCCTATCTTCAATGTGGCTGGTTCATCCCAGATTTTTCTCCTCGGTCTATTGTCACATTTATTGTATAGGTGACAGGTGTAAGTATTTCTAAGTTTCTCGTTTTCACTTTTCCTTGAGGCATCAGTATGAAATGACTTAACTGGCATTTTGTAAATTCTTGGCTCTCCAGCAGGAGTCTGCTGTTTTTAATCTCATGATTAGCCTTAAAGACTTGAGTAGTTGTTGAGAAATGACCAAAGATGAATACTGTCAGAGTGAGTTTTGCTGTCTTATAACCTTTTGTTGCATTTAGGGCAGTTTACTTTATCATTTGGGGTATATCTGATCCCATGTACATCACATATCATAGAGAGGCACAGGGAAGATTACAAAGGTTCATATAACCAGTAGGCAAACAGCCTGGTGTTTTGTGGATCTGATCAGTAACGGCCATAGTGCAAGCTAGGGAAACCACTAAAACAAGCTCAGAAAGGGGGGGGGTATTTAATTACACTCCACATTTTTTGGAGGAGCCTCTTGGTGACTTCCTGAAGCTATCTTGCTAAAATGGCTTATCCCTACTAAGTCACATCAGCCATAGGAGTCCTATATGGCCTTTCTGGGACCAGAACCAAACCCCATCACAGACATGGAATTGTTGTGATCACCCTCACTGAGAAAACATACAGTAAACAAAGCAATTCAGACAACGGCAAGGTTCACAAAAAATAAGCCGATTGACTCCACCGATGTCTCGCTCAGACCAATATGTTCACTCGAAGCAACAGGTAGCAGTACCCCAGGAGCACCAGGCTTCTGACCTACCCTTGTCTCAGTCCTGTCACTAATTTTTAGTGGATGCAGACCTCCTTCAGTTGGCAGCTGTAACAGGCCTCAATTCTTTTCAAGATAAGTGTTTGTCATCTTTTGGATTTCGTCCTCTGAAAGCCATTTATTCACTTGTGTGTTGTTCCTAACCATTAGTATTTACCTCATGTTCAGTACTGCCATCTTATTTCTTGAATTTTGACAGAGCTGCTCTTGTCATGTTAAGCATCTATGTCTCCTCTGCTCCATTTTGAAAGTTGTCACATGGTTTCTTTCACTGCCGGGCTAGCTTAGGCTCCATGTATTCACTTAGTTGTGCTTGCGGAGGTTGAGCTCTGCGGCCTGCCACAGAAAGCGTGCTGTGCTGTCTTGGTCGCTTGATAAGGTGTTAGTGTTTGTTTCTTCCCCTGGGTTCACAGTTTCCCCTTTGGTCTGGGTTATGTTTGCCAAGGCTCTGATCTTGTTGACTCTTGTCTTAAGTTCAGGTTGGGGAGCTTTGTGCTCTTCTCCAGAGGTGTGGGTTCTGTTCTTGTGGCCCTGGTTAGTGATTTCTTTGTTTGCACCCTTCTTTTTTATTTGGGGGGGGGTAAAAATAAAGACAGATGGTGGGGCATTGTTAGTTGATGCTTGGTTTGTCTGGCTGGGAGTGCATTATTTACTGTGTCCAGTTGTGACAGTTGTGTGTAGCATCATTGAACCTAGCCAGCCTGCAGTGTTCCCTCAGGTCCATGAAGTTCGCATGTATACAGGTTTGACCACTGTGTACACTAACATGTGGTCTGATATTCAGACTTGAGGCTTTTGGAGGTCTTAACAGGGTCCAAATGGCTCATTCTCTGGTCAATGTTTTTATCCCCAGCGAGCTTGTGTTGCTCTGGGATGAATTTCTTGTCCCGGCATTTCATCTTTGTGGGTGTTGTTGCTCTCCTCCCTGGTAACTTCCATATTTTCCTTCTACTCTGTTGTTAGATAGCTTTAAGGAATCCACCAAGAGGCTCTTCTAGAAAACGAGTGTTGATTGTTATGAAACGCCTCTTTCTGGCAGGGCCTCAGTGGCTTCCTGGTACCCTCCCTCCTTCCCTACCAGCTACCAGGTGTAGGTGTATCGGTTCTAGGACTATCAGCTTCTGACTAAGATACAGATAGTACAGAAGCCTTGGAGCTCCGTTGGTACTATCACTTGTTGCCAGTCATTTACATCAAGGGGGTGTTCGAACTTGTTTCCAGTAAATAATTTGCAGAGTCTGGCTGTTTCAATGCTTCATTGTCTGCGAACCTTGCAGTTGTCTGTATTGCGTCATTTACTTTCAGGATGTTTTCTCAGTGAGGGTGATTGTAACAATTCCCCTCTGCCTGTGTGAGGGAGGCCAGACTTTGGCTTTAGTCCCTGGTAGGTCAAACAGGACTCCCATGGCTGATGTGACTTGGTAGGGAAAAGCCATCTGTGTGAGATAGCTTCAGGGAGCCACCGAACTCCTACCAGAAAGTGGCATTTCACTACATGCAATGCTGGTCTTTTACAACCACTCACCCCAGCAACTGGAAGATGCTGTGCCAAATGGAATCAGTTAAATTATGGCAGTATAAAGAATCTTAGTTCTTTTACCTGTGTAGGCTGTGTGCATATTCCAGAGCCCTGGGCAGTGATTGGCCAATTATCATATCACAATAGTCCTAACCCTAATGTAAATACAATACTACAAACTGACTTCAAAGCACAATATTTTTTTATTATTTAGAATAAACCTTCCTTGTTTAATTATTTAATTTCTGAATATATGACTTTAATATAACAATAAAGCTATTTAACCAGTGCACTGCACAAACTGCGATATCATGGTTAAAGGGTGTGCATCTAAAGCATGTCACGTTTGTTAGTACAGTATATCATAAAAGTCAAAACCCCTGACTTGGGGCTTGCAAACTGTTCCTCGGGACTCTAGTAAACAGACTCCATCTTGACAAAATTATCTGCATCCCTGGTGACTGTAAAAGCCTCAGTATTGCCAGTGTGACCAAAGCTGGAACTTGCACTACGTACCTGTTGAAGATTCTGGGGGGGTTACCCACGACTCGGTCTTTGACCAGGCCTCCTGGTTGCTGTTGTGATCCACCAGGCTGTTTGTTGCAGCTGCTCACAGCCTGACATATGAGTCACAGCCTGGTTGATTAGGTAACTGCTCAGCTGGAATACGTCTCTGCAAGTCGGGTCCATAGCAACACTTAATAATAATTAGTCAAATAAGTACCTGCAATTATTTTATGATGATAGTATCATAGATGATGCTGGCTTTAATAAAAACTATGCACAAGGTTCAGATATCAGTGAACACATTGCTAGTTATGGTGTTCACAGCAGGAGGCAGACACAGAACAGGGCTGAGGTTTCATTCAGCTACGCATCATGCAAAGTGAGCACATGTTCCTTTAGAAAATTTTCTTGTGGAAAAAGGATTACTATTCATGATTTAATGGCATGAATTTGATGATAATAGGAGTGTTGTAGTAATAATAGCAATGTGCATAGTATGTTGTAGGTATTGTGCTGCATCAGATGATGTCGTCCGCTAGAGTAGCTAGTCGTAGCGTGTAGCCATATGCTGTACGTACTGTGATAAGATTTCATTACCACACCCACCAAAATTACATGGTGGTTCATTATGGTTTATAAAAATATAGATAGCTATGTATGATGTGTGTATATAGTGTAATAACAGCAAAAACTCTGTTTTATTGTTTTAAGAAACGAATGTCACTACATATGAGCAACATATTTTTTAGCATAGCGATGTTCCACACATTTACTATAAATTCCTCAAATTACACAACTATTGAATAATATTACTGCAAATAGGCTAGTTAAAAAAACATTTAGAAACATTGAAATAATATTGCAAAATTATAGTCCTGGCAACTCCTGCCCAACGGGGCAGCTGGTGCAAGTATCGCCAAGTGCCAATTCACCCAACGCCCATAAATTGCTAAACTTCCCTCCTCTATCGTGGCCAAAGTACTTCGCATACAATAAATAAATATATATATATATATATATATTTTTTTTTTTTAAGTTTCCTGTGATCAGAGAATGCACTTTAACAATATTAGAAAGAAAAACAGATTTTGGGAATATGTTTTTTTTTCCGCATACCACAGTATTGTCATATTTGATTAACAAGCAGTGCATGGGTTAAAGTCATTTTTGTATAACTCCGAGTAACCCCAGGCTGTCCTACATGACCATTAAATTATAACATGAAACCACACAAATGTTTAATATGTAAAATAATTTGTATTTTTCAGTTAAAAGTTATTTATTAATATTTTAGTAATCTTGTAAATTCTGAATTAACTCAGCTTGGCAAATGTGCTTTGCCCATAATGTCAAGTGTGCTTCAAGTTGTTAGATTGTATTTAAATTTGTGTTGGATACCATGTTTGTGTAATTTTTTCCAGACATGTGTATACTGTACTCATTTTGTGTGATTCCAAATAGGGATTTTTTTGCCATCACAAAATACAGATTGCAAGTCTGGAACTGGTGTAATGTATTGTGTATTGTCTCTCTCTGATGGGAAGAGGACATTTATTCACAAAAAATATGAACATATATCGGGGGGATTGTATTTTCAATTTTTTTTTTTTTTTTTAAGTTCATGAAATTATCATTCTTGCATTTGTTGTAGTGTTGTTACAGTAAATGTATTTCGAGATTGTATAAAGATTCCATACTTAATAATTTTAAATCAATGATGTTTAAAGTATTTTGGGCAATTATACTTAATGTTTATTTTCTTTTTAACTTGCAGAGGAGCGTTGCCACCACCAGCTCACCACAGTAATGGACGTGCAGTGCTGGCTGCCCCACCTGCCCATCCTCTTCCTGCCCATATGCAGCCCACTGCTGTCTTCCCCACTCATCCCCAAGTTGCCCCGCCATATAATGCATACACAGCACTTTCCCCTGCCAAGAGCCAATACCAGAGCATATGGTTCTCTGAATAGAAGATATTCCTAAGGAAATAATATTGTAATTTTCAAGAATATATATCTGGCCCAGAATATAAGAGAGTTGAAAATGTAGTCTTGAAAGAAGGAAAAATTCCCTTAGTTCTGGTTTGAATGGCAGATGCTTGGGAAAAGGAGGGGTGCAGTGTGTAGGGCCTGTACCCCAGCACCATCCCTGTTCTCCATTCAACAAGAACTGCCTTACTGCACGAAAGATCAAAACTAAAACAGTTTTACCACTGGGCTTGCTAGATTTTGACTAGTTTAGAAAACAAAACAGAAGGGAATAAGCCAACAAGAAACAAGATCATTAATATTGGTGCCAAGTGTTTGGGGTTCACAGTGACTGATTAGTGTTTACAAAAGTTCCAGTAAGCATCTAAAAGTGTCAAATATATCCATAGGTATGAAGCTAAAGAATATAATTATTCCCCTGTGATTGCTGATTGGGGTCCAATAAAGTTTTTGGGTTAAGCATTCTCCTGACACAACTGAAGCATCAGTAGAGGCCCCAGATTTGTGTGTAGAACTAGTGCATGTACGAGTGTGCGCTTGTCTCTTGGTGACCACACCCTCAGAGAGCATCATAACCGTGCGTCGGCCGTCCCGAGGGCGGAAATATTCGTCAGCATATTGTTGACGAGCAAGAGAACTGTAGCTAGTTATTATTGTTTTTATCATAATTTTTATTGTAATTATCATTTGTGTGCGAGCCATGATTCGTGAGGATAAAACAGCACCAGTTTTGAAGGAAGGATATGGAATGTGTGCTGGCTTCTTTGGATTGCTTCTTTTGTTGCCTAGAAGGAAATGATTTACAGCTACATTTTTAAACTTTTAAGTCGGCCAAAGAAGTTATAGTTTGTTTTGTGTTGGACTTGATAACATTTATCAAGTGTGAGTTTTTGTTGAAACTAAAGTGATCAGCAGTTATATGTGAAGTTTAGCCAATAACCTTATAGGCTATTGAATGCCAGGGAACTGTCTATTCAGTCAACCAGGCTTAACATTATGGAGTTTTACAGGTGTATATTTATTTTGTGTTTTAACAAGCATAAACTAAATATGATATGTTTTTAAAGGGAAAAGGGCTTGACAACGGTCTGTAGTAGATTTAATGTGTAGCACGAGTAGTATTGTGTTTATAGCCGATGAGGCCGACGGACTCGGAACCATGCGCTGTCCTCTGGCCGAGCCCGTCTTCCCATCCACAAACAAAGGGAAGGCGAGAGCAGGACAGGAGCGGCTGCAGCGGTGCGACGCTCACCGGCTGCACCATGTTTGGTGTTTGTCCACAGGTTTGTTTGATCTCTATTAACATATACGCTTTCTTGAACTTCTTCCCTATGTGTAAAGGTGTTATTTATGTCCAGAGTGTGATACCTTCTCTTTATATCTTGAAGAATCCTCTGCATGGTTTTTTGTGCTGGTTTCTTGACCAAGGTCTGTGTGGCCAGGAGGAGTGATTAGCACATACGGGCTGAATGCTAACCCCCCACACCCTGCCCTTTTTAAAGTTTACTATTCACTGCTCTATTGTGGGGATCTTTTTTTTTTAGAGTAGAAGTACATTGTTTAATTATTTGTGATTGATTTTTTATCTTTTTAAGTATGTTAGAATATTTTTATTTTTTTAAGGTGAACATTTACTGTAAGAAAAAGCTTTTGCAATTTATAAAAAAAGCTTGTATTTTTATCGGAAGAAAAATTGGACGGAAAGAGCACCGTAACACTATAAGGCCTGTGAACTAGTATGGGAACGGGCATTGATAGTGACTTCTTCAGTGGGGGGGAGGCAACCATGCCTGTTTTTATCTTAGGCCTAGACATGTAGGGTGATGGTCAGGTCTCCAGCTATTGTCCTGTATTATAGATGGATTTGTAGCTGTAGAAGTTGGCCAAGACCCTGTGTGTGAGGCGGCAATTCCCAAAGTCTATCTCCAGTTTACAATGAACCCAGGTTTGGTGTGTTCTGAGGGTCTGATACTTTACCCATCATTGAGCCACTTCATACACAGTTGCCTACTGTTTTCGTTGTGTTGTATATTAAATTTTAGAATTTTTTTGAGTCTGACAATTCAAATTTATCGTTTAAATAAGTCTGTGAAGTTCGGAAATACGTGTTATTTTTACCCATCCTTTGAGACAGTCTTAGGTTGACCTTGTTAAACAAATTAAGTAGCAGCCTGCTTATGTTACGAAGCAATGCACTGTAAGTGTGACTGCACAAGTATGGGTATTTTATCGTTCTCGTGAAATGGCTTGGTGAATACCGGAGAATCAAATGTGTTTCATGTTAGTTAAAATTTTGTATATCAAAATTTTATTGCAGATTTGCTTTCTTAATGGCTAATAAGAATGAAATGTTTCATATTGAGGCAATATTTATCCTTGTAGTTTGTAACACACTCTTTGACACCGGCTCTGTATGTTGGGATTGGTCAATTTAGAATCTGTGGGACCGACATTTGGGAATTTGTACACAACTCATCAATTTGGTCCAGTAGAGGTTATTAGTAGTTTTGGTGCTCCTTATCAGCACCTACATAACAGCCCTACACATGTGATGTTTGTATTTAGAGTGCCTAAGCTCTAGTATTTTAGAATGTGGCATACAGACAATTTTGATTGTTGGGTAAGATCTCAACAGGTCACCTCTCTCTGAATGTCAATATATTGTGCAATGCAAGGGCCTCTCGAAAAAGTAATCCATGGCCTGTTGCTCCCTCGTCCAGTGAGTGGAGAAGCTGGTGTATCCTGGTGTGTTATTACCGAACAATCAAGATAGTCTGTGTTTATACAGTATAACAAGTAACGTGACATTGTTGCCCAACGTTAGTTCTACCCTCACAAAACACTGTAAAAGAGTTCATTGCGGTACACTGACGTAGTACACTAACGTAGTACACGGAAGTAGTACACAAAAAGATTATAAGTGTACGTATCTATATTTTTCTTGAGAGTGTAAATATAATTATGAATGTAATATTTTGGGTCATTTAGGGTATGTAAAGACTTTGTAAGATAATTGTAATGTGTGTTTCATGATATAGGTGACACAAGTATCCTAAATGCTAAATGTTTCTCAACATTCTTTGTTAGTATTCAGTAGGCAAAAAGATTAACATGTTTCATTGTCATGCTTCAAGACCATTTAAATTTCTTCCCCCCGTCTTCATACTAGATTTCCTGAATTGTGGTAGTTAGAAACCATTAACTTTTTACGACTTAAGAATTTCACTTTTTCCAGTGACTTTGCTAGATGTTAAAAACGAATCCAGATTGTCCCTGACCTCCAGAGTGCTGGGTAGCAACAACATCACCACTTGACCCCTACTAATGCTGTCACTTCTGACTCTGTCAACTGTTTGTGTAAATTTTATTACAACCACTTTTGGTATATAGAAGCCAAAGTTGTGTTTCTCAGCACTCTGTTGGCAGCTAAGATCCTGACTGTGTCTTGCTGATATTGGTAATCTGTGACCATTTTCAATATTTCCATGTGCTCTCCGCTATGTGATTAAATGCCTATTGTCCATCTTGCAAACTGTAGTTCAAGTGAAACACTGGATTGTGTTTTGTTATAGTTAAGGTCCTGTGGGTGTAGAGTGGTTTATATAAGTTACTCACAGTCGGCACCCTCGGCCAGCTGACACTTGGCCGCTGCCCTCCACCACTTGTGAGACGACATTTAGCTTTGCTGGATGTCCAGTCTGGTGATAACAATATAATTAATAATGCCTGACCATTATGTAAGAAGTTTGTGTGTATGTGTGTGTGTGCTCGTGTATATATGTGTATGTGTATGTATGTGTGGGCATGTTTGTGAGTGCACACCTTCATGCATGTGTGCATGGGCAGTGTATGCACAAGGCTCTCCGGGGGCTGCCCACTGGACCCAGGTATTAGTTCCTTAGTTTGCTAGGATGTTATACAGTTTACAGTATACTAGGATAGTTTTGAAGGATTCTTTGATTGACACTTTAATTTTATCCTGTTTTATAATGACTATTTTGGATTTTGCCATGGTTTTTGAGGGCCTTTTACAATGAACTGTTTCAGTGGTACCATATATTAGTATCTGTGGTTTTGATTTTTCGGGTATGTACAATTAGTGATTATTAATTCTGACAAATTATTTGTATGGTTAGCAGTGTACAGTTTATTCTTCAATTTTAATTAATTTTGTTCTGATATTTCCCATATAAGCTCTGCCTATCCACTTATTTCATATAATCATAAAAGAGTAGCAGCAAAGCTTGTTGATTTGACCCACGCTCTTTGTATCCAGTCTGAGTTTTGGGTGTGTTGGTTGGTTTAGCATTATTTTACAACACAAATTCATTGCACTGTGTAGCTCAATTAATATGAAGTTGCTTTAGGTTGCATTGAATTATTTTAATTTTAGATTAGCTACCTATCTATCCCCCCCTCTACCCTTGAATAATGTGACGTTGTGTTGCTGTGGCATAAGGGTGAAGTGTTCTCTTATCTTTTGTGAAGGGATAGGGGGCTGATGACTTTGTTATTAAACCCCTGAGTCTTAGTATGTAGAGGGTCTGTTTTCAAGAGTCCCATCATCAGCTGTAGTTCTCTGTCGGTACGTGCACCACGTTGAGTCTTTCTTTTCTTTCCTCTTCCGTTATTACGTGTGGCTTTTGATGCGCTAGACCTAGACATGATTTTAAAAGGATCAGAATATAGTGTTTCACTAGTAAGTGGTGATGATGATGTGGTTGAGAAATTAAATTTTGTTATGCAGTTCCACAGCTCAATACCTGCGTTTACATGTAAATACTGTACACACAGTGGCTCTACAAGCACATCTAGACAAATACACACACACACTAATATTTGATAGTGTGTATAAATAAATAACCCTGGAAAGAAATATAATTTGTGAGCATTTTTATGATGCTCATTCTGGGACAACTAATCAAATTTGAAGTTTGTATCTTACTGCAAGAATAATTAAATGAGATGGAAATAAATAGTTCACAGAACTTAGTGTAGAGATTGGCATGTAAGAGAGCTGTGAAAGAGTAAGAGTAGATCATAACAAGAGAACACATCAGCGACAATATAACAGTAGCATCTGCAAAAGAAAACTATATGACCCAATAAAAACAAACTGCTGCCACAAAACTAAAATTGTGTCTAGTCCCAATGCATTGTTGGTGAATTTTAGACTAGAATTAAAGTGACTGTTATTTTTGCAGCATTTCTCTGTCAATACAGTTAATTGTATGGACAGAATACTGTGGAATATACTTTGCTCAACGCCCGATCAAAGTTAAAATACATAGCAACACATTATAGAGACGGCAGCAGCATGCTACCAATTACATTCTGGAACTGAAAGGTAAAAACTACAAAATTTTTTAAAAATTTCAGATTATTCTGGAAGAGAGGATCAAAGGATTAGGATAAAATCAAATAATTAAGAAAAAACAAAAGGAATGAGGAAGATGTCATCACTTCTGCTTTAGATAGAACAAAAAAAAAGACATAATAAACCTGAGGAGGGAAAAGAAACGGTATTTCTTTTCCGAGCTGTGGATGACTGAAATACATACATGGCAGTTTGATGTAGTTCACTTAAAAAATGTGAATAACTTTAAAAGTAAATACGATTATTTTTAAAAAGTTGTGACATCATGAATTTATGATCCTGTAAATCATAATAGGTCATTACACATGCACGTATTCTCAATTGCTTTTCTCTTTCTCTCTCGCTCATTTTAGCTCTTTATCAGTATATGCGTGCTCTCACTCACTCATGCACGCACACAGTTGCACAGTTGAGAGGCGGGCCGAAAGAGCAAAGCTCAAACCCTGCAAGCACAACTGGGTGAATACACACATGCACACACACACAGTGTCTTAATACACTTAGGTAATTACACAACCGCCAGTAGTCTCAAACATTATATGACAGTACTGGGAAGGCAGAACATCACGAGCATATCTCTCATCCTGTAACTACACTTAGGTAATTACACACATTATATGTATATACACACACCATGTATATACACACACACCCATCACCATAGTTCCAAAGTACTGTATCATATGACAAAGAGTACTGGGAAGACAGGACACTACAAGTGTAGCTCTCATCCTGTAACTACACTTAGGTAATTGCGCAAGTGTGCGTGCGCGCACACAAACAAACAAAAGTTGGAACAAGTTAGGTAAGAAGGTGGTGGAGGCCAACACCGTCAGTAGTTTCAAAGCGTTATATGACAAGAGTGCTGGGAAGACGGGACACCACGAGCGTAGCTCTCATCCAGTAACTACACTTAGGTAATTACACACATTGACCAGACCATATGTGTGTGTGTGTGTGTAATTACTTAGGTAATTACACACACATGGTCTGGTCATTAGGACAACAGTCTCATGCTTTTGGGGCCCGTGTGCAAGTCGTCAATGGTCATAGTGAATTAAAATAAATAGTAACAAAAATCAGCAAAATTGAAATTCTTGAAACCGGCAACTTTAAGAACACGAGGTCAGAAACCCAGGTAAGGAAACAGAGGAGTCGAAAAAATATTAGAAAGTTCTCTTTAGCAAACAGAATTGTAGACGATTGTAGCAAGTTAAGGGAGAAGGTGGTGGATGCTAAAACTGTCAGTATGTAATTTCAAAGCATCATATGACAGAGTACTAGGAAGACTGAACACCTTGAGTGCACAGTAGCTCTCACCCTTTAACTACTGTATGCTTAGGTAATCTCACACAAATACACACATACACAAACAAACAAAAAACATACATTTTAGCGTTTTCTTGAATCTGCTCCCGTGGTCAGCACTCATCTGATGTCTTTCTGCTGGAATATTAGCATCCTGAATGATATGTAGGAACTCTTGAATATTCTGTATCAGTGTTATATAGCCATCCTGGCTTAGTGCTTTCTTTTGATAATTTCTAACTCGTACTCTGTATATTAAAGTATCTGAGCTGCCAGCAGCATTTCTTGCCATGTGGTAACTTTACAACTATGTCCTTGTTTTCCCTTCAGTTATTCTCTAGGTGCTACATAGTCTTCCTGGCTTGGTGCCTTGTTTTGATAATTACTTATTCTTTAGGTATCATATCTGTGTAGCACCTGGCCAAAACATAGTATATCATACTCTCATCTAATGTAGTGTTTTGACTGGGAATAAATGGAAAACAGGCCCTGCTGATGATCACTTCATTCATTCACAAGTAAACTCCAACAGCAACCCTGTGGGTGTTGAACGACTACTTATCTTTCCCTGTATCATTGCCCCATGGTCCGTCCTGCCCAAACCTTCCATACTATATGGTTGTGTTGCAAACTGTGTCTGCAGAAGGCCAAGTTTGATACGGGTATTGGATGATGTATCTAGGGCCTCCTTTATTTCCACACACCCGTGGATGGTTATGTTAACATTAAAAAGAGGTACATGTTCCCTTACAAACTGTATAGGAATAAAAAACCAAAGATTGACTATTTTTCATCATCTGTTTTCATCTTTGAAATTGGTGTTCTTAATCTTTTTTGGTAGAAGTACTGGGTTTTCACTCTAGGATGGTAGTACATATCACTTTTAAGCAAACCTTTTAATGGGATTGGCAGGTTTCTGAATATAGAGCTGATGCACACAATATCCGTGCCATTGCATGCATAAGATGAAAATGTAGGAGTGATTAGCTCAATTCAGAGGTTGCCTGTCTTGTTATAACATATATTACTGGGACTAGGGATGTATATGGATTACCTCATCAGATGTCTTTGTTTGTATATTGAGGAAATTATGCTGTGTTTGAATTTTGAATCTCGTGATGAAATTTGTGTGTGTACAGTACACCTGCATTTTGTTGTGCTATGATTATGTTCCTTTGGTTTCCCTGCTGTCATTGATATAAAAATAGATATAAATTTAAATTAATTTTGATACAGTGACAGTACACAAAAATATTGGTGGTGTAAACTGTGTTGTCAAGTCCAGATGAGTTACGATCCTGCTGATGTAATTGGGAGTGTGAGGCAGTGCTGAGGTGTGTCCAACATCATATACTATGGCTCATGTTTCTGCTTTAAAACATTCATTTTATTTTGAAATACAATAGGCGTTTAACTTACTAATGTTAGTAACTGTTTACCATTTAAACAAATTTTGGAGGTACAGTAATTTAATAATGAAAACTGAAATAGTATTGAAGACAGCATGAATCTACAACTATTGAATTGTGGATGTGCACCTGAGCATTGACCCGAGCCAGTAAGGTCTCCCCAGAGTAGGAAGGTTCTTCATGTGCAACACTAACTAAAGCAGCATGTGGGTGTTCAACAAGTGAACTTAATGTTATGATACAGCTGACTTGTCAGGTGCACATTTGGTGGAATAATCAGTTGAAATTTGAGTGAACCCATATGCAACTGATTAATGAAGGTTAGTTAGTATTCTGCACCTCCCCCCTCCTTTTCACCTTCATGTACCACTGCCTACTCCATAATGTTTGTGTTTTAGGGCTCGGTGTTTCATTAAAGTTTAATTGATAGCATGTTAATATATTTAATTTGAAACAAAAAGATTGAGAAATAATGGTTTTACTAGTCTGAAAGATGTTACTATTTTATGACATGTTATCAGTCAAACTGAAGCTCATGTGGAAGTGAATTTTTGCCAGTAGTGATCGTTATTCGTTCCCAGTGAGCTGTGTTTTGCCTGTCAATAGTGCCTGTTACTTTGCCATGATCATTGTTACTGTTACTCGTGCCACCAATACCTCCTGTCATTGTGCTCTTGAGCAACACCCGCCCCGTCCCCTGGGGTCATACAGTAACTTGGCTTGAGCAGCGAGCAAGTCTTCTCATTTAAGTCGAAAGGAACGAGAGAACATATTTATTGTGGCGAGACCTTGACCCTGTGCCTTGCCTTCTGGGTAATGCCCTTACTTACACTATGTTCCCATTTTATGACTTTGCAGCATTATTCTATAGACATAATTTCACAAGATTTATCTTGAAAGCTTGACAAGAGGGCATTCCCATGTAGTTTTCTGGTCAACATTTAAAGAGAGTTCAAATGAATACTTATTTAGTTGGCATTAATGTTGAATGGACTTGAATAAGCAGTGAAAGTAATTATAGTATTGGATTGGTTACATGTTTGGTTTTAAGTTTGAACATCAACAAAAGATGTTTCCTGCATGAAACTTTGAAGCTTAAATTTAAGATGCAATAGCTTGAATAAGAAGACTTGTTTCATATGACTTTCCTCAAATTTGAGAATAATATAGCCAATCCACTGGCAATTTTATTTTAATTGGGAGAAGGGTTGATAATGGCCAAATGCTTGCAAGCATAGTGCTAGACTTTTGTTTTGTTTTACTGAATTGTTTAAGAATAACCTGCCATTTTATTTGGGGGGAGGGGGGGAGAACTCCTATTACAAAGGGAACAGTGCCGCTGGGAACACTTAGCCAGATGGAGAGGTTCATGGTTCATACAAGGGGTCATTCAGCAGAACCCATAGGCTCAAATCAAGAAACCCATTCAAAGAAGGGGTGGGGGGGACTGCTGGCAGACTCTTGATGGGTAGGTACACACACTTGTTGACTGTCAACAAGCAGATAACAAAGCACTTGAAGAGCTATGACTGGGGAAGTTGAACAAAGTATGAAGAGATGCTTGTCACTTCAATGCCTTTTCTATTTGTATTTTTATATATTTCTTAAGCAGAGAACATTCCTAAAGTAAAATATTAACTTAAAGAAATAATGTGCATTGTTTTATGGATACTTTAAAGTTTATTGAGAAAGGAAACATTATATTAGAGAATTTAAAGGTACAATATTTTAGAGGTGTGCATGAAGTGGCAGTTTGTTAAACAACCTCCCCACCCCCCACTCCTGCCTCATTATTACCCACAACATTGAAGATATACACACAGACACCCACCAGAAGACAACTGCGACCATAGTCAAGATGGTCTTGGCACCACTTTGTCATAATAAATTTGTATATGTGATGAAAATCTGTCTTTTTTTTCTATAACACCACTTATATCCTGCCGTTATAAGCTGCTGAATGAGTAAACGGCTCCTAATGTAGGCGATCTGCAGGGTTCCTGGCAAACTCGAGTGTCCTGGAGTACACCGGAAATAATTTAAGATAATTACGGAGTGTGTGGGCTTGGACCATATTTCCCGATTTGTGCTTACTTGTGGGAATTTCATAATTGTGCGTAAACTGCTTTACAACTTTTGTGATGTCAGCATGGAGGCTTTTGTAATGAGTAATCTTCAAATGTATTTTTTTTTTATATGGAATATTACTATTAGGATACAATCATAATTAACATGCAGAAAGTATCAGTTTAAATTTATACTTTTGTACTACTGTACAATTATACATATTGTAAATTTCAAATCAACGTTACCTTCAGCCCAAGATCTTTTATGTTGACCAGACTACACACACTAGAAGGTGAAGGGATGACGTTTCGGTCCGTATTGGACCATTATCAAGTCGATTGTGAGAATTGTCCAGGACGGACCGAAACGTCGTCGTCCCTTCACCTTCTAGTGTGGTCTGGTCAACATTCTTCAGCCACGTTGTGACTCATCACCTTTTATGTTGAATATTACCATCAAGGGTCTACTTTAATGTGCATTGTATTTTACACCAGTTGTCAAAGTGAGAAGAGCAGTACAGCATTGCACAACTCGTCGCAGCATCAAGAAACAATTTTGCTTTTTCTGTCTTGCCTGTTTAAGATATATTGGTACTAATATGTACTTGATGAACATGGAGCTAGAAGTTTGTGGAGTAAATAAACCATAACAAGTAACCATGGTTCTAAATAAATACAAACTTGTTACTTGAAGATGACACAGGAGTAGTATGGTATGACATTATATTAACTATGCAGACTTTAGTAGTGACAAGTTATAATTGATAAAATTACATTAAAGGTTTATTATGATTTTGGTAAATGGCAATAATTTCTATTGTAATTAAAAGTAAAATGCTCATACTGTACATGAAATTATAGCCATGATTATAAAAGAGGATATGATAGTGTTTGAGGTATTGTCTTGATAATGGAATGTCATAATTATGGATACTAGAGTAATCATGCTTAAGGGAAATTAATTTTAAAGATTTCATTATTAAGTGTGCCATTTTTTAGTTTAAGAAAAAAATAAGGAGGAAGGATGTTGAGCAAAGAGCGGACACGATGGTGGTGAGTAATAGGGTTATAGACTATATACACCATAATGTTACAAAAATGAAGGGCCTTTCACAATTTTTTTTATTTTATGGATATGCATTTGGTAAGTACAAAAATAATAGGTTGTTTCAAAGGGTAGGTGGCACAAAATATAATTTAATATGAAGATTAAAATCTCAAAACTTATTACATTTCAAGTTAGATATGCAGTAGTCAAACAAAGGAATTCAAAGGAAGATAGATGGTTAACTTTACTGCAAATTCACATATTGTAATTATTTTTCAGTTCAAACGGAGAAAAATTATAAAAAATGCAATGGCCACCAACAGCACTGGAGTGATAAAAGAAATTATGCTCCTTTTTCAACATTCCTTGCACAGCTGGCCATATCTTCATGAGTAAATGGTATACTATCTGTTTCATTTATCTCCCTCTGCATATTCTGATTTCTCTTCTTGATTTTAAACATCTCTTAGACCCACTATTGTGCTCCTTTTGAATGTTTTAATTTGTTACATGCCTTCTAGGGTGCTATTCATAATACATGAGGATGCATTTTAGAATCTTTTCTCTTGTCTTCCACATTATCTCGAATTCAGGCAAACCAACTTGTAGATTCATGTGTTGGCACTCTTTCTTGTATTGATCTTTATCTCTGTTCCTTTTCCATTTGCATAAACTTGACGTAGTGGGTCCTTGATGACCTCCATAAAAGTGACAATCTCCCTAGCCTTGTCCCTCAGATTTTCTTTTCATTCCTTACTACCTTTCCCATGTGGCTCCAAATTCACTGACAATTTTATCATATTGCCACTGCACTGTGCCTCTTTTTGAGGGTACAAGGTTCTGGCTCATTTCCAGAAGACCTAAAAGAACTCAACTGATGGTGCCTAGTAGTTTGGCATTATAGCAACATTATAGCCACAGGAGGCTTCCCCCAGAAGAGAAGAAGACTGCAAAAGAAAACCATGCCCTTGGAGAAGAGCCAGAAGCTCCCCAACTCTACTGCCAGAGGCGAGAGCAAAAAAAAAAAAAAAAAGCCTTCAGGAAAAACATCAAGAGCTGAAGGAGAAGCTATGAACTGAGGCAAGGAGAGAAAGCCCAGTGAAGGAACCAGGATGGCTCAGAAGGAGCAAGATCAGGCCAGAGGTGAAAAATGGCATGACAACTTTTGAAATGATGTTATGGCAGTGTTAATACACTGAACACAGGTAATAATGGCTCCATTAATGCCAAATGATGAGGCAACAGTATTTAGCATAAAATGCCAATCAAGAAATGACCATGACAAGGACAGGACAGACAGAGAAAATGCCAGGCACCTTCATACCACTACTGCAAAGAAATACTGTAGATGGAACACACAAACTAGCCACCTGCTGCAGGCGATGAGTCACAATAACGTGGCTAAAGTATGTTGACCAAACCACACACTAGAAGGGAAGACGATGTTTCGGTCCGTCCTGGACCATTCTCAAGTCGATTGAGAATGGTCCAGGACAGACTGAAACGTCGTCGTCCCTTTACCTTCTAGTGTGTGATTTGGTCAACATAGCCACCTGCTCACTATACAAATGGCAATACACACACAAAGTACCAGACGTGTAGAATAGAAAAGTTTCAAACCAGGCTGGTACATTACTGAGCCAATCTGCTGGAAGAAACACAGCCACAGAAAAACACCTGGGATTAAACACTAGGCTAGAACTGCCAGAAACTAAGGCTGGGGGCCACCAAAAGAGCCAAAAGAAACACCCACACGAGTAAATATCCCCACGCTCCCTGTGCTCATGTGAGATGCCAGATTCTGGTCGGCCATACTGTACATGACTCCAATGGATGATGTGACTCGATAGAGAGAAGTTATCTCAGGGAGCCAACTGGGCTTCTCCAGACAACACAAACCTAGAACAGGTAATGAAACAAATAAGAAAGCAATGGTTCCACAAAAATCAGTGTTCCAAAGATACCAATCACCACTTATCTGAAATTGCAAAGCTGAATGTGGACTCGCCTTTCATTTCTCGGTACTGTACCTGTATATGCAAACAACCACTATTACCCTTCAAATTTAAATATAATCCAGTATGGCATGTTTCTCTGCTGCTTTGAAGCTATAATAATGACAGGTATTACAATATGCCGTATAGCTTTTTGTATGTAAAAAGGCAAGAGCAGCCTCACCTTTGACAGTACTGTAGCTGTGTTTTGTACCGGTGAACTTGATAGATGCGAAAACACTTTCTAGGACTAATAAATCTTGACGTGCAACTTTTATGAAAGAGATTAAAGTGGCCAGTTTTCAAATTTCTACCAGTTATGTAACACAAGGCTGATACCTCATGTTACTAAATGCTGAAGAGTACGACAATGACTTAAGAACTATTACTGGAGTTTGCAATATGGTCTTCCCAGCTTGGTGCCTTCTGTTAATATTTACTTATTACTCTTGGTAAATAATATTTACATTCTCCTGGTAAATAATATTTACACATTTAAATAGGTTACTACTGTAATTAAAGTTTACTTCCTGAAGATGTTCTTCCATAGGACTGGTCTTATTCCACAAAAAAATACATTTTCTTACTGTTTGCATGCCCAACCACTCGGGCTGGACGGTAGAGCGTAATTTAACTGAACACTGGACCACAGAGTCAGACAGGGACATGTTTCTTGCATATTCTGTTGATTAATGAAAATCAGATATTATAATCACTTGAATAATGGTTTTTCAAGCTGATAAAAAACAAAGAAATTAAGGACTGGTTATAAAGCCAATATCTTGTGATAAAATTGGTTTTACATTTAGTCTGATTTGGAAAATTATGTACAGTGTAGCTTTTTGAGAAGAAGCCTTGTTGTCTTGCATCTACAAAATTACACACACATGTAAGTACAAAATCCATTGAAATTCCCGAACCATATTCTCATAAACAAATTGGAAGACGTGCAAAATAAGTGTAGCTCTGTACAGTACGTAGTTATCATTGCCAACATTTTAAGGCCTACAGCATTGCCACCATGTAGTTCTGTACAATGAATAGTTACCACAAATATTTCTTTTAAAGTATTAAAGGTTTTATTTTAATGATGGTATATTACAGTACTGTACTGTACTCCATGAAACAAATATTTTACTTTGCCGGATCTCTACTTTCTAATTGCACCTTTGGAAAAAGAAAATATCTCCTCCTTAATAAATATATAATCCATTTTAAAACGTCGAGTTAGGTTTTTTAAGAATTTGAAAGAGAGACTCCATTTGTTGCTTCATCTGTTCCATACTCTGCAAAACCTGCACAGCTTTGTCTAGTTCCTCATTGCTGGCATCTATGAGAGATGCAACCTCATTGCTCCTCTCTTGATCCAATTGCTTAATCTGGGCTTCCATGTCATTGAGGAGGCCATCAACCTAAAAGAAAAATGGATTCAGTGTTACGCTCTCCTAACACGAGGCGTTGTTACATGTACAGTGCAATGTACCGTTCAGTAGTTCCATAATAAGGTAATTTATATGCAGTACTGTGCTTCAAAACAATGCAACCACTGTCATCTCTTCACTTATCCTTCTATTGCTCTATTCAAGTTAATTTGTATGGCTTGGTTTTTTATTCAAATTGTATCTTTAAAAATCTGTTTTAGTAAAGACATATTGGATACTATAAACATTACCCTTTGAATGACTCTGTCCTCAATGTCAACCATGAGAGAACAATATCTGTCCTGTAGGTCACTAATCTGCAGGACACACTGCTCTGTTTTGCTGGACATATTCTGTAGGTCACTCAGTCCTACTTCACTCAACTAGAAGAGTTAAAACATCTTAAAATCTTGCCCGGAACTGTCAATACAGTAATTATATAGATATATAAGAGGTTACAGGTACATAAATATTTAAGGTCTCTGCAAGACACTATAAATGGCATTTGAAGTGTGCAGAGAATTAAAACAGTCCTCGACAAACAATAAGCTTGGCATATTTTTTTTTTTATTTTTTATTCAGTAATTGTTTTGACAATATCAAACACAATTCCTTACCTTCAAAACTATGTGATATGTAGCATATGTTTCCACCTTACCAGTATATCGCCATCATCAACCTTGACTGTCGGCTGTATTCTGTCATTGCAAGCATCAATAAGTTTTGATCTGTAGCTACAAATTGTAGCATGAGCCTCAGACGCTTGATTGAGGGAGTCATCTATGTTCTTGAGAGTTATATGAAGATTTTCATTCCTCTCTTCAAAGTAACTTTGGATATTCAGTCGTATTGTCTCTGCCATATATTTACCCTGCAAAAAAATTCCAGTGTTGACTGTAATGAAACGCCCCTTTTTGGGTGAGCTCCAGTGGCTCCCTGAAGCTTTATAGCCGAGATGGTTTCCAGACTGAGTCGTCAAATTATAAAACACTGTAAAATATCATGTAGAAATAGGAATTTGAGGAGTAGTATTGGAAACTTCAGTAGCAAGGTAAAAGCTCTGGAAGGTCATATCAAGTAATTATGCAAAGATAAGAAAAACTGGGAAGCTAAATGTAAAGTCCTGAAGAAAAATAAATATTAAAAATAGCTTATTTTTTAATTATTTTTTTTAAGTTAAATTACATCTATTAGTGAATACAATAAATTAGGAAAGGAAATTCAACAGGGAAAAAGCTTTTGTCAGCTATGGAGAATAGTTACACGGGGAAATAGAAAAATGCAAGGATATGCACTTACCTATGCATAAGTGGCCAGAGAGAGAGAAATATTAGAAGCAGCTGTAAAGGAAGCAAGAAACTGCAGGAACCAGCACAGTGAAGGCATCAGACCAGAAATCAGGAAGGAACTGCCACCAAACCTAAATTTGGTGCAAAACACGATTGATCGAACTTCTTAATAATTTTTGGTTGCAAAGAAAAGTTAATAACATCTAGGTAAGAAAGAGACACAAACTAAATAAAAGTAAGCAGTAGATCAATTATGACCGAAACACACATCGGAAAGTGAAGAAACTACGATGTTTCTGATGTGTGATTTGGGCATCATAGTAGATAAAATTGTTAGGCTAGTGGAAGGTCTTACAACTAAAGATAATGCCTGTGACTACAGAAGAATTGGTAGGTAAAAAAAAAAAAAAAAAAAAAAAGATCGACCCTTGAGGATCATCCTAAATGAAGTTTAACAGAGTATTAGTTCTCAGGACTGTTAGGAAACTGCAAAGTGATGAGGATGGCAGGTTATGGTCATAAGACAAGGTCTTTCAAAGGAAGATGGAAAGAAGCTGAAACAACTTCATAGAGGCAAAATGTTTAAATAAAAGCAGGAATGAGGAAGAAATATTTGTTTTATTTATTCCCCTACAAGGTGATAGGTATTCAGAAGCTTATGAAATGGTACAAAAAAGTAAACCAACAAAATCATTAAAGAAAGGGGGGCGTATAGGACAAAGGGAGAGGGAACATGTTCTTGAAAATTGCATATACAGTAGTAATGTAGATGGAGTGAGGTACAAAATACCAGAGCATAATGACATAATACAGCTTAAAATAGCAGATACTGTTGCACTAACAGAGACAGAACGTTTAAGATAATGTTAAAGGTTATATTTTCGAGGGCTACTCAATGTGAGAGACGTGAGAAAAGGTGGAGGTGTGGCCATCTGGTGAAACAACACCTAAAGGTAAAATAATTAACAACTGACAACTCACAAAAAGTTGACAATGGCACTGGAGATTTGATGAATTTGATGAATTGGGTTGATAACCTGGTGATCATAAATGCCTACAACCCACCAGCAGGCAACACATGGACAAATGAGTATGATTCATAATGATCATGAGAGATTACAGTAGGAGTGGGTAAAGATTATTCATTATTGTTAATATTTGATGCCTTCAACTTGAAGTCAATAGACTGGAAGGTCCACAATGCAAGAACAGTAGGACTTCTGGACTGACAGATTCACAAACTTTATCCTGCAGACATTCATATTAACACATTAAGCAAGCCACAAAAATGAGGAAAGGAGATGTTCCTTCAATGCTGGATTCTGATATTCACCAGAAAAAAAAGATATATTTGAATTTTAGTATTGTCTCTGTTCGATAAGAGCGACCATATCATTTTGTTAGTAAAATATGCAATAAATTATAATCTAGGAGAGAATGAGGAAATTAATATCAAATCCGTGCTTCCTCCTAGCTGGAAGGGAATGCTCGGTTTTCTGTTAGGAAATTGCAGCAGTTCGCACAATCTCGTCCTTGAGTGGAAAGTGGTGTTCTTCGTCATTAGTTTGGCTTTGGCAGGAATAAATAGCTCCTAAGCACAGCTTTTTTTTTTTTTACACCTGTCCCTCAATACAGTATGTAGTTTCAGGACTACTGTCATACACGAACAAATAATTTATGCACCTCGAGAATGGTCCTAGGGTATAGCTTGGACAAGATGCCATAGATTAGCCATGGGCAGCACTTCTTCCCACTTATATCCTCAAAAAATAATAATAATAAATAAACAATATTGAAGGTGAGCCATTACCAAAATTTCCAGGATAGTCTTGTGAATCTCTTGGAGATAGAGCCACTTCTTCTGCTGTGAGTGGTGGAACATCTCCAATGCCTCCTTCAGCTGCTGTCTTAACTCCTCCACTCGGTCCATTCTTCCCCATTCTGAAGAATAAACACCAATACTTTTTATTTAAGGCAATATATAAATCCAGTGATAAATGCATTACACTCAACAACTTAACTGAATAGACAACACAGATGCCAAAATAATATTTTATCTACGGGTACAATAAAGTCCATTAACCCAGGCACTGGGAGATGCCTAATACCGATGCCAATAGCTTGTATCTAATCTTTCTTGTGATTAATGCCTTACATATCAAAATCTTCTGAATCTTTAAGATGGCATTGTTTACAATCCACCAGGGTTTACAGGCTGTTATAGTGTACAATCCACCAGGGTTTACAGGCAGCTATGGTGTACAATCCACCAAGGTTTACAGGCAGCTATGGTGTACAATCCACCAAGGTTTACAGGCAGCTATGGTGTACAATCCATCAGGGTTTACAGGCTGCTAGTGTACAATCCACCAGGGTTTACAGGCAGCTATGGTGTACAATCTACCAGGGTTTACAGGCAGCTATGGTGTACAATCTACCAGGGTTTACAGGCAGCTATGGTGTACAATCTACCAGGGTTTACAGACAGCTATGGTGTACAATCCACCAAGGTTTACAGGCAGCTATGGTGTACAATCTAGCAGGGTTCACAGACAGCTATGGTGTACAATCCACCAAGGTTTACAGGCAGCTATGGTGTACAATCCACCAGGGTCTACAGGCTGCCAGTTTACAGTCACAGGTTCTAATGACCGCCACCAACAAGGAGCAACAGGTTCAAGCTCAACAAGCCACAATGAAGGACTGAGAACAGGAGCTGCTTATCCACCCACAGGGTTATAAACTCGTGGAACCGCCTACCCGCCGAAATTTTAACTTTTAAAGTGCAGCTGGAAAAGATCAATGCAAATAGAAGGACCTTTGACAAGCCGCCGGCTTCGTGTCCTCGTCGAGGGTGTTCGTGGCCCTCAGGTTAACTCAGGTAAACGTTTAGATTCTTAAGTTATAGTAAGACAGAATTTCGTATGAAACATGCAATGGTGGGAACACTCAAGTTATAAATTCTCTCTGGCAATGGCTGTTGATATCTGTAAATATCATCCGACGCATCACTTTACCTAACTGATGATAAGATCATCAGACATTTGAAGAATAATGTGTTCCGACTCACCAATTTGGCGCCACACGTTGAACTGTCAGGTGGCGGGATAAGGGAAGTGAGAGTGTAGTGCCGCCCCTCAGGTGGTGTTGAGGGCTGTAAGGCGGAGGCTCTGGCTCTCTCTCTGGAGGATCACACACCACTCCCAGGTGTCCCGCGACCCTCGCTCCCGCCCCGCCACCCGCACTCTCACTTCCTTATACTTAACAACAATCAGCTGATCACATCTTGACACTTCGTATTTCCTCCTACTTTCAGTCCCCGTAATGGTGAGAATTATTGTTTCTCTCGTCCTCTTGAGTTTTTCTCAGCAGTGTCCACGTGGGTGTAACCTGTGGTGATGTGTTCCTTCTCCGGCTGTGGTTTTTGATGAAATGAATTTGTGGTGTTGTGGACCCTAGTGTAAGGAAGCACTCGCACTCATACTTAAATTATATTATAATATATTTAAGATTAGTTTGAGCGTAATTTTAATGCGGGGAATATAATTTCCGTCCTTGCATAACTTAGGTTTGTCTTGTCCATATAGGTTTCCTGTGCTATATGGAGAAGTATCCCAGCTATGTAGTGTCCATCTGCTACCATAACCATGGAGTAATATATTAGTCAAATATTTCCTCACACGTAACATTTTCTCAACCGCATGTTTCCAGGTTGAATTTGATCTGAAATAATGTCTTGCATTTACAACTTCGGCGTGATAAACATCAGTTTTTTCTAACATTGTGGCTAGTTGAGTTGAAACTGTTGCCTCCATATGTTACATTGTACCTTTTAAAGAATGGTCTGGGTATATATTTTCCAACTCGTTCAGTATGTGAAAGTTGATGAGATGAGCCGTGTCATGCCGGGTGTGTGGTGTTGATAGTCGTGTGACCCGCAAGTGTTCTTGGTGTGAGACTTAACATGGTTTAGGAATGATTTTTTATTACCCTGTGTTAAATTTTTCAAAAGTAGATATCGTCTTCAAAAAGTGAGGTTTCCATGCTTGGTTACAGTAGCCTAGATGGGGTTATATGCTAGACTTGCACAGTTAAAATAATCACTTTCTTTTTCTTGAAGTCAAAGGTTCGTTTGACTGTTCCTAAGGTTTGGTTGGCTTTCTTTAATGCAACACCCACTTGTGCAAGTTTCAATGACTGGTTGGCTCCTAACTCCCAGGTCCTATTCTTCATTAATCAGCTGCTTGCTAAAGTTTTGATATAGTAGTTGTGATGAGTATTGTCGTGCCCTACAAACAAGGTCTTGCAATTTTCAATACTAAAAAACCTTTCCCAGGTTTCTGACCATTTTTGGAATTCATGTGAGGCCAGGAATCTCTCTGTGAGGCCTCATTGTCATTTACACTTTCTACTTTGGCATAGTTCTTAGTGTCGTGTGCAAATTTGATGATGTAGTTTGAAATATTCGCATCTATGTCATTGATGTACATAACAAAACAAAAGGATTGGACCCAGGATGGACCCGTGGTACCCCACTCACCACATTTCTCCAGTCAGATTCGTTTCTGTATAGGATGAACCTTTTTTTAGCCATTGTTTGACCCATTTTTGTATTTTACCATTTATTCCATGTGCCTATAATTTTTTGCCAGTCACTCATGTGGTACCTTATCAAAAGCTTTAGAGAAGTCAGTGTATACTATATATACTAGTAGTTCTTTGTTTGAATAATAATAATTGGTTACCATTTCAACAAATGTGAGCAGGTTAAAAGGCTTGATTAATTTTTAACAAAATTGTGTTGTATTGATTTGACTAAATTGGGCACTGAGAGGTGGTGAATGATTGAGAAAATCAATTGGAGTAATGCAGTGGAATTAAATCAACAACATGGGAACTAACCAATTGACCCAAATATGCTGTAAATAATATAACCAGGGAATTCGACTGAATCCACCAGGGGTCGTGAGGCATCAAGATGATACCAAAATCAAGGTTTTACACATTATCCGCATACACTCTGGTGTGGTATAGTTCTTCCACCATTCACTCCCTTCAGATACACAAGGAAGTACCAGCGTGGGAGTTCCTAGGTTGCTGGTTCAAATCCCCCGCATTTCTCCAATTGATTTCCTCATTGATATATTATGTTAATGTGATTTCCTTGTGTATTTGAAGGGAGCATATGGTGGAAGAACTACTTTACTATACCTATACTTTATACTTTACTATACTACTATCTATACCAGAGTGTATGCAGATAAAACTGTTTTCAATCACGAAATGTACTTGTTTATATAATGTCTGGGGAAATTGTTTACATTCATTTAGAGGGGACTAGTTCACTCAGGATGAACATGCCTTCTTTGCCTGCACAAACAGCTGGTGGCTGCCCTGACATCAGTTTTAAGTAGTGTTTCACCCAGATAGGCATTTTAAAAGTTTTGTTTTACCCAAAATACACTTGAAAAGCCCTCTTCCTTACATAACCGAGTAATGATAATACTATTTATGATAATGATAAGTAGATAATAACATTGCTGTATTGTCTCTTATCTATAAGCATAGTGCTCTTCTGATATAGAAGGGTGATAGAGTGGCTTGTATGTTCCTCTTCTTTCCAGTGAGTTAGAACATGTTTGTGTTCTAACTTTGTGTCTAAACACAAATATATTCTCAGTACAGTAGTGAGTCTTTGTAACCTTAGACCAGTTAAGCTACTGTACTACAATAAAGAATACTTTTCCTGCCCGAAATGCTGCGCGTACTAGTGGCTTTACAAGATTGTAAATACTATGCTATGTATTCTTACAAACCCAATGTACCTTCTTGTATATAAATAAATAAATAAATAAATAAATAAATAAATAAATAAACTTGATTATCATGTAATGCCATGTGTCTCACCTCAGAATTGAATGCTCTAAGGCCATACCTTACTTAGTCTTGTCTCATACTTCCTGGGGAGTTGATAGATACACACTCCTCTATTTGCACTCCTCTCTCGTGCTGTCTAAACTCCATTATGACTGCTCCACCTATTCCTCTGCCTTCAACCCTTCATCATCTTGATACTGTAATCATACTGGGTTACACCACAGTTCTGGTGCTTTTCATTTGTCCCCCCACCCAACGCTTGTATGTTGAGACCGACATTGTGAGACACAGTCATCGTGATCTTTACTGCCTTCGCTATCTCACATGATTCCTGCAACATCCCAACTCCCACGTGTGCTCTGACTACTATCCCTTAGGATGGTCCTATTCCCACTCACTATGTTCCTTTTCTTGCAAGGATGTCTCATTTACAAGATTCTCGCTTGGTTCACATTTACACTATCTCCCATCATGTTGTTCCTATATTTTCCTTATGGAGGGTCCTGTGAGTGAAATGGCCCTGATCCACATGGCCTAGACTTATGCCCCCCCCCCCTCCTACTCTTATAAAATGTAGTTTCCTTGACATTTATTTATCTCACACCATTGTTCTGTTCACAGATGGGTCTAAATCTGCCAACAGCATTGGCTTCTATATTGTTTCTCCTGATCAAACATATGTGGGTTGCCTGCCCCAGAATCTGGCATCTTCATGGTAGTATAATGCCACCAATGTAATGCATCGGAAATTAGAGAAAGAAGGATGAAACTCTTAGAGGGAGGTAGAGTGAGGTGGAAGGGAGAAGTGATTAGGAGGAGGTGGAGGAAGGGTAGAAGGAAGGGCTAAGGAGACGGAAAAGAAGGAAGATGGGGAAAAGGAAAAGAAGGAAGAGGAAGAAAGGGCTGCCAAAAATCCATTAAAAAATTATTTGTAAGACAAGGAATGGAACTTGTCTGTCCAACAATATTAACTGATGTTATCAAATAACGACTGCACTCATGTAAATCATATACTGTACTGGGCTAGTACGGTATTTACACAACAAAATTTCCTCTATATATCTGTTAAATTATTATTTCAGGGCTCGACTGAGGAGTCTGGCGGGACTGGTGAGCGATGGTGGGAAAGTACCAAGCTTTCTCCAGCTGACCTCCGTCCACATGCGGAGTCATGGAATTTAGCTGCTGATGCTGCCACTGCTACACTTCTCCAGAGTATTTCACAAGTATGTAAGGCCAAGCTACACTACCACACACTTGTTTATAAGCACAAGCAGTGATACTCATCCTGAATGTTGGTCTTCTGAGTGCCTTTTATGTAAATTCTTAAATTATGTTTAGTGATTCTGGACAGTGTATTGCTGCTTTGCTATCCCACAAGATAAATGTACTGTACTAAAGCTTGGGAGTGCTGTTGTACTATATTAAGTTTGCATTACTGAAAATATTAAGTTCCCATTAATTTTTGGGAGGACACGCTCAGCCGTTTCCCGAGGTTAAACACTGATACTGCTGAGCTTTAACTCAATGTTTGTGGCATCTGAGAGTTATACTTGCATACTGAAAGCCAGGAGCAGAACATGACCTGCTGAAATTAGTGAGGGGGAAGTTTGATGATAGGAGAGCAACCCAAAACCCAAAAGAAACACGCCAGCACAACAACACACGGATAGTATTTGCTTGAAAGAAATTAGGCACCCAAGGTAAACATGATAAACAGGAGTTGCTATGGAGTGGTATATCTGGGGTGGCACTGTATACCTAGAGTGGTATATGTGGAGTGGGTTCTGAGAGTTCTTTTACTCCCCAAGCCTGGCCTGGGGCCAGGCTTCTCTCTCACTCCAGTAGGATCATATTTGGAACCTGTCCTTCAGGTATCTTCCATATATGTAATATGTAATACTTGTCTCCTTTCTAGAGAGTACAGTACTGTACATTTTGAGTGCTTTTAGGTGGATCCAATAATTTAGGTGTTTTTCAGTATACTGTATATGCATGCTACATGTGTTCTCTTTCTGAAATCTCTTCTGCTTTGAAAGGGGACGTCGGTACTAATCACTACTCAAGGCAGGAAAACACAAATAATTTGAAAAGTATGAACATTGTAGTGGAATCCCAGGATTTGAAGGTTCTCACAATCCACCCTGTAATTGTCCTGATTCATGCTGGGTTTTTTTCTGTTCTGCTTGCTAAACATTACCTAATCTAATATTCCCAGTTCTTTTATGTTATTTTCCTTCTCTGAAGAGGTCTGATTTTGTCTTGTATCTGAATTCTGCTTAAGTTCATAATTTTTTATCATAGCTTTTCTGGAATTTATCACTATTAAAAATTATGTTTATTTCTGCAGGCAATGAGTTACAATAACGTGGCTAAAGTATGTTGACCAGACCACACACTAGAAGGTGAAGGGACGACGAAGTTTCGGTCCATCCTGGACCATTCTCAAGTCGATTGTCGACTTGAGACAATTGACTTTAGAATGGTCCAGGACGGACCGAAATGTCGTCATCCCTTCACCTTCTAGTGTGTGGTCTGGTCAACATGTTTATTTCTGTTGCCTTGTCAAAGACTTTATGGATATCAGCATGTAGTTTTTCAATGTCTTCTTTAGAGGTAATTTTCATGCCAATTTTTGTATCTACAAAGGATGATATGAAGCTATGACATATATTTGTTTATATCTGATTTGAAAATGAGAAAGTAGTGGTACAAGATTATTGGTCTTGGGGTACTGAGTGGTTCATTTCCATGATTTTATCATTGTGATTGAGTAATTGTGGAAGGCAGGATCTTCCTACTCTAAATCCATGTTACTGAGTTGTGAAGTTCATTGCTATTCATAAAACTTGAGAGTTGCATCATAATCATGCTTTAAAAACTGTAATTATGTGTGGTGTTAGTGTGACTGGTATATAATTTTGATCCATTGCTTTGCTGCCTCCCTTGAGGACTGGAGTGAGGACTGGATCTGCTGATTGAAATGTTTCTGGTATCTCACCAGTATCCAAGCTTGTCAGTAGCCTTGACAACAGTAGTGTTGTTGTCAAGGCTACTTAAGCATGCTCAGGGAAGACAGAACAAAGAGGGAGGGAATGGAGATGACCGAGAGACCAGCTCAGAAAAAATAATTTAATTTCGTTCAGTGCCCTATTTCTTCTGAGATAAGCTCAATTGCTACCTTGGGTCAACATCAACAGAATAAGTAACTTCTACATAAAAACAAAGGACTTGCAAGATGGATGAGAAGGTGAGAGGTTTATGTAAATGAAATGTAAAGTATTTTCTTTTAGATATTGTTTAATGAACCTGTATGCATGTGGCAGCATTCACTATAAATTTACTGTTTGACAAGAAATATGAGTTTAACAATATATCAATATAGTGCCTTGGTCCTTGCAGAGATTAGTGTTACGCACACATGAGGTGGAGGGGACCCTGAAGAAGGTGTTAGAGGAGACAGATCGGGTGATGACGACAATCTCCAATACCAACAATGCCTTCCACATGTTGGCTAACACACAATTTATTGAGAACAGAACCTATCAAGATGATGCTGATTTAGTGAAAGAAAAGTCAAACATGGTGGAAAAGGTTTGTTAGTACTAATGATTCAATATTCAAATACAATTACTGTAGCTGAGAATTTCTCCTGTGATCTAAGATTCCGTCAACTGTTCCAATTATGCAAAGCTGTGGACACAACCCAATCCTTAAAAAAAAAAAAAAGTCATCCCACATGTAATGTGACATGGTTTCTTTAGAAAAAAATTAACTATTGTTGAATTTCAGTAGCATTTCATACCCAGTGACTGTAATGTACTAAGGATAATTATCATAGACATGCTTTCCAGATCAGTTCCAGAGCAATATATATAATCCAGATTTTTAGGGTCATTTATACCATAATTAGTTATATACACTATAATATATGTTCATTGTGTATATAATTTTAAATGGACAGGTATATACTGTACCACGAGTTGTTATTACAGTACATTTGGCTCAGTCATGGCTCATTAAAATACATATAAAATAATTTTTTGCTTTTCATGAGCTTCCTGTATGTAATCTTCACATTCCCTTGTTAATTACCTGCTTGTAAATTTACAGAATAAAACTTAACATGTATTTACGGTAATCATTTTGATAAAGTAGTCAGAAGCATAGAATTCAGATTTCAAGGGGTAAAGAATTTTGCATCCATTGAGATATCAACAAGTATTGTATTCATCATGATTCAAATGTGTAGATAAATTTCAAATTAGGCAAGATAATCACTTTAGTGTAATGTGAATATTGTTCTATACAATGATCAAAATGTTTGTGAATGATATTTTTGGAAACTGATTTGTATTATTTATTATTCAGACAGCAATAGGTGAGGAGGATGTGATAACAAGATGCAAGCAAGCAATTGCTGATGGGCTTCACCTTGTCGACAGGAGCTACGAGCGTCACGAAATACAAGATTCTGATTCTGATGATGAAGACAGTCCTGGCAGGTTTGTTGACATCTTAAATATATATTGCTCATAAGATTTATTTTATAACAGCTCCTTATCCATGTGAGAGTATTTTATTATATTTGACTTGCTTATGTACCCAACTTCACAGTTATTTTGAACAGCATGTATCCTTAGTCAATGGACATTTATTTATACTAGTTAGTGGCTTTGCAAGAATGTAAAAATACCAGTTTTATGTATTCTCACAAACCCATTGTACCTTCTTGTAAATAAATAATTATTAAATTATTATTGTTACTACTATCTACTCTCACTAATCAGGATCATATGAGGCCCAATAATTTAAATCTGAATTCGTAAGAATTCTTGCTGGGAAAGTCCAAAAATTCAGATATTTGCAACTTTTTGCACCACAAGCAACATAATTTACAGGGTTACGAGAGAGACTTCATCTGTTGTACTTATATTACTCAAATAATTTGGATTTCAGCTTGTTGGAGTTCATCTGCTTGATCGATGAAGGGCTTCAATAATGTTCATTTATTAACCTATCACAACCCTAAAATTACACTGCCAGACCCTCAGTTGTTCAGGGCTTTAATAAGCAATAGTGCCAAGAGAAAATATATTTAGTAATATACTGTAGATACAAAAATTACATCTTGTAAAAAAGTTGCAAAAAAACACTAAATATGAAGTAATTGAATCACTTTTTATGACTTACATAATATAAACAAGTGCCAGGTTGGCTGATCCAGGAGTGGTTGCGGGTGTCAGGAATGAGCATGGGTGCTGGGTGAATGCACGAGTGCGAGTGAGAGCGTGGTTGCCGGGCGAGAGTGTCGGTGCCGGGTGAGAGCGTCGGTGCCGGGTGAGAGCGTGGATGCTGGGTAAGAGCGTGGTGTCGGGCAAAAGTGTGGGTGTTGGAAGGGAGAGTGGGGATTTGGATGAGAGTTGGGCGAGAGCATGGGTGTTGGGTATGGGATGTGGGTGTCCCATGCTCGATGCAACAGCCTACTTCTGCTATTACTAAATCTAATTTTTTTTTTTGACAGTCCTGTTCCTGTATATGCTCTTATTGACCCCTATGAAAGCAAACCCCTACCCCTTATCATTGGCTCTGAGGGATTCATGGCAGATGATAAAGTTGGTTTACAAGAGATTTCATCAAGTGAAGAAAATTCCAAGTTGACATTCAGCCCAGATGAGACAGAGAGTGAAGATGACCTTGACATGGAAGATGAAACAAGCAATGGTCCAACAAAATATAAACCGATTCTTGCCAGCAGTTCAAAAGTAATAGTAAGTTGAGGAAAATTTAACTGTTTTAATGTATGTGTTACTTTCCTGTTAAATTATTGCGTTCTGCTTTTTAATTTTTAGACATTACTCTGTTCTGTTAGATTTATTTTTTTTTGAGCTATCTAATATGGCTTACTCCTTTATAAGGCAAAATTCTATTGACCCACGATTAGAATCTTAGGTAGTCAGAGCAAGTCGACATTCTGCAGAGCGGAGAACATTTCACAGGTCAAACTGGTGCTAAGGGAAACATAAAAATACCCAATCCAGTGATGAATATGTTCAGAAAAGTTTTAATTTCCGAAAATAGCTCTCTCAAGCTTATATATAAACATGGTGGTGGCAGTTGACCAAGTTAATTAATACTAGTGATCTCTAGATATTGTATGCGAGTAGCCTTCGACATGGAAAATCAGCCTTCAGAGCTGTTGCCTCTTCACCCCTATGAAAATTTAAAATAGGGTAATGATAATGAATTAATAATGTAATGTTTGACTTTGACTCATGTGTGTCCATTCGTTCATTACTAGTATTATGCACCTGTTAGATTCCTTGATATTGTCTCTGCCTCCATGTTAAAATACAATTGAAGTTTTAAATAGAAGAAATGACTTTTGGATGTACAGTATTTGTTTAGTTACTGTACAGTATCTGTATTATGTTCACACATATAAATACTGTCTTGCTGTTACTAAAGATAAAGTAATAACTATAGTGTATACTGTATCATTAAGTAATATGCACTTGAAGGTGCATCTGTGTTATATAGTATTTTTTTTAGAAATTTCTGTAACTGAAAAATCATAGACCGTAATTACTTTCAGGATGATGAAAGTGATTCTGATTGGTCAGATGATGATACTTCTCATCCTGTTAACTCCCTTCCAACGACAGACAAGAGAAAGCCTCAAGCAGTAACTAGTGAAGAAGAAAATGATGAAGATTTGTTTAGCCCTCCCTCAAAGGCATCACAGAGAGTAAGTGTTGTATATATATTATGCCTTCATCATATTAGTATGGAGGAAAAATGAAGTTATCTTTGTTTTTGCAAGGTTACCCATGTTCACATATTTGCATATTTTCATACTCTACTCCTCAGGCAGGGGGCTAATGGCCTTTTGCTTATATGTATGTATGTGTGTGTATATATATATATAATGTACTGTATATATACATTGGTATCTTCTCTGCGTTGCAGTATCATTGTGCCTTATCATGATACTTCCTTTGCTGATAATTGGTTTCCACTTTTTTGTTTAATTTCATCGCTATTGTGTATAAACTTGAATAGTTTTTTAACAGACATATCATTGTTATATATGTGGATCATGAATAAGAAGAACTCAATCCAGATTTCTTGTTATTTTCGGTATAATTAATGCTGTTAGATGCTGCTGTGTGGCAGACAGCATTTCCTGTCCGGGCCAGAGGATGGAGTGCTCAGAGTGTCGCAGTAGCTTGGTGGCTTTTGCCCTGATTTCGTACGGTAAAAGTTAGTGCCAGAGCTTGCGGATCATCATGAATTTGCTTTCAGATCTTCTCCGAAGTGTGTATCTAAAGTATCAACATAAGCTCATCTCAAGTGGAGATGTCTTACTGGACTTTGACATTGCTATGGTTGTGATTTGTGTTGTTCTTTTCATTGTGGCATGGATTGGCTCCTTCTTCAGGAAGAGCCACCATGCTTGATGGAGAATATATTATCATTGCTGCTGTTTTACTGCTCTGTTTGTGGCTGCTTGTAAGTGAATTGTTTTTGTTCTTATGTCTTTTTATAGTGATGTGTTTTATATATATATATATATATATATATATATATATATATATATATATATATATATATATATATATATATATATATATATATATAACTGAAAACTCACACCCCAGAAGTGACTCGAACCCATACTCCCACAACTGGTATGTACAGGGACGCCTTAATCCGCTTGACCATCACGACCGGACAAAAGGAAGTGATAGCCGAGGCTATATGAACCACTTCCCCGCCGGCACTCGGATGGTAATCTTGGGCATAGCATTTTATCAAATCACCTCATTCTTTGGGGCACACGTGAGGAACACAAATGCAAACAAGCCTGAATGGTCCCCAGGACTATATACAACTGAAAACTCACACCCCAGAAGTGACTCGAACCCATACTCCCACAACTGGTATGTACAGGGACGCCTTAATCCGCTTGACCATCACGACCGGACAAAAGGAAGTGATAGCCGAGGCTATATGAACCACTTCCCCGCCGGCACTCGGATGGTAATCTTGGGCATAGCATTTTATCAAATCACCTCATTCTTTGGGGCACACGTGAGGAACACAAATGCAAACAAGCCTGAATGGTCCCCAGGACTATATACAACTGAAAACTCACACCCCAGAAGTGACTCGAACCCATACTCCCACAACTGGTATGTACAGGGACGCCTTAATCCGCTTGACCATCACGACCGGACAAAAGGAAGTGATAGCCGAGGCTATATGAACCACTTCCCCGCCGGCACTCGGATGGTAATCTTGGGCATAGCATTTTATCAAATCACCTCATTCTTTGGGGCACACGTGAGGAACACAAATGCAAACAAGCCTGAATGGTCCCCAGGACTATATACAACTGAAAACTCACACCCCAGAAGTGACTCGAACCCATACTCCCACAACTGGTATGTACAGGGACGCCTTAATCCGCTTGACCATCACGACCGGACAAAAGGAAGTGATAGCCGAGGCTATATGAACCACTTCCCCGCCGGCACTCGGATGGTAATCTTGGGCATAGCATTTTATCAAATCACCTCATTCTTTGGGGCACACGTGAGGAACACAAATGCAAACAAGCCTGAATGGTCCCCAGGACTATATACAACTGAAAACTCACACCCCAGAAGTGACTCGAACCCATACTCCCACAACTGGTATGTACAGGGACGCCTTAATCCGCTTGACCATCACGACCGGACAAAAGGAAGTGATAGCCGAGGCTATATGAACCACTTCCCCGCCGGCACTCGGATGGTAATCTTGGGCATAGCATTTTATCAAATCACCTCATTCTTTGGGGCACACGTGAGGAACACAAATGCAAACAAGCCTGAATGGTCCCCAGGACTATATACAACTGAAAACTCACACCCCAGAAGTGACTCGAACCCATACTCCCACAACTGGTATGTACAGGGACGCCTTAATCCGCTTGACCATCACGACCGGACAAAAGGAAGTGATAGCCGAGGCTATATGAACCACTTCCCCGCCGGCACTCGGATGGTAATCTTGGGCATAGCATTTTATACCGGTCGTGATGGTCAAGCGGATTAAGGCGTCCCTGTACATACCAGTTGTGGGAGTATGGGTTCGAGTCACTTCTGGGGTGTGAGTTTTCAGTTGTATATAGTCCTGGGGACCATTCAGGCTTGTTTGCATTTGTGTTCCTCACGTGTGCCCCAAAGAATGAGGTGATTTGATAAAATGCTATGCCCAAGATTACCATCCGAGTGCCGGCGGGGAAGTGGTTCATATAGCCTCGGCTATCACTTCCTTTTGTCCGGTCGTGATGGTCAAGCGGATTAAGGCGTCCCTGTACATACCAGTTGTGGGAGTATGGGTTCGAGTCATTTCTGGGGTGTGAGTTTTCAGTTGTATATAGTCCTGGGGACCATTCAGGCTTGTTTGCATTTGTGTTCCTCACGTGTGCCCCAAAGAATGAGGTGATTTGATAAAATGCTATGCCCAAGATTACCATCCGAGTGCCGGCGGGGAAGTGGTTCATATAGCCTCGGCTATCACTTCCTTTTGTCCGGTCGTGATGGTCAAGCGGATTAAGGCGTCCCTGTACATACCAGTTGTGGGAGTATGGGTTCGAGTCACTTCTGGGGTGTGAGTTTTCAGTTGTATATAGTCCTGGGGACCATTCAGGCTTGTTTGCATTTGTGTTCCTCACGTGTGCCCCAAAGAATGAGGTGATTTGATAAAATGCTATGCCCAAGATTACCATCCGAGTGCCGGCGGGGAAGTGGTTCATATAGCCTCGGCTATCACTTCCTTTTGTCCGGTCGTGATGGTCAAGCGGATTAAGGCGTCCCTGTACATACCAGTTGTGGGAGTATGGGTTCGAGTCACTTCTGGGGTGTGAGTTTTCAGTTGTATATAGTCCTGGGGACCATTCAGGCTTGTTTGCATTTGTGTTCCTCACGTGTGCCCCAAAGAATGAGGTGATTTGATAAAATGCTATGCCCAAGATTACCATCCGAGTGCCGGCGGGGAAGTGGTTCATATAGCCTCGGCTATCACTTCCTTTTGTCCGGTCGTGATGGTCAAGCGGATTAAGGCGTCCCTGTACATACCAGTTGTGGGAGTATGGGTTCGAGTCACTTCTGGGGTGTGAGTTTTCAGTTGTATATAGTCCTGGGGACCATTCAGGCTTGTTTGCATTTGTGTTCCTCACGTGTGCCCCAAAGAATGAGGTGATTTGATAAAATGCTATGCCCAAGATTACCATCCGAGTGCCGGCGGGGAAGTGGTTCATATAGCCTCGGCTATCACTTCCTTTTGTCCGGTCGTGATGGTCAAGCGGATTAAGGCGTCCCTGTACATACCAGTTGTGGGAGTATGGGTTCGAGTCACTTCTGGGGTGTGAGTTTTCAGTTGTATATAGTCCTGGGGACCATTCAGGCTTGTTTGCATATATATATATATATATATATATATATATATATATATATATATATATATATATATATATAAATATACTGGTATATATACATATACACACACACAGTATATGCATTGCTGCTCAATTATGGACAATGTGTTGTTTCTGTTGTATACTCTAAATTGTTTAGTATGTGAAAGGTTACGTTTGTGTTATCCAAAAATATGTTTGGTTTTGTGTAAGATAAGTAGAGAGAGAAATGTATTTACAAAGTGCTTATGCTCCAGGCTGCAAGGAAAATACTAAAGGGAGAAAATGAGATGGAGTGGTTTACCTGAGTTTACCCAAGAGCCGCTAGTGGCCTCAACGAGGACAGAAAGCCGGCGGCTTAGTGAAGGTCCCCTCCACTTGCCTTGATGATCTTTTCGGGCTGTACTTTAAAATTTAACTAGTTTGGAAGCGGTTTGAGGGATGTCTCAAAAATACAAACCTATTTTATAGAAAGGTTAAAGAGTGTTGTGCAAAGTATAGGGAATGTAAATAAAGTAAAGGTTGGGGGGTGGGGGAGTTTGTTGATAGATGTACTCAATGTTACAAATATGTGGAGTAAATAATTTTAATCTGGTCCGTCTAATTACCCAAAGCTACCCAAATTTACTCAAGGCTACCTAAAGCTTCCTAGCATTACGTAAGTAATTAAGAAATATGATTTATTTACTCACTATATTGTTGGTGTTGAATGTAGAACATGAAAAAACATTTTTACTTTGAAATAATCTAAATTTATAACAAAATTAAGTGGCATGAGAGGCCATAGAAAGTCGACGATCCAAGCGACAATGTTGTGGAGCGACTTATCCGAAATGAACAAATTATTCAAGCTATATTGTTGCCTAGAGGTTATATTAAGTTATGTTTGGATAGGGTTAGGTTTAGTTAGGTTAGGTAGGTTGGTTAGGTTAGGTACGGGAGACTCATATGCCAGCAAACATTGTCGCTTGGACTGTCGACTTGCTTTGGTGTCACCAGCTTTTTATTTTCATCTAATTTCATTACAAAATGATACTTTTTCAGAGTAAAAATATGTTTTTCATGTTCTACATTCAGCACCAACATTTTAATGAATAAATATATCATATTTATTCATTACTAATGTAATGTTAGGAAGCTTTGTGTAGCTTTGAGTAAGTTTGGATAGCTTCGGGTAATTAGAGAGACCCATTTTATCCTAATGTTTACAATTAGAGAAATGCAGATATCATATTCTGGAATGAATTTAGGCAGCATCAGAAGACTAATGGAACAAATGAGAATAGATAGAATGGGAAAAAATTAAAACTGCTATGAATAGGAAATGTCAAATAAGTGTAGATAGGTATGGGGGTTACGGTGTTGGTTAACATAACGTTAGATGTACGTCAGATGATGTGGGTGCTAAGATGGCAGGTAATTAATTGGACCAAGGCTGTTGTTGATGCTATAATTAAGGGAAAGGGGTAGTAGGTAAGAATATAGAAACTATAGGGAGATAAATATATTTAGTATATCAAGGAAAAGTATATAGTGTATATGGGTGCAAATGGAAAGTGTAAGAGAGTTGACACTGTAGGATATAGAGGAATAGTGGAGGTTTAGGAATGGGAGGGGGTGTACAGATCATATTTTTGCTGTGTGAATGGTGGTTAAAGTTTCAAGCAAAGGGAAGAAAGTTGTAAGCTATCTTTAAGGATTTAGAAAACTTTTAACTGGATTGATTGTGAAGCATTATGGAAGGTTTTAAAGATTTATGGGGGTTGGATTTTATCATTGGGGAAGGCATTAAACAGGGGTTGTGTAATGTCACCTTGTCGACTCCCACTTCATGAATAATACAAAGAAGTAGCGTCCCAATTTATCAAATTGGTATGCCGACATGGTGTTTCCTGCTAGATCTAAACAATTATTATTGATACATGACTGTCTTATACATGAGTGTAATGACTCGCTAGTATTCATTCTTTATTTCAGCTCGTCAACAATGGCACCGTTATTTCATCTCAAATTGGCAAGAAGCTCAGTAATTCAGCAGCCACTGCAAATGCCAGCAGAGGAGGTAGGTTCCTTACTAAATTGGTAAAACTAATACTCGTATATTCCTGCTAACCAGTTCATTCCATTCACCTGGGCTGTCTGGGTCTTGAACCGTGGATCCCAACATTTTTAGGGTCCACGGTTTGAGACCCATACAACCTAGGTGAATGGAATGTTTATTTCCACGGAAGTGTGGATGACAATTTACCTATTCATGTCTATAGAGGATGTGATTGGGTCCCACATCCTAGCTATTGGTACCTGGTGCTTTTAAATGTCTTGATATTCTTGGCACTTTGTTTGTGAAACTATGGTTGAAAGTGTCTTCCAGATGCAGGTGATGAGTCACAATAACGTGGCTAAAGTAAGTTGACCAGACCACACACACTAGAAGGTGAAGGGACGACGACATTTCAGTCCATCCTGGACCATTCTCAAGTTGATTGTGAAATAAAAAAAAAGTCTCTGCCACTTGATTATCTTACATTACATTCCACTTTTAGACTACCTGCACAGAAAAGTGTGTTTTCTTAGAAGTGTTAATTATTTGTTCTGCTTACTTCCACCCATGTTCTTTGGTCTCATAGTATTCCAGTACATTTGAAAAAAGGCTGTCCATGTCAGCTCTGATCTCAATAGTATTTTTTATAGTGATCTCAAGAGGAGGATGGGTTCAGATGGCACAGTAATATGAGAACAGGGAGAAGAGGAAAATAGTTGACATAAACATGTTTTAGGCAAGTATCAGTATAGTAAAGCTTGGTTACCTTGAGGTGCTTCTGAGGCTTAGCGTCCCCGCGGCCCGGTCGTCGACCAGGCCTCCTGGTTGCTGGACTGATCAACCAGGCTGTTGGACGCGACTGCTCGCAGCCTGACGTATGAGTCACAGCCTGGTTGAAGCTGGTCAGACATCTATTACAGGCGACACCATACTGCATATTGGAATAAAGTTTGTTATTTACCTGATTTACCACTAACCCTAATGGCCTTGACGAGGACAGGAAGCCGGTGGCTTGTTGAAGGTCCCCTCCATTTGCCTTGATGATCTTTTCTATGTATATTTTAAAACTTGACACACTTTTGGCATTTACAGCTTTAACGGATAGGCAGTTCCATGGGTTTATAACCCTCTGGGTGAAATAGCATTGCATGTTCTCAGTCCTTTCTCAGATAGTTTTGGAATATAGGATAATAATAATAACAAAGGTCTTTGATATTAATATTATAGTTTGAACTCATTACAAAAGTATCTGTGTGCATAAAAGTGTACTGTAGGATCATTTACCTTGTCCTCTGTATTTTTTGTAAAAATTTTGCTTAAAAGTTTCCATTTCTTGTTCTACAGGTTTGTATTCAGATAGTGATGAAGATGGAGACTTATTTGGTCAGCAGCAGGACCCTTCCAATTCATCAGGTGGACTGTTTGGCAACACCCAGCTGCCCCCTGCTACTAGGCCGGGCAACACCAATTATCTCTTCGGGGAGTCAAACACTCATTCTCCGTCAGGTAAGGCTTTTAAGGTGTTGATCTTTAGCCCATCGTATTTTAACATAAGCCTTGCTTTATATATTCTCTACTAATTATTATTTTGTTTTATTGAGTTTTAATTAAGGAAGTTAATCTATACTCAGAAGAGTCAAATTACTATTTTATTATATTTGAACATATTTGCTACAGGAGTTTCTGCCTGCATATACTGTAACTTTTCTGCCACCATTTCAAAATAACCTTGACAGTCATGGGAATAAGGTATGCTATACTGTACATTATGTTGAAGTTTATTTTATATCATTTATATTCTCAGATTCAGTAAAGTCATCAGTTGGAGTAGAAAATGTGAGAGCGATGCCTGACCCTATCAGACCTGGACCCCCTGCTGTCAGTCGACCTCGGAAGAATGGTGGTAACCTCTTTGCCAGTGATTCTGATGACGAAGAGGAAAATCTGTTCTCTAGCAAGCCACAGTCAACAGGTCAGTCCTATATGATGGAACATCTAACTTGGTGCATATTAAATACAGTATGTGAAATTTTTCCTGGGAGAAGGGAAGAATATGCAAATATTCTTGCATCTCATGCAAGAAGGCATGAGATGCAAATACAATCTGCAGGGAGAAGAGTTTATTTAAATTATAAGTTTAACTTTCACTGCCACAGTTGATTGCAGTGGTCAAACAAAACAGTGGTATTTCCAGCAATAATCCTATTGATTGCGGATGAAAGATACCAAATTATTTTATGCTTAACCAAGTCTTCAAAACTAGTGTATATATACACTGGCTACCTGTCCCCAACATAATGAATTAATATTTAATTTGTGTAGCATCTTACTAATACCAGTAATAGTCTCTGGTTCACTCATGTAATTATTGAATATTGCTTATTTGAAAGTTACTTTGAATGTGATTACAGGTAGTTATATATATATTGTATATGCAGTATTATTATGGATATTTCAGCTAAATCTAGAACCTCTGGAGGTAAAGTAAAGAGCCAGGCTGACCAGTCCAGCACAACCGCAGGCAGTCTCTTCTCCAGTGATGAGGACGGCGGCCTCTTTTCAACCAGTCAACAAACTCAAGGTTAGTATCAATTTAACTAGTGTCCATGCAACCTGCATTATTCAGAGCATGATTTGGACAGACTAGGGGTAATATGATTTGCTTGTTGCAGGAGTAACATGATTTACACTAGGTGTATGTGGCCTATTTTCCTCACATTCCACATTCCATAACGTGGCATTTACTCTCATTAAATTTTAATTGCCAAGTGTTGTTCCATACATGCATTTTTGTCCAAGTCTTTTTGAAGGTCATTACAGTTGTCTAAGTTTACCTTCCCCAGTAGGTTAGCATCATTAGCAAACATGTTCATATAATTCTGTATTCCTTTTGGTAGATCGTTTATGTAGATGATGAACATTATTGGTGCTAGAACTGAACCCTGTGGGACTCCAATAGTACATTTCTCCAGACTGATACATTACCTCTGCTTACCTCCCTCATTTTTCTGTCACAGATTTTTTCATCCATGTCAGAAGTCTGTCTCCCTGTCACTCCTCTGTATGTTCCAGTTTCCAGGCAATCTCTGATGGGGTATTGTCAAAAACCTTCTCTAGGTCTAGATAGATGCAGTCAACCCAACCATCTCTTTCCTCTGTGGCACTGTGATGGGGTATTGTCAAAAACCTTCTCTAGGTCTAGATAGATGCAGTCAACCCAACCATCTCTTTCCTCTGTGGCACTGTGATGGGGTATTCTGTCAAAAACCTTCTCTAGGTCTAGATAGATGCAGTCAACCCAACCATCTCTTTCCTCTGTGGCACTGTGATGGGGTATTCTGTCAAAAACCTTCTCTAGGTCTAGATAGATGCAGTCAACCCAACCATCTCTTTCCTCTGTGGCACTGTGTATTCTTCTTTAATCATATGTATTGTGAATCACTGTGTATTAATTCTTTAATCATTTGTAAAATGTTAATGTTAAAGAGATTCTCAACACTGTACAATAACCACATGTCTTGTGTTGCAGTAGTTAATGTTGTCCTGCAATTTTTTAGGTGCAGTTTACAGCAAGGAGGACCATGAGGAGGAGGAGGAGGAGGAGGAGCCACCCCCTCTTCCCAAGCAAGGAAGGACAAAAGTGAGTCAAATTGTAATATTAATATGGATAATTAAATATAATTTTTTTTTGTTTGAACTGAATGATTTTGTTGAAAAGACTGCCTAAAAAAATATAAATATACTAGTAATAGCATACAAAAATGTTGGTGTGTTGTGCGTCGAGAATCTTTGCCTTGTCATTACTAACAGGATTTTAATTCGTATATTTGAGCAGCAGTAATGAAAACTTGAGAGACAAGTTTGAACGTGATGAGGAACAGCCAAACAATCATACTCATACATAGAAACAGGATATGAAAGTTATCCCCTCTGAAGTAAAAGACCCTCCAGAGAGAGAACCCAAGGTCCAAGAAGGGTTGAAGAGCACCCATGGACACTCCTCGGGCTCCTCCTCCAAGTCATAGTCCTTGCCCAATCCTGGGACTGAAAAGTACCTTCCCAAGGAGAAACCTGAGAGTATGGGGGGAGGAGGGGGTAGGTGGTTGAGAATACAATTGCCCTGAAACCCCGGCAGGACCAGAAGTCTCATCTGCCTCTGCTGGTAATGTGGGTAGAGCTACCCCACAAAGAAGGCTGAGCTACACTCGGCCCCAATTCCAAAACCCTCAGATGCGTTGGAGCTGGAACCAGGAGGGGAATGGCCAGAAGCAGGGCAAACCACACCCACAGGGAAAGGACGTTTGCACCCACCATGCTGCAAATGCCTAATCCTAGCAAACTTAGTCCGCAAAGCTGCCTGAAAAGCTTCTATATTGGAAGCCGAGTCAGTCTGCAGAGACCCAGAGGGAACCAGCCTCACAGGACTCAGGGTTGTCGGTGTCACCAACCCAACAGGCAGCATGGTGGAGTCAAAAAGAATGATCATCTGGTAGCAAAAACTACGATCATCTGGTAGCAAAAACTACGAGCACTCTACAAACTTGTGGCTTCTATGGGCTCAACGGACTTAACCAACCACATCAAATACTTGTGAAGAGATTACCAGGGCTTGAAGGCAGATAACCAGGTAGGGCACTCGAGCATTGAGACCGCTTGCCAGAAGACTGATAACAAGTGCAGCCAAAACAACCAGGCTAGGCTAAATAGAACTCTGCATCTGATGTGACCTATTTGCTTGGAGCAGTCTCGGCAAGATAGCATCAGGGAGTCACCTGGGGCATCCTAGAAAAGCATATGTTTCATAAAGCAAATTTTGTGTTATTTAAATTTTGAAAAATCAAAAACTCACTGCACAAAGTATATAATTCTTCAGATTCGCCTGCTTTTTAAAATATGATGTGTAACAACCAATCAGTTGATTTACTTCACAAATGCAATCTGTGCAGTTTTCTTCAAATGTGGTATATATAATTAACTGATTTTAGCATTGTTTTTTAAGTGTTTTCTGTATTTTACAGTGGTCTCCTTGCCTTCATTCTTGTGCACACAGAATTATAACAAATAAAGTTTTCTTTATTTCCAGGTTCCAGTTGGTGGCATTAATATCTTTGGTTCTGCTATCACATCTGCGATCCGTCGACAACAGTCTTCTGAATCAGATCCATCAGATGAAGAGTGGTCTAATAAAGGCAGTAGCAGAGGCTCTTTAGCATCTGCCACCAAGCCAGAAACTACATCTTCTCAAGGATCAGTCCCAAAACCAGTCAATGTTGGAAAGTACTCAGGTGGTGGTGGTTTGTTTGATGATGATGACGATGATGATTTGTTTGGAAGCACAAGTAAAAAAACTAACACTTCAACTCATGATGCAATCAATAGCCAGAAAAGGCTAATTTCTGATAGCCCCAAAAACCCAAAAGATGGAAATAACTTATTTGGTAAGGAACCAGCTGATAAGTGTGAAGGGAAGAATAATACAATAAAATCTAGTGGAGGACTGTTTTCAGATGATGATGATGACTTATTTGGTGGTCCTGTTTATGTAGAAAAGAAACAGAGCACCATAGCACCTGCAGCTGAGGAGTCAACTTCAAGCAATGTACTAAAGAAGAATTCAGTCATTAGTCCTCTTGAAGATGTTGAACAGTTTAGCTCTGTAAAACCCACTGCATCCCAAAATAATCAGAAAACATCTCCAGTGAAAGTGCCTGAGACTTCCAAAGCCCTGAGCAGTTCTCTGTTTAGTTCTCTCAGTGATGAAGATGACTTGTTTTCTCCATCCAGCACATCTGTAACCGCCAAAGCCTCATCATTTGTAACAGAGCCTCCACCTCTTCCATCGGCTGATGCCAATAAGTCCACTAATAGAATTTCTGGGTCACCAATAATTCAAGATGATCCATTTTCGTGTGCCCCTCCAGTGTCTCCAGCGAGTAAGACTCGTGAGTCACCTGCGAGGGATTCAGCCTCAAGTCATGACAAACCTGCTATATTGAATGCAGACCAGAAGACTCAATTACCACTTTCTAATAGCTTATTCAGTTCATCAGAGGATGATCTATTTTCATCCTCATCAAACACTACACATGAAGTTGCCACTGTAATTCCAGAGAACAAATCTCAGGAAGATTCTTTAGAAAGCAAAGAGGACCAAACAAAATCGGGGAGTATAATACCAGACGTCACTACAGCTACAAAGACTAAAAAATCAGAGGCAAATTTAGGAATATTTGGCTCTCCAGAAGATGATCTGTTTATTCCTAAGTCAAAAGTTAGTGATAACCTAATCAAAGAAGGTATGAAATACTCCATATCCCCAGATTCTCACATACCAACTGACAAGTCAGATTTCCTTGCCTCTTTAGACAATGATGATGATGAAGATATATTTTCAGACGTTCCAAAGCCACTATTAAACAATAAAATAATTCCCGAGAGCGATAGAAAGATAACAAGTTTTCTTGGATCAGACGATGAGGAGGACATATTTTCAGTCACTCCGAAAGGGACAAGGTCAAATGATTCTCCAAAACTAAAGATATATGAAGATGTGGTGGATGAGAAAGATATATTTAATACTTTATCACAGTCACAACACCAGACAGATTTACACACTACAATAACCAAAATAGTAAATACTGCAGAGGAGAGTACTAAAACCACTGCCTCAGTAGTTGAGAGAGAGAGCCCTCCATCAGTATCTACAGGTACTGAAGATTCTCTTTCTCCACGAGCCTCTGAAAGTAAACAATCTCCTGACACAGCAAAACCTGTAAGTGCAGCCCCAAAACGACCAGTGGGAGGCATAGCTCTCTTTGGAGGGGCCGAATTATTTGCTAAAATTAATAAGCGCAAGTCTTTGTTAAGTACTGGGGTAGAAAATGGTGAAGATGTGCAAGTTGAGAGCAATAAAATAGAACATAAAATCGAAAGAACGAATGAGGATCAAAAAGATAATTTGAATAAAAATAGCATATTTGCTGGTGAAAGTGATGATGATCTTTTTGGCACAAGTCAAGATAAATCTGAACTAAGCTCATCCACTCTTTTGAATGAGGAAAGTGCACCTACACTTCTAGCAGAGTCTGAAGGATCTTCATATGTACCTTCTGAAAACCCTGAAATGTTATCACCCTCTCAAGACATTTTTCAGTCTGCAAACGTAACATTGTCAGGCGAGAACAAGAATATGCCTGGTAAATCTGAATTAAACTTAAATGAAAGTGGCCAGGCTGAAGATGCTGGTAAACGAACTCACAAAAAAATTGAAATTAGATCCGAGAAGATTGAGCAGTGTCTCTCCGAAGAACAAGGAAATCAAGAAATAAAGCCAAAGAAGAAACCGCCCATTGGAGGAGTGTCAATGTTTGGTGGTGGTGGCTTTGGGGGCAAGGAATTGTTTGCCAAGGTACAGCAAAGAAAGAGCATGTTGGCGCCTGAGAGTGAGAGTAGTGACGATGAACCTTTGACCTCCCCTCCACAAATGTCACTACACACAAAAAGAATCAGTATTGGATCCCGCAAAACTGTTTCTCCAACAAGTTCAGTCTCGCCAATTTCACCGATGTCGCCCCTGTCACCACTGTCTCCAATGTCACCAATGTCTCCAGTCTTTTCTTCTGGACAAAAGTTGCCTAAGACTGGAGGAGAAGAGAGCAGTGTGAGTTTTGATGAACCAGCCACATCTACCACAACGCTGCAGAGTATAAATAAGGTACAGTATACTCTTTCTTACACTAATATATACAATAACAAACAATTTTAACAGCAAAATTTTAAATTTTGGTAATTCATTTTATTATCATGAATTTTAATTAAATTTAGTGATCTTACAGGTGAAGTGTAATAGACATATGGGGGAAGGGAACTATCAGGAGAAAGTGCCAAGCCATTACGACTATATAGCACTTGGAAGGGGTCAGGATAAGGATTTGGGATGGGACGGGGGGGGGAAGGAATGGTGCCCAACTACTTGCATGGTCGGGGATTGAACGCCAACCTGCATGAAGCGAGGCCATCGCTCTCCCGTCCAGCCCTAGTTAAGAGGAGCAAAATCTAGGCAGGGATGGGATTAGATGACTATATGGAGTCTGAGTTTGAACCCTAATGTATGGCTGTGATATTTTGGTGTAGTAGGAGTGTGAATGTTTGGGTTGAAGTAGTGGAAATATATAAACTGAGAGAGCAGGTGCATTACTTTTAAGATTGTGAAGTGTGTGCTTCAGTTGAAATTGAATTGAAATTGAATTAAGTTTATTGGGGTAAAATACACACAAAGGGATGAGGTAGCTCAAGCTATTCTCACCTCGTTCAGTACATCGTGTTAATACATACATATACACACATCACAAACAATAAACATATTACCAAACATTCTGAGAGATAAACATCTAAATTTCCTCCTTTACACAAGTAGTATGGTATCAGACGTACACACAAATACTTTTATGACCTCGGTATACTGTATAGACAATTTGCAAGAGACATGCAGATAATTCAACAAAAAATTACAGTCTTGGTGTGTGCTTCAGTGGTATGGTCATGATGAATATGTGGGTAATGACGAAGTGGTGAAGAGTAGGTTTGAGTCAGAGGCTGCGAGTTGTTAGGGAAAGACAATAATAGGTGTGTTATGAAATGTGGTAGGCATGTGAAACATTAACTGTCAATGAACAAGGCTGAGTAGATGTAGTTATGAGAAAATTGTTTAATGACAATGGTATTAATAACTTGAAAGTGTTTTACACTTTAAATGTTAAATGAAATGTCTGATATATTGCTGTCAATATTTTGCTAGTGTTGTTTTTCTGGTTTCCTACAATGTTAGTTTTTTCCTGCAGTACTTTTTTTTCACGCTGCTTGACAGAGCCTTCCCCACCCGTTAAAATTGAGTAACATGATAGTGATGTACAGTACAGTATTGATATTTTTCACAGAGTCGAGCCAGAGGAAGCCAGAAGCGACGCCCTCCAAGCAGAGCTCACCGAAGAACAGGTTTAGAAGAAAATAATTCTTCAGATACATCAACAAATCTTCAAATTAGAGATTCTTCAGAACCAAGCGAGACATTTGCATCTCATGCACAAGAACATCTTCCAGAACCGATAGTTGTGTCTCAGGTGCAGCAAACCAACTACTCGCCTGTAATACAAGGACCTCTGGAAATAAGTAAGAATGAAAGATTGGGGGTTGAAGCTTCAGCTTCCTTAACTGATAACATAAATGGAGTCGATTCTATTTTTAGTGACAGTTCTCAAGATGACATTTTTGGCAACAGTGGAGTTATTGAAGCTAAAAATCATTCTGTAAGTTCAGAAAAAGCACCTATTATCACAACTAGAGAAGCTGAATTGAATATTGCCCCAAAAAAGACTGAAGATGAGAAGGATGATGATGATGATGATGATGATGATGATCTTTTTGGAAAATCCAGAAGTGCCTTAAATGTGTCCAAAATAAAAAGTACAAAGAAAGAAGCAAGAAATTCTCTGTTTGGAGGAAGTGACAGTGATGACGAGGATCTGTTTGGGGAAGCAAAAGTCAAAACAAGCTTATCTAAGACGTCAAGAAGTGCTGCTGTACATACCAGTGTTATTAAATCAATGACCAAGCCACTTCCTACTCAGTCCCTCTTTAGAGATGATTACGGTAAGTTTGTAAGGATGTTAAGAGGCTTTAATGTGAAAATGTGTGATACAGCTGTTGTTAGACCTTCCTAAGTTGGGATACTTTATGGCTTTGTCAGAATTAATTGTTACAAAGTTATCCAAAATTTTGCGTATCTGTGCAACATTTGAAGAATGGCTTCACATGGCAGAGATTTGTATATGGAAGTGCAAGGCTGTCCTTATTGTTATTGAGCCGATATCTTGAAAACTAATAAGTGTAACTGCACCAAACTTTATGCGCACAATCACATAGTTCTAGTGCTTTTGGCTGCAAATGTTACCCTAGGAAGCTTTGCAATAGAGCCACTAACACTATTTGGTTTCTAGATCTGCCCCTCATCCCTCATTGGCTCCCTGGAGCTAAAGCTTGGCTACTGCTTAGCCTTTAGCTTGTACTACATCTCTCAGACTTTTTCAGGCCAATTTTAAACTAAGTAATGTATTTGTCTTACAGTTAGTAATATAAAGGTATTATCATTCAAGTTGCTTTACTTTAAATTTGTATTTTTCAGGTGACAAGTTGAGTGTAACAAGCAGAGCAGATAAAGCTTCCATTGTTGCATCGAGAAAAGTGTCCAAATCCATATCAAAGAGTAACTTACAACCTTCAGATGAGCCTTTTGATGACCCTCTCCTTAGTAACTTTAAAGGCTGATTGCAAATCCTGTTATGTGGAGAAAAATACAATTCAAGAACATAACTTTCTTTTCAGACATTGTGTGTGGGTCAGGGGATTATAAAATCCACTGGGAACGAGTGCTGTCTGATTAATAAATGCTTGTCCTTGAATGGTGTTTTTTGGCTCCATGTACGTGTCAGCAGTTCCTGTTTCTCAACCAAATCCTGTTATTTACAATGTTGTAATTATTAAACTATTGTTGACAAAGTTATTAGAGAAAAAAATATATCTATCATTGGCTTGTACTAAATGCAATTAAAAACTACGTTTCAGGGTAATTTTTGGCAGTACACTATAACAGAAAACAGTAAATTAAATTTTATGTCACCAAGAAGATAAAATTTATCACATTGGTATAAAAAATGTGATTAATAAGGACTGAACTATGATTGTTATCCCAAGGTCAGTTAATGGTATTATTTTGTTTAGATCTTTTCTTCACTTAAATTTTGTAGTACTGTACTGTACTTACTGATTTGTGCATTATTTATTAGTAGTAGTAAATTTCTTGAGATACTGTATGAGCATTTATCATGCATTATCAAGTTAACTGCTGGGTCTTATTTTTATAAGTAAAAGTCAAATAATTTTTGACACAGGTTGACCCATATAATCATTAAATTTATATGGACAAATTTGAGAACTTTCAATTCGTCTTTTTTTTCTCTCTTCCGTATCTCCCTTCTTTTCCCCTCCTACCCCCTTATATTTCTCCTCCATCTTCTACCCCATTTGTGTCCTCCTGATTTACTTCACTGCACCAGAGACAGTCTTGACAATAGAATCTATCTATAGTTAACATCAAGAACTATTAAAAAATATTAAAGGTGAACATTAGAATACATTATTCTAATTGCAAATGGTAGAGGTGTATTGATGTGTCAGTGTTATCTGCTGATTTTCAGTACAGTGTCAATCAAATTTCAGTAACAGTAAAGTATCGATCAAATTTACTCCAACAGTAAGTTGGGTGGTGGTACCAAAGAACCTAAGTTGAACCCCAACAAGTACAATTAGGTGAGCACTCCTGCCCCAACTAGTCTATCCTCCCGTTCACCCTCTGCTAGTTCAAGTACACTTATTGAGACAATAAGATACATCTCAAAAGGATAGAGTAGCTTAGGTTATTTCTGCCCTCTTTTCCCTCTGCCATTCCTTCAACTAAACCCAAACCTGTCACCACCCATTCCAACATCACCCACCCCCCTGTCTCATCCACCCCTTCCCCTACCCATCATGCACCCCCCTGTCTCATCCACCCCTTCCCCTACCCATCATGCACCCCCCTGTCTCATCCACCCCTTCCCCTACCCATCATGCACCCCCCCTGTCTCATCCACCCCTTCCCCTACCCATCATGCACCCCCCTGTCTCATCCACCCCTTCCCCTACCCATCATGCACCCCCCTGTCTCATCCACCCCTTCCCCTACCCATCATGCACCCCCCCTGTCTCATCCACCTCTTCCCCTACCCATCATGCACCCCCATGTCTCATCCACCCCTTCCCCTACCCATCATGCACCCTCCTGCTCATCACACATTTAATTGTGCTTGTGGGTGTTGAGCTTCGGCTCTTTGGCCTTGCCTCTTAACCTAGGCTTTAAATAGGATACGTTAAATGTGTTATAACATTTTTGTACTGTATTCTGCAGAGCAGTATCGAATTTTTCCAAATTACACTCATAGTTCTATTCAAAATTTCAAACTCAAGATTATTGGAATGTAAGGCATCTTGCTCTGAGCAACTCCAAGAATGAGTAACAATGCAATATAGCAAATTAATGTTCATATTTGTCACTTATCAGTAATTACTGCTGCTGCATTTAGTGGATTGTCCAGGAACAGTTGTGCTATGATTATTATAATCATTGTCGCTAATTTACAATGATTATTAACAAAACCCTGAGCTCACAAGAAACATTGAGATGAGACTGTGTCTTAAGTTCTAACATTTAAAAAATATTTAGTATAGATGTCAATATCGGCTGATAAGGCATTATCAGTATCCGTCAAAATATTGGTATTGGTACACCTCTAACAATTGGTAAACTGGCTCAATTAAGACTAGTCTATATCAGGGAATGATACCATCTGACATGGTACTCGAACAATTATTACCCATGAATTCAGGGAGGTATTTTGAGTTTTATACACTTGATTACCAAGGAGTTGACATCATCACACCATCATCACATAACTATGTTAGTTATATGTTCCTTAACTGTTTACAACTCTGGTTTTCATCTGACCTGTGTCACTGCTGTTTATTTTTATGTTACATGATGTAAGCTTCATAATTTGCTGTTTTTTTGTTTACTATGCTTACTGGTGAGCAGTGCATGTGTACACTCTATATTTACTCTTACTGTTTGTCATACCCAGTAACCACACATGCCTAACAAACCAAATTTCCTTAAATATAGAATTTTTCATAATTGTCTTATTTATCGGTAGATATTTTAATCAATAAGAACATTAATTTGACAAAATTCTATATGTAAAGAAATTTGATTTGTGATAAACAACATGTGCAAACATTTCAATTATAGCCAAAATATACATATTATTAAAAAAAATTGCCGAGTGTTAAGAAAAACTAGGCCCAAATAAATTTGTACTGTAATTAATGTAGGTGAATTGTAATTACTATTTGTAATTAATAGTATCAATATAATATAATAATTTCATTCAAATCTTAACTAATTTTGCCAAAGATATGAAATAAACAAAAACACATTGGCTGTTTAGCAAAATGGTCCTTGCTATTAGGTGAAGGAGAGTAGAACATCTTTTGTTTTATAAGAGAGGTGTTCAAGCAAATACACTAATGAACTTTACACAAGTGCCTTTGGAGAATTTCAGATCTGATAAATATCGGAAACTAGTAAACAAAAATCTTGTTTTCCTATGTGAAGACTTTAACTAGCGATTTGTCTGAGGATTTAGTTATGCTCCTTGTTACCAGTAATAAACTGCTTGTAATTTGCATTATGTAATAGTGATGTTATGTTTCTTCATGGTTTAACTCAAATAAATAATCAAGTAGATGTTAGAAGCCATTGTGTTTTTGTTATATATATAATATTACCAAAACAGATTTTTGAAATATCTGAAAATGTGGTGATGATTATACAAATGAGAATTAGTTTTATTAATGGTTTTCTCATAAAAAAGGCGTCACAAATTTGCTAAATGAGGTGTAATATTACTGTTTAAACGAACAGCATGAGGAGTTACATTTAACCAAATTAAAGCTGTGCTAGCATGGAGTTTGAATTTCAACTATTTTGTTGTGCCATATCAAATCCCATGCTACTTTTGTCTTTTTCAGACTGTAGGGTAATCATACCGGTCGACGAACGATACCATAAGTTGTTAGAGGAAAATAATGTTTTCTTTAGCTAATTGAACTTTAATCGTTTCTTACATTTTGTTTTAAATGTTAATCCAGCGCTTAAATTTTGTTACTGTTACCTGACCAGGCTTTTAGAGCAGGATACAATGCTATCTTTTATGTCAACATTTTAGAGTTTATGGCAGGCGGAGGGGGTCATTTATGCATTACGTGCCTAGTGTCAGTTATCTGAAGACTGTTCCTCAATTATGAAGCCAGCCTACAGCTGCCTTTATTTGAGAATTTTTATATTTTTGTAATTACTGCTAAATATAAAATAAGATGCAAATAGTCTGATTAATAATAATAATAAATGTTATGATAGTAAAGAAAAGTCTGTTAATTTTTAGTTGTAAATGTAAGTTGCATTGTAAGGTTGTGACACCTGGTAATGTGAGTGTGTATGAGAGTATCAGACTTGCTTCAGTACAAAGGATACCAGTAGTTGGAGTCCATTATTAATAGGTGCTATCCAAGTTCTGTGTAGTGTTGAACTGTGCTCAGTAAAAAGAAAATGATGTTTTATAATTGCAAGTATTGAGAATGTTTGATTCTCATATGCTATTGAAAATTCAGCAAAAAAAATTAATAATAATAATAAAGGCTCTCGGAGAAAATGCATTTACAGTATAGATGATTATTTTTAAAGTATTTATGTACTCTATTGTAGAGCTCAGCATTGACATTTATAATGGAACACATTTGTATGTCCACCAGCTTCCCAACTTTATTTTTGTTTAACTTGAGAGCTCTTTTTTTTTTTTTAATTCTCTAGGTGCATCATATTTTAGTGACAGTGGTTCTTAAAACTTGGAAGGAATACCATTTATACACAAAACTAAATTATCTGAAGTTTAACTCTTGAACATCATCTGGTGCCATATGTTAAGTTCAACAGCAGTCACAGGCCACATAGTATGATACAGTAATTGTTGTTGTGCCAGTGCCAGTGTTTATATACCGATTGATGCCAGTTTGTTTTAAAATATTATACACGTCACGGTGTCACCCCAGATGCAGGCTCGACTTTTTTGTATATTGCCCATTTTGTCTTGATAGGAGACGAAAACACACTGGCATGTCACAAGTGATCGTACCTAGAAATGACAATGGACAATGAGCCCACAATTAATTAATCAGGCTTTGATTTAATATGACAATTTTTGGTATTGATAATAGAAATATACTGTATCATAACAGATGAGTGGAAGGAAAAATTAACTACTTTATATGTAACTTATAAATTTGAGCTACGGTAATAGTTATCAAGAAGACAGTTGGCAGTCATGGGCTGCTCTCATACTCGGCCAGCTATGCACTCTGCTTCTGTATCCTGTTTCTGATGAGAATAAACAAAGAAAACAGATTATATAGTTTGTGAATAAACAGGAGGAGAGCTGTGGTGGAAAGAGACGTGGCCAAAATATTGTTTAAGAATTATAATTGGGCTGATACTGTTTACTAATGAGTGATTTACTCGGCATTGGATCCTGAGGCTGGCTGTTGGTGCTTCAATGTTAAAAGTTTATAACAGAAGCAGTGGCACTAGTTATGGAAATTGAGCACTTCAAGACCTTTTCAGATTATCTGCAGAAATTTAAGACATTAGAAAATTACTATAATTGCATTTTGCTGCCTCTGGGTTAAGACCAGCATGTACTACAAAAATACAATTGAACAAGTTAATACTTATGAATTTTGTGTATCATTGTTATTTATATGTACACAAATTTGTATATGCATATATATATATACTGTATATACATATGTGTATACCGTACACATACACATACATACATACATACATATAACACGCACACATGTACATATGCAGCAGTTGTATGTTACCCATATCTCAAGAAGCACACCAATAAACTGGAAAAGGTGCAAAGGCATGCTACAAAATGGTTTCCGGAGCTAAAAAACAAGAGTTATGAGGAGAGGCTAGAGGTGTTAAATATGCCAACGCTAGAAAATAGAAGAAAAATAGGTGATATGATCACCACTTACAAAATAATAACAGGAATCGACCAAATTGACAGAGAAATTCCTGAAACCAGCAACTTCAACAAGAGGACACAGATTCAAGTTAAGTAAACAAGGGTGCCAAAAAAATAATAGAAGGTTTCTTTTGTGAACAGAGTGGTAGATGGTTGGAACAAGTTACGTGAGGTGATGGTGGAGGCCAAAACTGTTAGTAGTTACAAAGTGTTATATAACAAAGAGTGCTGGGAAGACTGGACACCATGAGCGTAGCTCTCATCCTGTAACTATACCTAGGTAATTACTCAAATTTAACAACAGAACTGGGATAAGCAATTGCTACAAGAGTAAGTGTAAGTACTCGTAGTATTTTCATGTTTGTTTCTGTACAGTGAAGGGAAGTATTTGTTATACAACTTGACAACTTGTTCACAAATTAATTTTTAAATTTTCAGTGAAGTTGTCAGTTTTCTAAAGGATGTGGAGTATATGGATGATGTATGTTATTTGTGTCACAGGTATACGGTGCAACACAACCTGTGGTTGGCAAGCAAGAGGTGCACCAGGTACTGTTTGTTAATGTATCAATATTCTTTTCACTAATTATTCTCAGTAATGCAAAACACTTATTGCAAACGCTACTTTTGATGTCCATTGCCAATTCCTGACCGAGTGTGTTAAGATTCCAGATTCTTATTAGTAAGAGACTGCAATTTCTCATTTATATAATATTGCCTATTCTTATTTTGTCTGTTTACTGCCCACTTCTCGACAAGAATCTGGATTTTTACGTCAGTAATCGTGATGATATGTTAGAAAGTGTATTACAAAAAAGGAGTAACAATATAGTAGTACTGTATATCAAAATAGAAACAAAAGCATTTTTTCAATTGCTCCTTGCACATAAAACTGCATATAACTTTTCTTCTGCTGGACTTTGATGGTTGTCTAATGCAGTTCATTGTCTGCAAGACAATTTGATTTGTGTATTGTATGTAACTGTATTTTCTTTAACTGTTATATTTAATAGCATCAAATAGTTTGACTTTAATAACTATTATTTCTTGTTTGGTGGACCGTGGGATTCACATTAGTGGTCCACAGGCCTTAAATTATGAATTTGGTGATCCATGAGCTCCGAAAGGTACTTCGGTACTGGCGACTGCTGGTCAAGTGCACTAGCTACTGTCTTTTTTTTTTAATCTTAAACCTTTTAAATCTGTGGGTGGACATAGCCTCTATTTCCCTTTTAAATTCATTTCATATACTGTACTTGTTGCCCTTACACTGGAGAAGTGTTTCCTGATATCCTTATGGATGATTGCATGTCTAGCTTCTTATGTTATTGCTCAACCTAAAGTCCTGTATCTCAGTTTCGTCAATACCCCTGATTATTTTGTGTCTGGATCATGGTCCCTTTGTTTCTCCTATTTCTTCCAATGTTGTTAAATTGAGTTACATCAGATTATCCTCTGAATTCTGGGTCCAGTCTTGTAACAGACCTCTGTACAATGCTTTCTCTATCTTCATTTTGTGATTTTCGAGGTGTTGCTCCACACTTGTACTGCATACCTAGCACTGGTCAGACATGCCATATGCAGCTGTCTGAATACATCCTTATCAAGATTCTTGAAAACTGGTCTGATGTTTGCCACTTAACCATATACAGTGGAAATTATTATATTTCTGTATTTTCTGGAGATGTTTAAAGATATGTGATCTGCCCATTCTTGATTTGTCAAGCATGGCTTCACTTCTCAGAACCTGTGTTAAAGCTTTGTTTTGAAGTTAAAACTCTTAAGACATTTCATTATTCTCTTTTTTAACAGTCTCACTAGCATTTGTATGTAGTTGAATGGTTCCTCCGTTCCTCATCCTTTATATTGATATGGAATGGGCCTTTTTCCAGCTATTTGGCATCATCCATCTCCATTGATGCATAGATAATTTCAAGTGGCTTACATATTGATGTCAGCAGCTTCTTTTAGGATAGATGAAGTCTTGTCAAATCTCAGTCTTTGTCAAGTAACAGGAGTTGGTCCTTTACCTCTTCCTCTGTCAATATTATTCTCTCTGCTCAATTTCTGGAGGAAGCCGCCTTCCTTTTATCAGGTACTGTAGTTGTTCAGGGTCCACTTTAATGATTTCTTGAAATCTCTCATTTAACTTTTTACACATTTCCCTTTCATTTGACATCTATACCAAACTGACCTTTGACATCTGTATCAAGTTTAATTGCACTTCTCTGTCATTCCCATAGTGTTTTTCTGTTCTCAGGTGTACTGTTCATACAGTTTCTTCATTCTCCTGCTTTTATCTTGTTTTTTCAAGTATCTTATCCATGCTTTTCTGTTTGGCCTTAATATGCACTGTTGTCTTCTATGCTGTGAACCACAGTCCACCTTTGTGCAATACACAAACCACCTTGAATTGAACTATGTTACTGCTGGTCTGACTTGACCAGGAATATTTCTTAATTTGCTGAATACATTGTCTACTTTTGCCATGATATTTTCAAAATAACTAGTTCTCATCAAAATTAAAAACAAGTTTACTTCTCTGAGGGTTATAATTATATTTTAATCAAATTAATGTTTTATGTGCATATTTTTATAGTACAGTATATCCTTAAAACCCCTTTTAAACTTGATTTATTTATGTTAATTGCAGTACAGTACTGTAATACTGTACAATGAAGTGTTGAAAGAATTATAATTGATGAATTTGTTGATTGTGATACATAGAATAAAATACAAATGTATAAAATTGTAATTATATAATTGTTCCATAAAAATTTACAGTATTTTGATACCTGTAATTAATTGTGTTGTAAATGTTAACAGATATATCAAATAATTAATTATGTAGTTTGTATCTTTTTTCCTTTTAAAAATATTTTTCAAGACCTGTGATTTTTGAAATGTAGATTTAATAAAATTATTACTGATTATGTTATTGTAATATGTTTGTATGTGGAATATTTAGCTTATCACAATTGAGCAGCCAACCCGTCCTCGTAATAAAATGTCGCATTTTGACATATTCTACCTAAGGCCAAAAATTGTCGTAATAGAAAATGGTAGCGGCTCGCAAAATTGACATACTGTCTCGTTGTCTGTTCTGTATCCTCTGGTAGGTTAGGATAAGGCACTTAGTACGACTGTTTCTTGTTAGGAAATCTTAGGAGGACGGGCTGTAGCATCACAAGACTAACAATATTGCATACCAGACATGACGGCTGATCTCATCGAAACTTTTAAAATACAGAACAAGTTGAAGGATATTGATAGACAACTAATTTAAAATGTTAAATGTAATGCATACAAGAGGCAGTGGCTTCAAGCCACACTGTAGGACAGAAAACAGATACGTTTTCACCCATAGGTTATAAACCCATGGAACTGTTTACCTGCCAGAGCCATTAATGATAAAGCATTACTGCAATACAAAATCCTGCCGTATAAAATTCCGCAGGTAAAATGTGGGGAACCTTTGACAAGCTGCTGGCTTCCTGCCATCATTTAATCCACTAGTGATATGGTACCCCTTAGATAAATTCAGGAAATGCACTTAGTAATATGTATGGACTCTGTTGGAACTGTAGAAGAATACAGTCTTCATTATAATGTAAAAATGGTGATCTCAAGCCACTCAGAATTGTAATAAGGTAATATTTGCACTATACTGAGGGCTGTAAATGCCTTAGTGCTATATTAGCAAAGGTACTAATACTCAATAAAAGCAGTTACAGTAGTTGAATTAATTTATTAATATATTATGCACCCCATACCCATCTTATGGGCGGTAGTGGAAAGGGTTACAGAGGCACATAATGGGCTCAGGGACTGAACCCCACAATTCATTTAGCTAAGTAAGTTACAGTCTTGTTGAGCTATTTACAAAATTCAATGCACACCACATCAAAATGGGCTCTAGATCATCCACAAGTAGTTTCTAAATTAAGCAACTGCCATATATGGAGAGCTAGTGTCACTACTGATATGTTTACTTCCAGTGCTAGTGGCCCTCAGGTGCCCAAGCTTGTTAATAACAGAAATACTCTTTATTCTCTCACTGCTGTGCATTATAAAATTAAAATGACAATTATAATATTTACTGATGTAAATCTATTGGTCTGTGATGTTTTTTCATATGTATATTTTTAATTCGGCAAACTATAGTTTTTCTTATTCAATGTTTACAAACACGAGATCCCAGCTGACACCAACCTGTTGGTGGGCACGTCCGATTCCTCGAGTGACGTCGCCCCTCAACCACCAACCTGTTGACACCTGCGTCACGAAGTTATAATGATAATACTTATTTGGGGTGAGTACATACATATAAAATAAGTTACAAGAAGAATGTTGGATTTATTGGTAGAGTAAGTACTGTATATAAAGCTAAAGTCTAAAGTACTGCGCCTAAAGCCACTAATACGCACAGCGTTTCGGACAAGCTAGTCTATGTTCACTGTGCGGTCAGCTGGGAAAGTACCCAAGTTTGCATCACCTAACATAAAGAAGATATTCTAATGTGCACAGCAAACTGCTTGAAGTATTTAACGTATCAACGACTTCTAACTTTTGTATATTGGACATACTAAGCATAATATAAGAAGAAGAAGGCATGTAGCGTGGAGGCGAGCGAGTGGCCGTGACCTGCTGGGGGCGGGGCGGCCACCTGATTAACTTCTTGCCTAGCTCATCATGCCTGTAAAAATCTGTGATAATATGATGTGAAGGTTCGTAGTCCCGCTATCGTGGCTAAGTGCAGCTCGGACCACCAGTGCGTGACAACGTCAAGGTGGGTTCTCCGTGCTGAGTAACATTATGATATACACATTAACCTATTTATATACGGGAGATCTGGAGATCTTGATCTTGAGAGATCTTGAGATCTATACTATACGGGACCCTAAATCTGTATTCATACATATTTAGGGTCCCGGTAGTACAGTCGGGTTCGTTCTCGACGCACAATCGAGAATCCCAGGCGGGACAGAAATGGTTGGGAACATTTCCTTTCACCTAATGCCCCTGTTCACCTAGCAGTAAGCAGGTACTCAGTAGTTAGTCAGCTTGTTGTGGGGTTGGATAAAAGCCAAACGTGGATGAATACACCTTCCCCCGACACAGTGAATTAACAAAATATATATATATATTAAACTCTGGAAGTAAGTACTTTTAGGGAGATTTTTCAATGTTTATTTTCAGGTATTTGTTAGACTACTCTGTGTTTTACCCTTATCTGTGTTTTAGTGTTTTTTGGATGTTGAGTTTTGGTTGTTGAGCAAGAGTGCACAATAAACTGCCACACACATGAGAGGTAAGGGTGCACAATAAACTACCACTCACAGGATGAGTAAGGGTGCACTGTAACCTACCACTCACAGGATGAGAATGGGTGAACAATACACTACCATGCACAGTATGAGTATGGGTGCACTGTAACCTACCACTCACAGGATGAGTATGGGTGCACTGTAACCTACCACTCACAGTATGAGTATGGGTGCACTGTAACCTACCACTCACAGTATGAGTATGGGTGCACTGTAACCTACCACTCACAGTATGAGTATGGGTGCACAATAAACTACCATGCACAGGATGAGTATGGGTGCACTGTAACCTACCACTCACAGTATGAGTATGGGTGCACTGTAACCTACCACTCACAGTATGAGTATGGGCGCACTGTAACCTACCACTCACAGTATGAGTATGGGTGCACTGTAACCTACCACTCACAGTATGAGTATGGGTGCACTGTAACCTACCACTCACAGGATGAGTATGGGTGCACTGTAACCTACCACTCACAGTATGAGTATGGGTGCACTGTAACCTACCACTCACAGTATGAGTATGGGTGCACTGTAACCTACCACTCACAGGATGAGAATGGGTGAACAATACACTACCATGCACAGTATGAGTATGGGTGCACTGTAACCTACCACTCACAGGATGAGAATGGGTGAACAATACACTACCATGCACAGTATGAGTATGGGTGCACTGTAACCTACCACTCACAGTATGAGTATGGGTGCACAATAAACTACCATGCACAGGATGAGTATGGGTGCACTGTAACCTACCACTCACAGTATGAGTATGGGTGCACAATAAACTACCATGCACAGGATGAGTATGGGTGCACAATAAACTACAATGCACTGTATGAGTATGATGCACAATAAACTACAATGCACTGTATGAGTATGATGCACAAACTACCATGCTTAGGATGAGTATGGTGCACCATACACTACCATACACACAATGAGTATGAGTGCACAGTAATCTACAATGCACTGTATGAGTATGGTGCATAATAAATTACCATGCACTGAATGATTAAGGGTGCACAATAAACTATCATACACAGAATTAGTAAGGGTACACCATAAACTACCACACACAAGATGACTCTCTAAACTAACATGCACAAGATAAGTCTGGGTGCACAATAAACTACCATTCACAGGATGAGTAAGGGTGCACAGCCAGCTGCCACACACAGGATGAGTAAGGGCCCACAACAAGCTGGCAGCCATGTGGTGGAGAGGAAATGAGTAAGTTGCAGTGTTTGGGTATGGCTGAGGAATTTTGTGCATCTTTGGCCCCCCTCTCTCTCCCATCTCCTACCCCCTCCCTTGCTCCTCTGTACCACCTCTCCCTCCCTGACCCCACTCTGAGACCACAGGCCTCCACCCTGAACCTCCCCCTCCCTTTCACCCACGCCTAATCCCTTTACTCTTATATCCCACTCCCACCATTTCACCCTATCCCCCCACCCACGTCACCACCCCTTCACCCACGTCCATATCCCTTCACCCTAGCCTCCGTGTATTAACCCCTAACCCCCCATCCGTTCATCCTAGCACCCCACTCCTTCACCCCCCCACCCCTAACCCCGTCATTACCTGCATTTCACCTTGCCCTTCCAGGAACATCACTACATGCCTCTACCACAGTCCCCCATCCTTCTCCCTCCCCCCCTGCCCTCCACCACAGCCCCACATCCTTCTCCCTCCCCCCCTGCCCCTCCACCATAGTCCCCCATCCTTCTCCCTCCCCCCCCCCTGCCCCTCCCCATAGCCCCCCCATTCTTCCCTCTTCCCCTACACCACAGAGTTTCCTATTACTCCACATATCTGCTCCTTCACCTCATCCTTCCCCTCCGTGTTTACCACAGACACCCCCTCCCCCCCACCACCTGCCTCCCCTCCATCAGTCTCTTCTCCCCCTCCCCTCCCCTCCCCCTCCTGTGGTTGTGGTGGTGGAAGCAGTGCATGTCCCTGGCTCAGTGAGGGGCTACTGTGTGGTGAGGCGACATCATCATGACTGGTAGGTGCTGGTTGTGGTAGTTGTAGTGGGGGACGTTACCATGACTGGTAGATGCTGGTTGTGGTGGGAGACGTTACCATGACTGGTAGATGCTGGTTGTGGTGGGGGACGTTACCATGACTGGTAGATGCTGGTTGTGGTGGGAGACGTTACCATGACTGGTAGATGCTGGTTGTGGTGGGAGACGTTACCATGACTGGTAGATGCTGGTTGTGGTGGGAGACGTTACCATGACTGGTAGATGCTGGTTGTGGTGGGAGACGTTACCATGACTGGTAGATGCTGGTTGTGGTGGGAGACGTTACCATGACTGGTAGATGCTGGTTGTGGTAGGGACGTTACCATGACTGGTAGATGCTGGTTGTGGTGGGAGACGTTACCATGACTGGTAGATGCTGGTTGTGGTGGGAGACGTTACCATGACTGGTAGATGCTGGTTGTGGTAGGGACGTTACCATGACTGGTAGATGCTGGTTGTGGTAGGGACGTTACCATGACTGGTAGATGCTGGTTGTGGTGGGAGACGTTACCATGACTGGTAGCTGCTGGTTGTGGTAGTGGTGGTAGGAGACGTTACCATGACTGGTAGATGCTGGTTGTGGTAGTGGTGGTGGGAGACGTTACCATGACTGGTAGATGCTGGTTGTGGTAGTGGTGGTGGGAGACGTTACCATGACTGGTAGATGCTGGTTGTGGTAGTGGTGGTGGGAGACGTTACCATGACTGGTAGATGCTGGTTGTGGTAGTGGTGGTGGGAGACGTTACCATGACTGGTAGATGCTGGTTGTGGTAGTGGTGGTGGGAGACGTTACCATGACTGGTAGATGCTGGTTGTGGTAGTGGTGGTGGGAGACGTTACCATGACTGGTAGATGCTGGTTGTGGTAGTGGTGGTGGGAGACGTTATCATGACTGGTAGGTCCTGGTTGTGGTGGAGACGTTACCATGACTGGTAGATGCTGGTTGTGGTAGTTGTGGTGGTGACGTTACCATGACTGGTAGATGCTGGTTGTGGTAGTGGTGGTGGGAGACGTTACCATGACTGGTAGATGCTGGTTGTGGTAGTGGTGGTGGGAGACGTTACCATGACTGGTAGATGCTGGTTGTGGTAGTGGTGGTGGGAGACGTTACCATGACTGGTAGATGCTGGTTGTGGTAGTGGTGGTGGGAGACGTTACCATGACTGGTAGATGCTGGTTGTGGTAGTGGTGGTGGGAGACGTTACCATGACTGGTAGATGCTGGTTGTGGTAGTGGTGGTGGGAGACGTTACCATGACTGGTAGATGCTGGTTGTGGTAGTGGTGGTGGGAGACGTTACCATGACTGGTAGATGCTGGTTGTGGTAGTGGTGGTGGGAGACGTTACCATGACTGGTAGATGCTGGTTGTGGTAGTGGTGGTGGGAGACGTTACCATGACTGGTAGATGCTGGTTGTGGTAGTGGTGGTGGGAGACGTTACCATGACTGGTAGATGCTGGTTGTGGTGGAGACGTTACCATGACTGGTAGATGCTGGTTGTGGTGGAGACGTTACCATGACTGGTAGATGCTGGTTGTGGTAGTGGTGGTGGGAGACGTTACCATGACTGGTAGATGCTGGTTGTGGTAGTGGTGGTGGGAGACGTTACCATGACTGGTAGATGCTGGTTGTGGTAGTGGTGGTGGGAGACGTTACCATGACTGGTAGATGCTGGTTGTGGTAGTGGTGGTAGGAGACGTTACCATGACTGGTAGATGCTGGTTGTGGTAGTGGTGGTGGGAGACGTTACCATGACTAGTAGATGCTGGTTGTGGTAGTGGTGGTGGGAGACGTTACCATGACTGGTAGCTGCTGGTTGTGGTAGTGGTGGTGGGAGACGTTACCATGACTGGTAGCTGCTGGTTGTGGTAGTGGTGGTGGGAGACGTTACCATGACTGGTAGATGCTGGTTGTGGTAGTGGTGGTGGGAGACGTTACCATGACTGGTAGCTG